ATGACAGTGTTGTCCACCCTATGATATGACACAGCTGTCCGCCCTATGACAGTGCTGTCCACCCTATGACAGTGGTGTCCACCCTATGACAGTGGTGTCCACCTATGATATGACACTGTTGTCCACCCTATGACAGTGCTGTCCACCTATGATATGACACTGCTGTCCACCCTATGACAGTGCTGTCCACCCTATGACAGTGCTGTCCACCCTATGACAGTGTTGTCCACCCTATGATATGACACAGCTGTCCACCCTATGACAGTGATGTCCACCCTATGACAGTGCTGTCCACCCTATGACAGTGTTGTCCACCCTATGACAGTGCTGTCCACCCTATGACAGTTTTGTCCACCCTATGACAGTGTTGTCCACCCTATGATATGACACAGCTGTCCACCCTATGACAGTGCTGTCCACCCTATGACAGTGCTGTCCACCCTATGACAGTTTTGTCCACCCTATGACAGTGTTGTCCACCCTATGATATGACACAGCTGTCCACCCTATGACAGTGCTGTCCACCCTATGACAGTTTTGTCCACCCTATGACAGTGTTGTCCACCCTATGATATGACACAGCTGTCCACCCTATGACAGTGTTGTCCACCCTATGATATGACACAGCTGTCCACCCTATGACAGTGCTGTCCACCCTATGACAGTGGTGTCCACCTATGATATGACACTGTTGTCCACCCTATGACAGTGCTGTCCACCTATGATATGACACTGCTGTCCGCCCTATGACAGTGCTGTCCACCCTATGACAGTGCTGTCCACCCTATGACAGTGTTGTCCACCCTATGATATGACACAGCTGTCCACCCTATGACAGTGATGTCCACCCTATGACAGTGCTGTCCACCCTATGACAGTGTTGTCCACCCTATGACAGTGCTGTCCACCCTATGACAGTTTTGTCCACCCTATGACAGTGTTGTCCACCCTATGATATGACACAGCTGTCCACCCTATGACAGTTTTGTCCACCTTATGACAGTGCTGTCCACTATATGACAGTGCTGTCCACCCTATGACAGTGCTGTCCACCCTATGATATGACAGTGCTGTCCACTCTATGACAGTGCTGTCCACCCTATGACACAGCTGTCCACCCTTGGACGGTGCTGTCCACCCTATGACAGTTTTGTCCACCTTATGACAGTGCTGTCCACCCTATGACAGTGCTGTCCACCCTATGACAGTGCTGTCCACACTATGATATGACAGTGCTGTCCACTCTATGACAGTGCTGTCCACCCTATGACAGTGCTGTCCACCCTATGACACTGCTGTCCACCCTATGACACAGCTGTCCACCCTATGACATTGTTGTCCACCCTATGACAGTGCTGTCCACCCTATGACAGTGCTGTCTACCCTATGACAGTGCTGTCCACATATGATATGACAGTGTTGACTATTGCCAGCCAGACACAACAATTTTCAAATATCTTGGCCGACAATTCCCGCAGGATCGAGTGGAAAATGTATGGCGTGTCAAATTGATTTCCGGTTATTCATCTCTCTCGGGCTCTCCGTGTAGCGGTTAACTCTCCTGTTCGTGTAGCGGTTAACACCCATCTTCGTGATAAAAGAGCTAAGAAAAAAATATAATGAAGTAAACCAGTCGGTTTAGTTTGATGTGTTGAAAAATCTTTTTACTGCTGTGATTTGACTTTAGATGTCAAATTGTATAAACGCTCCGCCCTGTGAAGAAATCTGTACTGGATGCTGGGATGTTGTGGTCTTGCTGGAGCTAACAACTGGTCAGATGATTCAACACCGGTCACCGGCCCGCTCTGCCGTTGGTCCACCCCGCTAACCGGCAGCTGGTGTAGAGACCCTGGTCAGGTATCAGCTGGTGTAGAGGCCCTGGTCAGGTATCAGCTGGTGTAGAGACCCTGGTCAGGTATCAGCTGGTGTAGAGACCCTGGTCAGGTATCAGCTGGTGTAGAGACCCTGGTCAGGTATCAGCTGGTGTAGAGACCCTGGTCAGGTATCAGCTGGTGTAGAGACCCTGGTCAGGTATCAGCTGGTGTAGAGACCCTGGTCAGGTATCAGCTGGTGTAGAGACCCTGGTCAGGTATCAGCTGGTGTAGAGGCCCTGGTCAGATATCAGCTGTTCCATCGTTCAGCCAAACTCCCGCCGGTACCACGTGATTGATTCATGGCATTCAGACCAATCTCAGGGGCCCCTAGACCACTCTATCTCAGGGGGCCCTAGACTACTCTATCTCAGGGGCCCCTAGACCACTCTATCTTAGGGGGCCCTAGACCACTCTATCTCAGGGGGCCCTAGACCACTCTATCTCAGGGGGCCCTAGACCACTCTATCTCAGGGGGCCCTGGACCACTCAATCACTGTTTCTCTAGGCGCCCCAGGAAAGTTATGTAATATCTTACATTTTTCTAAGCATTCCCATTTGGTAAACGAAATGGCTTTTAAAACATCCTAGTCCCCTCACTACAAACTTGCCACCCCACATCCTAGTCCCCTCACTACAAACTTGCCACCCCACATCCTAGTCCCCTCACTACAAACTTGCCACCCCACATCCTAGTCCCCTCACTACAAACTTGCCACCCCACATCCTAGTCCCCTCACTACAAACTTGCCACCCCACACCCCACCACCAACTGACCTACCCAACCGTCATGCAATAACGGTAAGCTGATCAACATTTTTTTTACCCCACTCCACGCATCATCAAGTGAGACAACTCTTGTTGCACTGGATGTTCGTCAGATGGGAGTGCCTGTCTACCTGCCCTGTAGCAATTACCCGCAGACTACCTGCTAGCCTGGCGGGAAAACGGAGCATATTGTGACCGAGGTTTGGGTTTTTAATTAAAATGTAAGAGGTCGTTAGGAGCGGGGTACGGCACGTACAAGGACGAGACGCTCATCAAATAACTGATGAAGACATGTGGCCGAAACACAGCATTCAATTATTATAATTAAAAAATAAAATGATTTCAGACTGCGCAGGATAAATAATCCTATTCCCCTCCTCCCTTCACAGCAGAAAAATTCAAGGTCTCTTTAACCAGTAGCGGGTTAATGGAGAGGGGGGGGGGGAGATGACTGCAGTCATCTATATATATATAGGGGCCCCCAAATAATTTCAGCCGGGGGCCCCACTCAAGCGTAATTCGCCCCTGCTGTTAACATTTGACTTTACTTCTGGACAGGCAGCAAAAAATGAGCAAAATAACATTTGGACAACAGCAAACATCATTTTTAACCCATTTAACCAGCAAACTTTCGCTTAACTTTATCTAGCTACAACCATTCACCTTCGGTTGTCGGCAAAATCGTATTGTCAATAATTATTGTTTTTTGCTATTAGAACAACCTTTTTTGGTGTTTTTTGCCTTGTAAATAAGACATCTCGCGTGGGCCACTGCTTCCTGAATTTGTTTCCACAACTCGAGTGTGAGTTTCATCTCGGTCAGTTTCTTACAGGGGGGGGGGGGGGGTGTGACACCGAAGAATGTCCACCAACCCCCCCCCCCCCTCCGAAGGAAATGAAAATTATATAGAAAATGTATACTTTTTACAGTCTTCCACCCCCCCCCCCCTTCCTCCGTAGAAAAAGTCTGGGAGAAAAACGGATCTCACAGTTTTGACGATTCTATTTCTCAGTGCCAGCTATGTTGAATCCTTCTTGAATCTATCTATTGGTACAAGTCTCGACCTCTGATCAAACGGTGCCCTATAAGGCTCGACCAAGCCACAACCAATTTAGTCCACTGGTACATTGCTGGTGTCCATTATTGATCACCTGTCTGGTGTGTGTGCACTAACATCATACACTTTGTTAAAGGGTGACACCGACTACCCCCCCCCCCCCCCCGCCCCAGCTATTGACCAGATTAAAATCAAAACCTTTCTTACTGTTGTGTTCCACAATTTGTAGGTAAAGACGTTGCCCAGTCCCCATCAAAGGGTTATAACTCATGCCTTGCAATGTCTAGATGAAAGAAAATTATTTCCCTTGTTAAGCAAGGGTGTGCTTTTTTTAAAACTATTTAGTCTACAATTTTTAACAGTCAAAATCCAAACAGTGAAAAATGTTTACATTTCTTGTATGCTCTTGTCTAAATAGTCAAATAAATCAAGATGGTATAGGATGGGGCATGCCCTAAACATGAATCCAGATCACAGCACAGGAATGGCGCTAAACTGGATGCCTCAACAAAAGAGAAAGCAGGGAAGGCCAAGAGAGAGATTTAGGTGTACAGCGGGAAATCAGTGGGCAGAGGTAGGACTGTCAGGAAACAGCTGACAGAGGTAGGCCTGTCAGGAAACAGCTGACAGAGGTAGGACTGTCAGGAAACAGCTGACAGAGGCAGGACTGTCAGGAAACAGCTGACAGAGGCAGGACTGTCAGGAAACAGCTGACAGAGGCAAGACTGTCAGGAAACAGCTGACAGAGGCAAGACTGTCAGGAAACAGCTGACAGAGGTAGGCCTGTCAGGAAACAGCTGACAGAAGACCAACAAAAGTGGAGAGATCTTTCTGTGGCGACCCATGTGTCTTGAGGGAAGAGTGATGATTTGGTCCGTGTTGAACACAATATTTGACCAGGTCAAACAAGGTGAAGGTCATAACATCCATCTAAAACTGTAGAGCTGGCCACAGCAGGAAGGGGGTAACAGCAAATTACAGGATGGAAGTTGTTTTTGCCACTATCCCCACCCCTTGCTTTCACAGCTATGAGCTATGAATTGTTCCCCCTGCTGAAATGAGCTATGAATTGTTCCCCCTGCTGAAATGAGCTATGAATTGTTCCCCCTGCTGAAATGAGCTATGAATTGTTCCCCCTGCTGAAATGAGCTATGAATTGTTCCCCCTGCTCAAATGAGCTATGAATTCTTCCCCCTGCTGAAATGAGCTCGCCTGCACTAGAACCTATCACCAACACATGAAAATAAAAAAAAAACTGAACAAAAAACTGAGTTGGTGTTGTACAAAGTATTAAAAAAACTTGGTGTTGTACAAAGTATTTCACACAACAATCAAATATCTTGATAATCTTCCTTCCAGACTTTAGGCTCAGCGTAACGGTTGTAGCCGTCGTAGTTGATGCCTGGGGTGAACCTAGGCACAATCATACAGGGCTCAAACAGGGAGATGTGAGCACTGGTCAGTTCTTGCAGGAAACTTTGCACCTGTGGACATGGCCAGTAACAAACATGGGAGTGTCATCAAAACATCGGGGTTAGAATCAAGTTAGATTACGCTAAACAATAATAGTGAGGCGATATCTAGTCATTCTCAATGTTTACCATCCCTCACTGACTGCTACCAATAATGTGAGCACTTTAATTGTTTCACAAGTTCACCATCCCTCACTGACTGCTACCAATAATGTGAGCACTTTAATTGTTTCACAAGTTCACCATCCCTCACTGACTGCTACCAATAATGTGAGCACTTTAATTGTTTCACAAGTTCACCATCCCTCACTGACTGCTACCAATAATGTGAGCACTTTAATTGTTTCACAAGTTCACCATCCCTCACTGACTGCTACCAATAATGTGAGCACTTTAATTGTTTCACAAGTTCACCATCCCTCACTGACTGCTACCAATAATGTGAGCACTTTAATTGTTTCACAAGTTCACCATCCCTCACTGACTGCTACCAATAATGTGAGCACTTTAATTGTTTCACAAGTTCACCATCCCTCACTGACTGCTACCAATAATGTGAGCACTTTAATTGTTTCACAAGTTCACCATCCCTCACTGACTGCTACCAATAATGTGAGCACTTTAATTGTTCAGACAAATCACACATTGACCCTGACCTTCTCAGCATTCATGTCCACCTGTGACTGGTCAAAGTAGAAGCAGGTGATGCCACTCTCCAGGCAGCGCTGAGCCAGGACCTTGCCCACACTGGTACTGGCCGACACATCCGTACAGCTGGAGGAATTGGCTAGATTAGTTCTCCTTACAGACTTAACTATACATACATAGGGCAGATAGAGTTTAACAATACATAACATAGGGCAGATCGAGATTAACAATACATACATAGGGCAGATAGAGTTTAACAATACATACATAGGGCAGATAGAGTTTAACAATACATAACATAGGGCAGATCGAGATTAACAATACATACATAGGGCAGATAGAGTTTAACTATACATACATAGGGCAGATAGAGTTTAACAATACATAACATAGGGCAGATCGAGATTAACCATACATACATAGGGCAGATAGAGTTTAACTATACATACATAGGACAGATAGAGTTTAACCATACATACATAGGGCAGATAGAGTTTAACCATACATACATAGGGCAGATAGAGTTTAACCATACATACATAGGGCAGATAGAGTTTAACAATACATACATAGGACAGATAGAGTTTAACAATACATACATAGGACAGATAGAGTTTAACAATACATACATAGGGCAGATAGAGTTTAACAATACATACATAGGGCAGATAGAGTTTAATAATACATATATAGGGCAGATAGAGTTTAACAATACATACATAGGGCAGATAGAGTTTAACCATACATAGGGCAGATAGAGTTTAACAATACATACATAGGGCAGATAGAGTTTAACAATACATACATAGGGCAGATAGAGTTTAACAATACATACATAGGGCAGATAGAGTAGAATTCACATTATTTCTAGACCTGCTGCATGTAAAGGGATGGTGATATCAGCGCTATGCCCAGCCACCTTTACTTTCCCTAATGGGATTCAGGTACCCATCAGAGCTGAGTGGACTCAGGGATGTCCTTCAATGACTAGCCTGGACAGAGATCCAAACTCAAGATCTTCTGGCTAGCAGTCAATTGATCTACCACTTGACCATACCATTGCGGCCAAACAAAGCTGTCTTTAAACATTGATTCAACGAGTGGACTGAGATACAATGCTTAAACAACATAAAATCATTGCAGGATCTCCTACAGTACTAGACTATTTAGCTAGACCATGTTTATAAAAAAACAAAGTTGGCCTTCAGAGCACAAACCTAAGAAACCATCCCCATAATCTATGATTTTGCACAGAATAATTATGAAATAAACTGATCATGGCAACTACTTGTACCTATAAAGTTGATAAACTGATCATGGCAACTACTTGTACCTATAAAGTTGATAAACTGATCATGACAACTACTTGTACCTATAAAGTTGATAAACTGATCATGACAACTACTTGTACCTATAAAGTTGATAAACTGATCATGACAACTACTTGTACCTATAAAGTTGATAAACTGATCATGGCAACTACTTGTACCTATAAAGTTGATAAACTGATCATGACAACTACTTGTACCTATAAAGTTGATAAACTGATCATGACAACTACTTGTACCTATAAAGTTGATAAACTGATCATGGCAACTACTTGTACCTATAAAGTTGATAAACTGATCATGACAACTACTTGTACCTATAAAGTTGATAAACTGATCATGACAACTACTTGTACCTATAAAGTTGATTGCGAATGGCCCATTCCTTCGAGCTGGCTGAGACGACCACCTCCCCACTCCAGTGTTCTATCCACGCCTCTGTGTGTCTGTTACTGCGGGAGAATACTAGCCTGACAAAATAAAACATTTGTGAGAATACTAGCCTGACAAAATAAAACATTTGTGAGAATACTAGCCTGACAAAATAAAACATTTGTGAGAATACTAGCCTGACAAAACAAAAGATTTGTGAGAATACTAGCCTGACAAAATAAAAGATTTGTGAGAATATTAGCCTGACAAAATAAAAGATTTGTGAGAATACTAGCCTGACAAAACAAAAGATTTGTGAGAATACTAGCCTGACAAAATAAAAGATTTGTGAGAATACTAGCCTGACAAAACAAAAGATTTGTGAGAAAACTAGCCTGACAAAATAAAAGATTTGTGAGAATACTAGCCTGACAAAACAAAAGATTTGTGAGAATACTAGCCTGACAAAATAAAAGATTTGTGAGAATACTAGCCTGACAAAACAAAAGATTTGTGAGAATACTAGCCTGACAAAACAAAAGATTTGTGAGAATACTAGCCTGACAAAATAAAAGATTTGTGAGAATACTAGCCTGGCAGAATAAAATATTTGTGAGAATACTAGCCTGGCAAAATAAAAAGTTTGATTTAATGGCTCAAGTACAAAAGTTTAAGAAATAAAAGATTTGATTTAATGGCTCAAGTACAAAAGTTTGAGGAATAAAAGATTTGATTTAATGGCTCAAGTACAAAAGTTTAAGAAATAAAAGATTTGATTTAATGGTTCAAGTACAAAAGTTTGAGAAATAAAAGATTTGATTTAATGGCTCAAGTACAAAAGTTTGAGGAATAAAAGATTTGATTTAATGGCTCAAGTACAAAAGTTTAAGAAATAAAAGATTTGATTTAATGGCTCAAGTACAAAAGTTTGAGAAATAAAAGATTTGATTTAATGGCTCAAGTTAAAAACCTTTGCTTTACTGGGGGGAATTGAAAGCTAGTTAACCTTTGTCTAGAAATCCTGCCACAGATACTTATGTGTCAAACAATACACAAGCAGGGCATAAATAAACAGTGACAACTTACTTTAAAAGGTAATAAATAAACAGTGACAATTTACTTTAAAAGGTCACAAATAAACAGTGACAATTTACTTTAAAAGGTCACCAATAAACAGTGGCAATTTACTTTAAAAGGTCACAAATAAACAGTGACAATGTAAGTAAAGAATTAGAAGCTGGGTAAAATATGTACCTGTGATAATAATCCTTACGTGGAGCTTGAAACTGCCACCCTAAACGTTTCCTTGCCAACCGTAGTTTTTCAAGGTTTCTATAATTAAAAATCCAAGAACATTTGTTATGATTAGGCCTTAGAACAAAAAAAAAAAAACAAAAAAAAAAAAAAAAAAACCAAATAGGTACATGTTAATGTATCTCAGGAAATCATAGTTAGAGAAACAATTGTGAAGGCAACCGATAACATACCTTGGATTTCTATTGAGATAAACTTTACTAACAACATAATCTTTGTTAGGACTTTCTGATAGATATTGGCTGCTTCTGTTAAAACTTCTTACATTCACTGTTAATGAAAGAAAATTTACCCGTATAATGTGTGTAAATGACATTTTTAAACATAAATATAGAAAAAATGACTGTAAATAATTGGAATCTCAAACTGCTTAGTTACTAGTTTTGTCACTCAGTAATGAGTGACTTACGTCTTATGGGCTAAAAACAAATAATGTACATAATACTTTAGTAGTTTCTATAAATAAAACAACAATTTTAGATAGGCCTAGTATCCAGGTTAGTAGTGTGTTTGGGTCAGAAATGAGAGTTAAATCTATTGGATATTGTTGACCTTACAAGGGGGGAGGGGGGTACGACTAAGTACTGACTTAGGTAACAAGCAGGGGAAAAGGTGGACGACAAACTTTTGCAAGTAGAGAGTATTTCTAATTTAATCTTATAATATACTCATTACTCAAGTATTATCAAGTAAAGACTCAAGACTGACTGAAATTATATTAAAATAATAAAATTTGGTAATCTATCGTTTTTAGGTGCGTAAAATCGACCCATGCTAGTAATGTGTGAAAAAGTTGCCTCATTGTTAAGGCTTTAATAGAAGTATATTGTGATATATTTGTGTCAAATGTTATAGATAACTGAATAATAAACCAAAATGGCTAAATATATCAATATAGGCCAGAAATTAACAGCAGTGTTTGCGAGCAAGATTTGCTATATAAACAGCGGATCTGTAAGTTAGAGTGGTCTCCCCTGAATCTCTAACTATAATTTTACCAAAAAAAAATAATTAAACAAGATGGCTGCTAAAGTAAATGAGTTTGGTTGCATATGATGAAAACATCACTAGTCTTTATTTTTTAATGAAAAGTTTTAATACAATTGTTTAAAAACAGGTACATTAATGAAACTTTAAAACATTTTTGTTAACTTTTAAAACATAAATAGAATAATTTTAGATACTGAGGTCCGATAATAGACTCTTCCATAAAATAGGTGTGTTAGGTTGTTAGTAGTATTGTAATCTCAACTAATTTTATGGTTAGAAATTAATTAGGGTCAGGCGTGTAAGGTAGGACTAGGGTTGGGGTTAGAGACAGGATTTGCATTGACCTTATTTTAGCCTTAGCTACTAGCTAGCAATGTGTGTATTTTACTAGTATTTAGGCCTACTATAATTTAGTTGACTACCAGTAACCTAAACAGTAACATCCCCGGTTTTTTTTTAAATTATAAAATTAACGAAGTGACTACGCGTCTCGCAAAGCGTGGCCCCTAAAGAATAGACTACGCGTCTCGCAGGTTTGATTTGCCATCTTGAAATTAAAAATGCTTACTTTTTAGCTCTCCAACACATCCGCTGTGGTTGAGTCAACAGTGTGCCAGTTGTAGTTTGAAGTTCATAGACCGGAGTTCAGAGTTCGAACCCGGGGTTAGCTAGTTTGTTTTTTTTTTTACATTTTTTTTTTCTTCATGTTGAAAATATGACGTAGACTATGATTCTTTTTTTTTTTTTTAATAAAATTTCAAACCATCATCACTGGCGTGATTGCTTGCCTTACGTTTACTATCCCGTGAGTGGAAAATCCCACCACGGCCCACGGTCGCGAGGTCACTGAGTTCAGCAGGCCTAAAGCATACGTCATAGACGTTCACACGAGATCGTCTGTCTTCACTTCTCTCTTCCTCCCACCCCCCTCTCCCCTCAAGGAAATTGAAATTTTTTTTTAAGTTCACATAGGATAAATAATATAGACTTAGATCTACTATCACGCATGCTAGATAGCTAGGCCTAAAGGTTAAAGGACAGTTTGATTTAACTAGGTTGCTGCTAGATCTAGGACTATCATCTGGCCCATCTGACCTCACAAACTTTCTTTGACACTACACTGTACTATTTTTTTTTTTTACAAGTACGATCTATATCTAGACTCTTAAGTGTTGAAATAATATAAATACACTTAAACTCGATCTATATCTATGTCAACATTAAATTGTTACCACGAAAAAAAAAATCGTTTTTTTAGATCGCGTGCCACCTAGGGTAAAGATTAAGCGTAACGCGGAGCGAACTGCGCAAAGGCGGCCTAAAATTAATGAGTCACCTTTTTTTCACATTACCAGCCTCGGCTGATTTTACACTAACTTACTACTAAACTAAACACATTTTAAAATAAAATTGTTGGCCTAAACTCAGCAGTAAGTAAACTGAGGGTAATCTATCGTTTTGGGTACGTAAAATCGCCCGCGATTTGTAATGTGAAAAACAGGTGACTCCTTAAATTTTAATAATTATTTCACATTTTGAGGAGGATTTATGTTTTAAAAAATTCAAAAATGTTTCCTTGATTCATTTATGTACCTGTTTTTAAACAATTGAATTAAAACATTTCCGTAATAAATGAAGACTAGCGATGTTTCCAACAGATGCAATCATGCTCATTTACTATAGCAGCCATCTTGTCTAAGTTTTATTTTTATAAGCTTTTAGCGCCAGATTCAGGGGGAAGTCACTCTATTTTACAAATGGCTGCTGTTTATATAGCAAATCTTGCTCACAGACACTGCTGTTTAAAGTTAATTTCTGGCCTATATCGATATATTTAGCCATTGATTTAGGTTTATTATTCATTTATCTATAATATTTGACACAAAAGTATGACAATATACTTCTATTAAAGCCTTGACAATGAGGTAACGTTTTCGTACATAAATAGCCGCGAGCGATTTTACGTACCCAAAACGATAGATTACCAAACTGAGTAATACTAAACTCTAACTAAACTGACTAAACTCACTGCCAAAGTGCCCTAAACTAAAAATTAGATCTAGAATCTAGATCTAGATTCTAGTAAAAATATTTCTGTTTTTATTTCACGTGTGAAAATAGCCCAGTACTTAGATCTAGTTTGAGTTAAGTTAAGTCTAGTACACTTGTACAACTTGTACACGTAACAGTAACAGTACACTGATATAACAATAACACATACTGCTTTAAAATATTTAAAAAAACATTAAGCCTAGCATATTTACCTAAAAATCCATAGCATGATAGGCTTTGAGGTAAATTTATTGTCCTACATGATATTTGAACTGGCAACCTTGCAAATGATCCCAGTATCGACATTTTGCTTGTTGTTTTATTTCTTACCTAAACAGGATCCAGAACACCTCACAATGTTTTCGCTACTTTCACATCTTGGCAAGTTTCTAATCATATTAATAAATAGAACAAAAAAATTACAATAATAATAGGCATGTAAAGCAATTATTCAATCATACCCTAACCTAACCCTAACTATCTGAGTTAGGTTAATGGCGATTTCCAAACATTTGAATGCTACATTTATAGACGTCCACTAAACTTAGCCATGTTTTTTTTTAAAACATTCGTCACACAGCTGGGGCAGCCTAGCACTAAGGTTGGTTTGTGTACTTATTTGCAGTGTGGTTGGGAAGATTGTAGGGGGAAAAAAGTCACAGGAAAAAAAGTCACAGGAAAAAAGTCACAATTATATATTTGCATGGAATTTGTTAATACCTGTATGTGTTAAATACTCGTCGAGTGCAAATCAACTTAGATTAATTAACTGTAATGTAGTGTGCGTAGGTTGTATATGTATAGTAATATTTATAGCAAACGTAAACATGTTTAATATGAAGTGTGTAGGCCTAAATTCCTCTATAAATACAATATTTAATATTATTTAAAATTTAATAGAATGTTCCAGCCTTTTCGGTTTCCATCGCGTGAAATGCAGAGCATAGGATCAAAACAGAACCGACAAGGCCTACAAAGGCTGGCTTTGACGCAAAACGTCAACAACACACAATATGGACAAGGCCGACTGAGGAGAAGCCGACCAAAGAATGGCCAACGGCAAAAACAAATATGGAAAACACAATGATGTGCCAAAATTTATTTTATAATTAATTTTCTACCGCATATTCAACTAAATACGTGACAAAAGTTGAGGTTGCTGTGTAAATTACGTCAGATTATTTTTATGTAATAATGTTATAAACAGGTTTTCGTTGTAGGGGGAGCGAAATGAGCAAAAAAAGGCGCCGAATATTTAACACGTTATAACACGTGTATTATATACATTTATAAATATATATATATATATATATATATATATATATATATATATATATATATATATATATATATATATATATAATTACTGGCTGTATGTCATTACTTCGCTATGATGTAAAATAAATTGTATGTAGCACTTGAAGAAATAAGAAAAAACACACAATGTAGGCCGACAAAACAAAAAATGTATCAATGTAAACAATATATATATATATATATATATATATATATATATATATATATATATATATATATATATATATATATATATATATATATATATATACAACCAAAATCAATAAACGCAACACAATCTGTTTTGTAATTCTTGTAAAAAAAATTTTTACATAATAATTCCTGGGACATTAATTAAGACAAGCGAAATAGGGGACATAATCACGCTCTTATATAAATATTTATATATCTATATATTTAATTATAAATGTCAAAACAAATCAATAATTACTTTAGAATGTAATATAATTGTTTAACTGTATTCGTGTTTTCAATTTCTTTTTTGTCTACAATCATAATTAAATATATCGTCATCATAAATGCTAAAGTATTACAGCACAATGAAAGTTTTTAAAATCAGAGTTGGTATAAAAACACGCTTTAAATATTATAGAAAAACATCCAGAATAATAGCTTACATTTAACTAAATTTTTGGTCTTTTAGTTCAGATCAAAGATCTTTTAATTAGCTACTGCTTTTTGTGTTTTTTAAAGATCATTTTTTTTAACATAGTGATCAGGTATGGGTTAGATCACTGTAATGATCACACACCTTTTTACTGGTAATTGCAAAAACAATATTCACAGAGTTTTACCTGATTCAAAATCTATGATTCTTGCGGCATGGTACTTTGGTACATCTTTACACGTTTTCCCAAATGTACTTAACAGATCAGTTCGCGGTGGGTTGGGGGTGGGGGTGGGGGTGGGGGGGAGGGAGGGGGTTCAACTTCATTCACCACTGTCCGGACACTTTAGGTCAATTATCCAACCCAGTGTATACCTAGGTGTGACATTAATGTCGCTCTACACATTTGTGGTGGTGAGGTGTGTGTGGTGAACAGAGTGAACATAGCGTCAGTTTTTAGATGACTGTTCTAAACATACATATTCAATTACACATATATACTTATTCAGAAATAGATTTAAATAAGTAGCAGTGGTATTATGACACTATTTTTTTTACAGCTGTTTCATATAATTTGTAATCGTAATCACTATCGCCCAAACTGTCATAATACTACTACTTCATCGTGACGACGTTGTTGACCTTGTCAAAATGTCCCCACCACTACGCAGTTTGCCCATAAGTAAATTTAAATAGAGGTGCCACATCAGTTGTATTTGTGTCTGTATTGTAATTTAAAAAAAAAATTAATTACACGATTAAAACTGTATATATAAAGTAATTATGTGTGAAGATTTATGTATAATATTTTCTAGATCAATTATTCTTAAGCAAATACATTATGCAGTTGCCTTAAACTTAACACCCCTCTTGCCAAATGGTACTACACGTAAAGGTTTTTAAAAAAAATTGCAATGCATCGTAATGGTTATTTTTAGAATGACAAACTTGATACAGCTGTTTATACGTGTTGTAAACGTAGACGCTACTAGAATAGTACAATTCTGCTTAATTGCTGCATGAAAAGAAATCTTGTGATTTACATAGATGTGCCGACCAAAAATAATTTTTTAACAAGCATCATTGTTTAAAACTTTGAGTTTAAAAAGTTTTCAAAAAGGCGCCACTTTGCTGAAAATGGCCAGAGGGGGAGCGGCCGCTCCCCCTGCTCCCCCCCCCCTGCGTACGCTACTGGTTATAAACCATAATATCTTTACGTTTATCAATATGCTACCAAAACAAAAAGAACCCACACCAATAAACACCCACAATTTTAAAAGTATTGACAATTAAATCAAAATATTTCTTAAAAGAATTTTGTTACTTTTTTCTGTGACTTTTTTTCCGGGAAAAGGAAGTTCAATTTGCACCCCCCCCCCCCCTCAAACTTTCGATTTGCACCCCCCCCCTCGAACTTTCGATTTGAATTCCACTCAACCTTTCAATTTATTTTTCAAACCCATTTTGGCGCCCCCTAAGGTCGGCGCCTGGGGACATATGTGTCCCCCCCCGCCCCCCCCCCCCCTCGCTACGCTACTGGACAGCATATATATCTTAATTTGTATTCATTAGGAACGAAAAAGAGGCTTGTTCATTTTCTTTTTAATAATAGCTATTCATGGAGGAGGGGCAGTTGTACTGGATTTAATGGTCTTTTTGTGACCAAAGATGTAGGGGGTATAATCGGCTATAATTGTCACAATATGGATCAGATATATTCGTCACATGTCGCCACACAGATGGTTTCACATGACGTGAGAGGGTCAGACGTTGTGACGATTTATGCTGCATTGGCGGGAGCAATGGCGTCGCGAGGCCGGGTGTCACCCCCCGAAAAATCCTATGTTATATATATATATATATATATATATATATATATATATATATATATATATATATATATATATATATATATATATATATATATATATATATGTAGGTCTACATATAGTTGCAATTGGTGACATCCCCTTCCCTTTATGCCAATGGCGTTAATTTGTGCGTACAAGCCACTTAATAATTCATGTGAAAAAAAGTATCGTTTTCATCGTAAGTCGTTAGATTTTGGTGTCACCCCCTCTACTGTCATTGATTGGCGTATCTGTTTTTCAAAAATACTTAACACGCCTTTATTCCTCTCTAAATTTTGCAGTTGATGTGATATTTTTATTTTTGAGGTGATATTTTAAAAGTGTGCACAATTAATAGTTAAGTTGGTTATCTATAATCATTTATTAAAACAGTTGGATTAACTCTTATTAATCATTCATTGAACTGGCAATTTTCTATACATTTTGCAATTTTTCGTCATGGTGTCACCCGGTGCGGTCCGCACCCCAGCCCCCGCATCGCGACGCCTCTGGCGGGAATGAGTAAAAGTGTAATTTAGCCTAATGTAGGCCTAGAGAAAAAAAAAAGAAAATGTTAATTTTCATTTGAATTTATCTTTTAGTAGTGCTTGGCAGAACTGTGTAATTTTAGGTGCGATGTTATGTCTTTTTGTGCCACCATGGGACACGAATCAGTAAACTATCGCTAAAAAGCCTAGCGAAATTACTTGAACTTGTGTTTCATTTTACCTTTAGATCTAGAAGTTTTAGACTAATCCGCAACAACATGATTATAATTACAAAATAATTATAGAAGAAAAAATATATAATGTCGAAAATAGTTTGCGGTAACATTAAAAGTCTGGTTTTCCGGTCAGAAAACAACGAACTTATTAGTTACATAAAACAACAACAAACAATAGATAGAGGGTAGAGTTAATCAGAGGTTTATCACAAATCACAACGTTTAAAAAGGATGGGGAAGAAACAGCACCAGAAAGATAAATTGTAAGGATCAAAATATCTATATTACACTTGTTTATTTAATATTTATTTTCTAGATCTCTATTTAGAAAAACAATATTATTAGAAAAACAATATTTATAAAATGCTATTAAAATCAATCTATGCACATTTTTAAACATTGTGTAGGCCTATTAAAAAATAATATTTTAGAGGGTGGTGGTAACGTGAACCTGAAAGGCGGTAATATGCGAGAAGGCTACAAAAACACACATTAGGCCTATGTGACATTTTTGTCTCACATTTTACCTCCACTAATTGGTGTGCTGGATTCTAGTAGATTCTAAGTAGATTGCAGTTGCGATGATGATTTCTGCCAAAATTTCACCACTTTCGAATTGCAAAATGCAGATTACTATGAATTTATGAATCTGTTCTAATTTTTGACTTGACTTAGTCCTCTTTTCACTTTTCTCCTTTTGGAACATAGGGCCTGCACCATTTCCTTCCATTTCATCCTATCCCCGGCTATTAATTTTGCCGTCTCCCAAGTTTATATAAGTTGTACATGTATAATTAAATTAATTTAATGCTTAAGGCTGATAATTTATGATGACAGATCATAAATTCCATAAAACTATTTGAGCTAGAAAGAAAATGTTTTTTTTTAAGTGATCCTTACATAAAACTTTTAAATAGAACTTCAAATTTTTTTAAGAATAATTTTTGTTTAATAAAATCCCAAATTAAAAGCTCAATTAATTGAGGAACAAAAGTATTCTAAATTTAAAATGTTTTTCATATACAGATATTTAACCACAAATGAATGGAAACATGAATGGGGAGGATACAAAGGTACTCAAAATACTGGAGAAAACTCAAAATTCAGACGATTGCCATATTACTGCTGCAGGTAATACTTGTATTGATTTTCATTGTATTTTCAAAATAATTTTTCATTTAAGTACATTCTCTAGAAGAAAATTTTTAAAATAATTTGTTATTTAAATAGACTTTCTAGAAAAATATATTATTTAAATACTTAGTCTAGAAGAATGTTTTCAAAATAATTTTAATTAAAAATTATTATAGATGCCTTAAATGTTCATCATGGTACCATTTTAAAGCGCACAAATATTTTCATTTACAGCATTTCATTGCAGCCTTTTGAGAACCCACTATGTACAAATGAGGGAGTTATATTTGATTTACTGTAAGCTTTTTAAAATTATAAAATACACTAATGATACTTTTTACTTATCTATTAGCCTGCTAAATAATTGTATAATTAATTCAAAGTTAAAATTTGAACTTTTAACATTAGTTGATCTTATGAAAAGAATATTTTCATATTTTGAATTTAGAAATGTAGTTTTGAAAAAATATTTTTCCCTTTTCAGTAACATAATCCCTTTCTTGAAGAAATATGGAGTCAACCCTGCCAATGGAGAGGTATAGTGTTTACAGCATTCCTATCATTATGTTTAGGTTGTTTCTTTCAGTGTGTTTACAGTATTCCTTTAAATGTGCTTATAGTAGTTCTTTGTGTATTTAGCTGTGTGTTTGTACTTTTTGGAAAGTTGTTAAGTTTTTTGTTAGCCTTGACAAAATGAATTACATTAATTGTAATAATAATGGCCCCTCATTATGTATGTGTCATTGCTTATAAAGTGGCATATATAAAGGTATCGCTATAATTAATGGGTTTAAATAGCTTTAATAATCTAAGTTGATCCAAGTATATCCAATCAGAAATATTTGTATAAAAGTAAGTATATCCAATCAGAAATGTTCATGTTGAAACATGTTTCTCCAGAAAATGTCTTCCAAGGACTTGGTGCGACTAAATTTTCACAAAAATGCAGCCGGTCAGTTCCACTGTCCAGTTACCTTTAAAGTGTTCAATGAGAACGCTCACATTGTGGCAATCAAACCAAGTGGGAATGTCTATTCTTACGACGTAAGTGCCTTTTTTTACGCCCACAAATGGGAACCACATTATAAATGCTAACTTTCTTCATTCTTACATAATATCACAAAACAGTAATATATTCATCAATCTAAAGGTTAACAAGTATTTACTAGTGTCACAATACATGATGACATCTTAGTGTCACTTAATGACCTTTTGACAAATGTCACGCAGGCTGTGGAGAGACTGAACATAAAACCTTCACATTGGAAGGATCTTCTCACTGACGAGCCTTTCACACGCAAAGATATCATCACAATTCAGGTGAGTCAGGTAGTTTTATCATCATCACAATTCAGGTGAGTCAGGTAGTTTTATCATCACAATTCAGGTTAGTCAGGTAGTTTTATCATCATCACAATTCAGGTGAGTCAGGTAGTTTTATTATCATCACAATTCAGGTGAGTCAGGTAGTTTTATCATCATCACAATTCAGGTGAGTCAGGTAGTTTTATCATCATCACAATTCAGGTGAGTCAGGTAGTTTTATCATCACAATTCAGGTAGTTTTATCATCATCACAATTCAGGTGAGTCAGGTAGTTTTATCATCATCACAATTCAGGTGAGTCAGTTAGTTTTATCATCATCACAATTCAGGTGAGTCAGGTAGTTTTATCATCACAATTCAGGTTAGTCAGGTAGTTTTATCATCATCACAATTCAGGTGAGTCAGGTAGTTTTATTATCATCACAATTCAGGTGAGTCAGGTAGTTTTATCATCATCACAATTCAGGTGAGTCAGGTAGTTTTATCATCATCACAATTCAGGTGAGTCAGGTAGTTTTATCATCACAATTCAGGTAGTTTTATCATCATCACAATTCAGGTGAGTCAGGTAGTTTTATCATCATCACAATTCAGGTGAGTCAGGTAGTTTTATCATCATCACAATTCAGGTGAGTCAGGTAGTTTTATCATCACAATTCAGGTTAGTCAGGTAGTTTTATCATCATCACAATTCAGGTGAGTCAGGTAGTTTTATTATCATCACAATTCAGGTGAGTCAGGTAGTTTTATCATCATCACAATTCAGGTGAGTCAGGTAGTTTTATCATCATCACAATTCAGGTGAGTCAGGTAGTTTTATCATCACAATTCAGGTAGTTTTATCATCATCACAATTCAGGTGAGTCAGGTAGTTTTATCATCATCACAATTCAGGTGAGTCAGGTAGTTTTATCATCATCACAATTCAGGTGAGTCAGTTAGTTTTATCATCATCACAATTCAGGTGAGTCAGGTAGTTTTATCATCACAATTCAGGTTAGTCAGGTAGTTTTATCATCATCACAATTCAGGTGAGTCAGGTAGTTTTATTATCATCACAATTCAGGTGAGTCAGGTAGTTTTATCATCATCACAATTCAGGTGAGTCAGGTAGTTTTATCATCATCACAATTCAGGTGAGTCAGGTAGTTTTATCATCATCACAATTCAGGTGAGTCAGGTAGTTTTATCATCATCACAATTCAGGTGAGTCAGGTAGTTTTGACTATCTGTCACTACTGGTGCTGCCACCTAGCAGTGAAAGTGTTGATCTCTAATAGCAAAACTATTTTCTTTTTGTTCCAACAGGACCCAACCAATTTAGACAAGTTCAACCTGCAGTCATTTTACCACATCAAGAAGAACCTCAGACTCACAGAAGGTTGGTTTACTGGCTATACACTGATTGGCTAGGTCAGACCTTGTAGACACTGATTGGCTAGGTCAGACCTTGTAGACACTGATTGGCTAGGTCAGACCTTGTAGACACTGATTGGCTAGGTCAGACCTTGTAGACACTGATTGGCTAGGTCAGACCTTGTAGACGCTGATTGGCTAGGTCAGACCTTGTAGACACTGATTGGCTAGGTCAGACCTTGTAGACTAGACACTGATTGGCTAGGTCAGACCTTGTAGACTAGACACTGATTGGCTAGGTCAGACCTTGTAGACACTGATTGGCTAGGTCAGACCTTGTAGACTAGACACTGATTGGCTAGGTCAGACCTTGTAGACTAGACACTGATTGGCTAGGTCAGACCTTGTAGACACTGATTGGCTAGGTCAGACCTTGTAGACACTGATTGGCTAGGTCAGACCTTGTAGACACTGATTGGCTAGGTCAGACCTTGTAGAAACTGATTGGCTAGGTCAGACCTTGTAGACACTGATTGGCTAGGTCAGACCTTGTAGACACTGATTGGCTAGGTCAGACCTTGTAGACACTGATTGGCTAGGTCAGACCTTGTAGACTAGACACTGATTGGCTAGGTCAGACCTTGTAGACACTGATTGGCTAGGTCAGACCTTGTAGACACTGATTGGCTAGGTCAGACCTTGTAGACACTGATTGGCTAGGTCAGACCTTGTAGACACTGATTGGCTAGGTCAGACCTTGTAGACACTGATTGGCTAGGTCAGACCTTGTAGACTAGACACTGATTGGCTAGGTCAGACCTTGTAGACTAGACACTGATTGGCTAGGTCAGACCTTGTAGACACTGATTGGCTAGGTCAGACCTTGTAGACACTGATTGGCTAGGTCAGACCTTGTAGACACTGATTGGCTAGGTCAGACCTTGTAGACTAGACACTGATTGGCTAGGTCAGACCTTGTAGACTAGACACTGATTGGCTAGGTCAGACCTTGTAGACTAGACACTGATTGGCTAGGTCAGACCTTGTAGACACTGATTGGCTAGGTCAGACCTTGTAGACACTGATTGGCTAGGTCAGACCTTGTAGACTAGACACTGATTGGCTAGGTCAGACCTTGTAGACTAGACACTGATTGGCTAGGTCAGACCTTGTAGACACTGATTGGCTAAGTCAGACCTTGTAGACACTGATTGGCTAGGTCAGACCTTGTAGACACTGATTGGCTAGGTCAGACCTTGTAGACTAGACACTGATTGGCTAGGTCAGACCTTGTAGACTAGACACTGATTGGCTAGGTCAGACCTTGTAGACTAGACACTGATTGGCTAGGTCAGACCTTGTAGACTAGACACTGATTGGCTAGGTCAGACCTTGTAGACTAGACACTGATTGGCTAGGTCAGACCTTGTAGACTAGACACTGATTGGCTAGGTCAGACCTTGTAGACACTGATTGGCTAGGTCAGACCTTGTAGACTAGACACTGATTGGCTAGGTCAGACCTTGTAGACACTGATTGGCTAGGTCAGACCTTGTAGACACTGATTGGCTAGGTCAGACCTTGTAGACTAGACACTGATTGGCTAGGTCAGACCTTGTAGACACTGATTGGCTAGGTCAGACCTTGTAGACTAGACACTGATTGGCTAGGTCAGACCTTGTAGACACTGATTGGCTAGGTCAGACCTTGTAGACTAGACACTGATTGGCTAGGTCAGACCTTGTAGACACTGATTGGCTAGGTCAGACCTTGTAGACTAGACACTGATTGGCTAGGTCAGACCTTGTAGACACTGATTGGCTAGGTCAGACCTTGTAGACACTGATTGGCTAGGTCAGACCTTGTAGACACTGATTGGCTAGGTCAGACCTTGTAGACTAGACACTGATTGGCTAGGTCAGACCTTGTAGACACTGATTGGCTAGGTCAGACCTTGTAGACACTGATTGGCTAGGTCAGACCTTGTAGACTAGACACTGATTGGCTAGGTCAGACCTTGTAGACTAGACACTGATTGGCTAGGTCAGACCTTGTAGACACTGATTGGCTAGGTCAGACCTTGTAGACGCTGATTGGCTAGGTCAGACCTTGTAGACACTGATTGGCTAGGTCAGACCTTGTAGACTAGACACTGATTGGCTAGGTCAGACCTTGTAGACACTGATTGGCTAGGTCAGACCTTGTAGACACTGATTGGCTAGGTCAGACCTTGTAGACTAGACACTAATTGGCTAGGTCAGACCTTGTAGACACTGATTGGCTAGGTCAGACCTTGTAGACACTGATTGGCTAGGTCAGACCTTGTAGACACTGATTGGCTAGGTCAGACCTTGTAGACACTGATTGGCTAGGTCAGACCTTGTAGACACTGATTGGCTAGGTCAGACCTTGTAGACTAGACACTGATTGGCTAGGTCAGACCTTGTAGACTAGACACTGATTGGCTTGGTCAGACCTTGTAGACTAGACACTGATTGGCTAGGTCAGACCTTGTAGACACTGATTGGCTAGGTCAGACCTTGTAGACTAGACACTGATTGGCTAGGTCAGACCTTGTAGACTAGACACTGATTGGCTAGGTCAGACCTTGTAGACTAGACACTGATTGGCTAGGTCAGACCTTGTAGACTAGACACTGATTGGCTAGGTCAGACCTTGTAGACACTGATTGGCTAGGTCAGACCTTGTAGACTAGACACTGATTGGCTAGGTCAGACCTTGTAGACACTGATTGGCTAGGTCAGACCTTGTAGACACTGATTGGCTAGGTCAGACCTTGTAGACTAGACACTGATTGGCTAGGTCAGACCTTGTAGACTAGACACTGATTGGCTAGGTCAGACCTTGTAGACACTGATTGGCTAGGTCAGACCTTGTAGACACTGATTGGCTAGGTCAGACCTTGTAGACTAGACACTGATTGGCTAGGTCAGACCTTGTAGACACTGATTGGCTAGGTCAGACCTTGTAGACACTGATTGGCTAGGTCAGACCTTGCAGACTAGACACTGATTGGCTAGGTCAGACCTTGTAGACACTGATTGGCTAGGTCAGACCTTGTAGACACTGATTGGCTAGGTCAGACCTTGTAGACTAGACACTGATTGGCTAGGTCAGACCTTGTAAGCTAGACACTGATTGGCTAGGTCAGACCTTGTAGACACTGATTGGCTAGGTCAGACCTTGTAGACACTGATTGGCTAGGTCAGACCTTGTAGACACTGATTGGCTAGGTCAGACCTTGTAGACACTGATTGGCTAGGTCAGACCTTGTAGACGCTGATTGGCTAGGTCAGACCTTGTAGACACTGATTGGCTAGGTCAGACCTTGTAGACTAGACACTGATTGGCTAGGTCAGACCTTGTAGACTAGACACTGATTGGCTAGGTCAGACCTTGTAGACACTGATTGGCTAGGTCAGACCTTGTAGACTAGACACTGATTGGCTAGGTCAGACCTTTTAGACACTGATTGGCTAGGTCAGACCTTGTAGACACTGATTGGCTAGGTCAGACCTTGTAGACTAGACACTGATTGGCTAGGTCAGACCTTGTAGACACTGATTGGCTAGGTCAGACCTTGTAGACTAGACACTGATTGGCTAGGTCAGACCTTGTAGACTAGACACTGATTGGCTAGGTCAGACCTTGTAGACACTGATTGGCTAGGTCAGACCTTGTAGACACTGATTGGCTAGGTCAGACCTTGTAGACTAGACACTGATTGGCTAGGTCAGACCTTGTAGACTAGACACTGATTGGCTAGGTCAGACCTTGTAGACTAGACACTGATTGGCTAGGTCAGACCTTGTAGACTAGACACTGATTGGCTAGGTCAGACCTTGTAGACACTGATTGGCTAGGTCAGACCTTGTAGACACTGATTGGCTAGGTCAGACCTTGTAGACTAGACACTGATTGGCTAGGTCAGACCTTGTAGACTAGACACTGATTGGCTAGGTCAGACCTTGTAGACTAGACACTGATTGGCTAGGTCAGACCTTGTAGACACTGATTGGCTAGGTCAGACCTTGTAGACACTGATTGGCTAGGTCAGACCTTGTAGACACTGATTGGCTAGGTCAGACCTTGTAGACACTGATTGGCTAGGTCAGACCTTGTAGACACTGATTGGCTAGGTCAGACCTTGTAGACACTGATTGGCTAGGTCAGACCTTGTAGACTAGACACTGATTGGCTAGGTCAGACCTTGTAGACACTGATTGGCTAGGTCAGACCTTGTAGACTAGACACTGATTGGCTAGGTCAGACCTTGTAGACTAGACACTGATTGGCTAGGTCAGACCTTGTAGACTAGACACTGATTGGCTAGGTCAGACCTTGTAGACACTGATTGGCTAGGTCAGACCTTGTAGACTAGACACTGATTGGCTAGGTCAGACCTTGTAGACTAGACACTGATTGGCTAGGTCAGACCTTGTAGACACTGATTGGCTAGGTCAGACCTTGTAGACTAGACACTGATTGGCTAGGTCAGACCTTGTAGACTAGACACTGATTGGCTAGGTCAGACCTTGTAGACACTGATTGGCTAGGTCAGACCTTGTAGACTAGACACTGATTGGCTAGGTCAGACCTTGTAGACACTGATTGGCTAGGTCAGACCTTGTAGACACTGATTGGCTAGGTCAGACCTTGTAGACTAGACACTGATTGGCTAGGTCAGACCTTGTAGACTAGACACTGATTGGCTAGGTCAGACCTTGTAGACACTGATTGGCTAGGTCAGACCTTGTAGACACTGATTGGCTAGGTCAGACCTTGTAGACTAGACACTGATTGGCTAGTCAGACCTTGTAGAAACTGATTGGCTAGGTCAGACCTTGTAGAAACTGATTGGCTAGGTCAGACCTTGTAGACACTTATTGGCTAGGTCAGACCTTGTAGACTAGACACTGATTGGCTAGGTCATACCTTGTAGACTAGACACTGATTGGCTAGGTCAGACCTTGTAGACACTGATTGGCTAGGTCAGACCTTGTAGACACTGATTGGCTAGGTCAGACCTTGTAGACTAGACACTGATTGGCTAGGTCAGACCTTGTAGACTAGACACTGATTGGCTAGGTCAGACCTTGTAGACACTGATTGGCTAGGTCAGACCTTGTAGACACTGATTGGCTAGGTCAGACCTTGTAGACACTGATTGGCTAGGTCAGACCTTGTAGACTAGACACTGATTGGCTAGGTCAGACCTTGTAGACTAGACACTGATTGGCTAGGTCAGACCTTGTAGACACTGATTGGCTAGGTCAGACCTTGTAGACACTGATTGGCTAGGTCAGACCTTGTAGACACTGATTGGCTAGGTCAGACCTTGTAGACACTGATTGGCTAGGTCAGACCTTGTAGACACTGATTGGCTAGGTCAGACCTTGTAGACACTGATTGCCTAGGTCAGACCTTGTAGACACTGATTGGCTAGGTCAGACCTTGTAGACACTGATTGGCTAGGTCAGACCTTGTAGACACTGATTGGCTAGGTCAGACCTTGTAGACACTGATTGGCTAGGTTAGACCTTGTAGACACTGATTGGCTAGGTCAGACCTTGTAGACACTGATTGGCTAGGTCAGACCTTGTAGACACTGATTGGCTAGGTCAGACCTTGTAGACTAGACACTGATTGGCTAGGTCAGACCTTGTAGACTAGACACTGATTGGCTAGGTCAGACCTTGTAGACACTGATTGGCTAGGTCAGACCTTGTAGACGCTGATTGGCTAGGTCAGACCTTGTAGACTAGACACTGATTGGCTAGGTCAGACCTTGTAGACACTGATTGGCTAGGTCAGACCTTGTAGACACTGATTGGCTAGGTCAGACCTTGTAGACAGTGATTGGCTAGGTCAGACCTTGTAGACACTGATTGGCTAGGTCAGACCTTGTAGACACTTATTGGCTAGGTCAGACCTTGTAGACTAGACACTGATTGGCTAGGTCAGACCTTGTAGACTAGACACTGATTGGCTAGGTCAGACCTTGTAGACACTGATTGGCTAGGTCAGACCTTGTAGACACTGATTGCCTAGGTCAGACCTTGTAGACACTGATTGGCTAGGTCAGACCTTGTAGACACTGATTGGCTAGGTCAGACCTTGTAGACTAGACACTGATTGGCTAGGTCAGACCTTGTAGACTAGACACTGATTGGCTAGGTCAGACCTTGTAGACTAGACACTGATTGGCTAGGTCAGACCTTGTAGACTAGACACTGATTGGCTAGGTCAGACCTTGTAGACACTGATTGGCTAGGTCAGACCTTGTAGACGCTGATTGGCTAGGTCAGACCTTGTAGACACTGATTGGCTAGGTCAGACCTTGTAGACACTGATTGGCTAGGTCAGACCTTGTAGACTAGACACTGATTGGCTAGGTCAGACCTTGTAGACACTGATTGGCTAGGTCAGACCTTGTAGACACTGATTGGCTAGGTCAGACCTTGTAGACACTGATTGGCTAGGTCAGACCTTGTAGACACTGATTGGCTAGGTCAGACCTTGTAGACACTGATTGGCTAGGTCAGACCTTGTAGACACTGATTGGCTAGGTCAGACCTTGTAGACACTGATTGGCTAGGTCAGACCTTGTAGACACTGATTGGCTAGGTCAGACCTTGTAGACACTGATTGGCTAGGTCAGACCTTGTAGACACTGATTGGCTAGGTCAGACCTTGTAGACACTGATTGGCTAGGTCAGACCTTGTAGACTAGACACTGATTGGCTAGGTCAGACCTTGTAGACACTGATTGCCTAGGTCAGACCTTGTAGACACTGATTGGCTAGGTCAGACCTTGTAGACACTGATTGGTTAGGTCAGACCTTGTAGACACTGATTGGCTAGGTCAGACCTTGTAGACTAGACACTGATTGGCTAGGTCAGACCTTGTAGACACTGATTGGCTAGGTCAGACCTTGTAGACTAGACACTGATTGGCTAGGTCAGACCTTGTAGACACTGATTGGTTAGGTCAGACCTTGTAGACACTGATTGGCTAGGTCAGACCTTGTAGACACTTATTGGCTAGGTCAGACCTTGTAGACACTGATTGGCTAGGTCAGACCTTGTAGACACTTATTGGCTAGGTCAGACCTTGTAGACACTGATTGGCTAGGTCAGACCTTGTAGACACTGATTGGTTAGGTCAGACCTTGTAGACACTGATTGGCTAGGTCAGACCTTGTAGACACTGATTGGCTAGGTCAGACCTTGTAGACACTGATTGGTTAGGTCAGACCTTGTAGACACTGATTGGCTAGGTCAGACCTTGTAGACACTGATTGGCTAGGTCAGACCTTGTAGACACTGATTGGCTAGGTCAGACCTTGTAGACTAGACACTGATTGGCTAGGTCAGACCTTGTAGACACTGATTGGCTAGGTCAGACCTTGTAGACACTGATTGGCTAGGTCAGACCTTGTAGACTAGACACTGATTGGCTAGGTCAGACCTTGTAGACACTGATTGGCTATGTCAGACCTTGTAGACACTGATTGGCTAGGTCAGACCTTGTAGACACTGATTGGCTAGGTCAGACCTTGTAGACACTGATTGGCTAGGTCAGACCTTGTAGACACTGATTGGCTAGGTCAGACCTTGTAGACACTGATTGGCTAGGTCAGACCTTGTAGACTAGACACTGATTGGCTAGGTCAGACCTTGTAGACTAGACACTGATTGGCTAGGTCAGACCTTGTAGACACTGATTGGCTAGGTCAGACCTTGTAGACTAGACACTGATTGGCTAGGTCAGACCTTGTAGACACTGATTGGCTAGGTCAGACCTTGTAGACACTGATTGGCTAGGTCAGACCTTGTAGACACTGATTGGCTAGGTCAGACCTTGTAGACTAGACACTGATTGGCTAGGTCAGACCTTGTAGACTAGACACTGATTGGCTATGTCAGACCTTGTAGACACTGATTGGCTAGGTCAGACCTTGTAGACTAGACACTGATTGGCTAGGTCAGACCTTGTAGACACTGATTGGCTAGGTCAGACCTTGTAGACTAGACACTGATTGGCTAGGTCAGACCTTGTAGACACTGATTGGCTAGGTCAGACCTTGTAGACACTGATTGGCTAGGTCAGACCTTGTAGACTAGACACTGATTGGCTAGGTCAGACCTTGTAGACTAGACACTGATTGGCTAGGTCAGACCTTGTAGACTAGACACTGATTGGCTAGGTCAGACCTTGTAGACACTGATTGGCTAGGTCAGACCTTGTAGACACTGATTGGCTAGGTCAGACCTTGTAGACAGTGATTGGCTAGGTCAGACCTTGTAGACTAGACACTGATTGGCTAGGTCAGACCTTGTAGACACTGATTGGCTAGGTCAGACCTTGTAGACTAGACACTGATTGGCTAGGTCAGACCTTGTAGACTAGACACTGATTGGCTAGGTCAGACCTTGTAGACACTGATTGGCTAGGTCAGACCTTGTAGACACTGATTGGCTAGGTCAGACCTTGTAGACACTGATTGGCTAGGTCAGACCTTGTAGACACTGATTGGCTAGGTCAGACCTTGTAGACACTGATTGGCTAGGTCAGACCTTGTAGACACTTATTGGCTAGGTCAGACCTTGTAGACACTGATTGGCTAGGTCAGACCTTGTAGACACTGATTGGCTAGGTCAGACCTTGTAGACACTGATTGGCTAGGTCAGACCTTGTAGACACTGATTGGCTAGGTCAGACCTTGTAGACTAGACACTGATTGGCTAGGTCAGACCTTGTAGACACTGATTGGCTAGGTCAGACCTTGTAGACACTGATTGGCTAGGTCAGACCTTGTAGTTGAAGCAACTGACATATAATTTTATGTAGCAGTCTTGTAATGTTGAGCAAGTGTTGTTTTTAGACCCAACTGACTGATAATGTAGTAGTCTTGTAATGTTGACCCAACTTACTGATAATGAAGTAGTCTTGTAATGTTGACCCAACTTACTGATTAACTTTCTGACTGTTCAGATGAAGAGGACAGCAAAGATTCCAAGTTCAACTTGAAGACAATCAACAACGAAGCCAAGTCCACCCTGGAGGAGCTGGAGAGAGAATACAAGCCTTCTCCTTTTCTGGTCATTAACTCCCTTGTTATGATAATTTGCTCCCTTTTCTTGTTAACTCCCCTTTTCTATAACTAGGTCTCTTTCCATATTGCTACCCTTTCTTATAAAAAATATTTTCCCTGAATTGAGTTTTTATTTATGATAATATTGTTACTCCTTTGTCTTTCTCATACTTAACAAAGTAAACATTAGTGTTCCCTTTTTATTTCATTCTCCCCCTGCCCATCCCTCGACCTATTCACATTATTCTAAAATTATTTTCCAGGTTAAAAAAGAAGAAGAACAGAAGAAAGCAGACAAGTTCAATGCTGTAAGTTATCAATTATTTTGGCGCAAGAAATTTTTTGAGGCCATCAGCTAAGCCACTGGTTACATGTCATTGCCTGAACAAAGGTTTAGCACTAGCAGGATAGTTCTGTCAAATGATCTAAGTTTAAACAAATGTATCTATCACCAGGCTCCATATTCCACTGGGAAAGTTGCGGCGTCCTTCACATCAACAGCCATGGATGTACACACAGAGTTTGTAGCAGGTCAGAGAGAATTAGTTTCATTCAACAGTCATTTAAGTTTGTCCAGAGATTGATAGACTATCAGCGTGTTGTCCAGAGATTGATAGACTATCAGCTTGTTGTCCAGAGATTGATAGATTATCAGCTTGTTGTCCAGAGATTGATAGACTATCAGCTTGTTGTCCAGAGATTGATAGACTATCAGCTTGTTGTCCAATGTTTATCAGACTGGCAGTTTGTAGCCCTTGCCTTTCCTGCTGTCAATCATTTGCCCTTTCTCAAACTTAATTTGTGAGTTCATCTTTTCTCTGACCTAATTAGCGAGTTTCTCCTTCCTCAGACTTAATTAACGAGGATGTGCTTCGGTACGAGAGAGTGAAGAAGAAAGGCTATGTGCGAATTGTCACTAACCTGGGTCCCTTGAGCTTGGAGCTACACTGTGATATGGTGGGTGACGTAGTCTAGTATGGTGGGTGACATAGTCTAGTATGGTGGGTGACATAATCTAGTATGGTGGGTGACATAGTCTAGTATGGTGGGTGACATAGTCTAGTATGGTGGGTGACATAGTCTAGTATGGTGGGTGACATAGTCTAGTATGGTGGGTGACATAGTCTAGTATGGTGGGTGACATAGTCTAGTATGGTGGGTAACGTAGTCTAGTATGGTGGGTGACATAGTCTAGTATGGTGGGTGACATAGTCTAGTATGGTGGGTGACATAGTCTAGTATGGTGGGTGACATAGTCTAGTATGGTGGGTGACATAGTCTAGTATGGTGGGTGACACAGTCTAGTATGGTGGGTGACACAGTCTAGTATGGTGGGTGACATAGTCTAGTATGGTGGGTGACATAGTCTAGTATGGTGGGTGACATAATCTAGTATGGTGGGTGACGTAGTCTAGTATGGTGGGTGACATAGTCTAGTATGGTGGGTGACATAGTCTAGTATGGTGGGTGACATAGTCTAGTATGGTGGGTGACATAGTCTAGTATGGTGGGTGACACAGTCTAGTATGGTGGGTGACACAGTCTAGTATGGTGGGTGACATAGTCTAGTATGGTGGGTGACATAGTCTAGTATGGTGGGTGACATAGTCTAGTATGGTGGGTGACGTAGTCTAGTATGGTGGGTGACGTAGTCTAGTATGGTGGGTGACAGTCTAGTATGGTGGGTGACATAGTCTAGTATGGTGGGTGACATAGTCTAGTATGGTGGGTGACATAGTCTAGTATGGTGGGTAACGTAGTCTAGTATGGTGGGTGACATAGTCTAGTATTTTATTATCATTGGTCACCAGAGTTAATTAATTTTTACTGTAATTTCCATGTCCCAAAGACATATGAAAACTTTGATAAAAAAATGTTTACATTAATTTGTTTTTGCGCCAGGTCCCAAAGACATGTGAAAACTTCCTGAAACATTGTCTGAATGGTTACTACAAGAACACAATATTTCACAGGTCAATTCGTAACTTCATGGTAAGTTGCCTCTCTCACTGCACATCATTTAGCTTGATTTATGCAACTGTTTAACATTTAGTCTAACTCTCGTCTTAAGACCTTTGTTTAAATGTTTGTTAAAGTATATTGATTAAGTTTCCTAATACATGAGAATATACACACAAAAATAACCAGATATGAAAAATGTAGCCGCTTTTTTAATTTAGATTTTTTTCTTCTACTGAACTTAAATTTGTTTATATTTGAAAATAATGTACATGTAAAATTGTATGTATGTTTGCATTTGAAAATAATGTAGATGTAAAATTGTATCTATGTTTACATTTGAAAATAATGTAGATGTAATATTGTATCTGTGTTTACATATGAAAATACTGTAGATGTAAAATTGTGTCTGTGTTTACATTTGAAAATACTGTAGATGTAAAATTGTGTCTGTGTTTACATATGAAAATACTGTAGATGTAAAATTGTGTTTGTAGATTCAAGGAGGAGACCCAGAGGGAACAGGAGCAGGTAAAGATTTGATCACTTGAATCTTTTTTATCTTTTCTTGTGCTTACATTTTATATTGTTGCAGTTGCTTGAATTTAAACTTTCACGATGTTCGTCACTAAATTTGAATATTTTTCTTTACTTTTTCCTCGGCTTGAGGAGACGAGTCAAGTATTTTTTAATTGACTTTAACCTTGCAGGGGGACAGTCTATTTGGGGCACGCCATTTAAAGACGAGTTGAAGCCAAATTTAACCCACACAGGGCGAGGAGTCTTGAGCATGGCAAATAGTGGGCCTAACACCAACAGATCTCAGTTGTAAGTTGACCTTAAGCCTAACACATCTCAGTTGTAAGTTGACCTTAAGCCTAACACATCTCAGTTGTAAGTTGACCTTAAGCCTAACACATCTCAGTTGTAAGTTGACCTTTTGCCTACAGATCTCAGTTGTAAGTTGACCTTTAACCCTACAGATCTCAGTTGTAAGTTGACCTTTTGCCTACAGATCTCAGTTGTAAGTTGACCTTTAACCCTACAGATCTCAGTTGTAAGTTGACCTTTCGCCTACAGATCTCAGTTGTAAGTTGACCTTTACCCCTACAGATCTCAGTTGTAAGTTGACCTTTCGCCTACAGATCTCAGTTGTAAGTTGACCTTTCGCCTACAGATCTCAGTTGTAAGTTGACCTTTCGCCTACAGATCTCAGTTGTAAGTTGACCTTTCGCCTACAGATCTCATTTGTAAGTTGACCTTTCGCCTACAGATCTCAGTTGTAAGTTGACATTTAACCCTACAGATCTCAGTTGTAAGTTGACCTTTCGCCTACAGATCTCAGTTGTAAGTTGACCTTTCGCCTACAGATCTCAGTTGTAAGTTGACCTTTCGCCTACAGATCTCAGTTGTAAGTTGACCTTTAACCCTACAGATCTCAGTTGTAAGTTGACCTTTAACCCTACAGATCTCAGTTGTAAGTTGACCTTTCGCCTACAGATCTCAGTTGTAAGTTGACCTTTACCCCTACAGATCTCAGTTGTAAGTTGACCTTTAACCCTACAGATCTCAGTTGTAAGTTGACCTTTACCCCTACAGATATCAGTTGTAAGTTGAACTAGTTTATTTCTACTGTTTCCCAAACCCAGCCCCTCAATACAAAATTAGAACTTTTTCCCCAGCTCTATAATGTACTGATCTTAGTAAAAAACTTGAACTTTTTCCCCAGCTCTGTAACGTACTGATCTTAGTAAAAAAATTGAACTTTTTCCCCAGCTCTATAACGTACTGATCTTAGTAAAAAAAAAATGAACTTTTTCCCCAGCTTTATAACGTACAGATCTTGCCGACACTTGGATGGTAAACATGCTGTCTTTGGAAAGTACGTTGTTCTTTTTATTAAAACAAGTTAATAAAAAGTCTAGTGACAATTTAAGCGCAATTTCCTTACTTAATTTTTTGTGACCGAACGAAAGGATATTTTTGAAAACTTTCTTCGGCAATATTGTTCTAAATTATGGCAGGAATCGATTGGTAAATGTTTCAAGTCGCTAAGTGGTCTTGTTGCCGAGATATGGGCCAAAAACTGCATTTTTTTCGAGGTTTTTTTGGCTTTTCCGGGAAATCCAGGAAGGGATTCCGGGAATGTTTTTGGCCCACAATCATCCTCGGAACTTGCTTAACATATTAGCTTTTGGAACTAGTCCTCGATATTGCTTCGTTGAGTAGGAGATACGACTTAAAGCTGCGGACACACATCCATCCATCCAGAAATGACGAATTATTAAACGCAATTGCCAGTATGGAAATTGCGCTAAAAATGGTATTGGAATAAAATAGTTCTGTTTATAAAAACCCATTTTAAGTAAATCCAAGAAGAATATATTTAACTAAGTAAATCCATGAAGAATATTTTTAACTAAGTAACCCATGAAGAATATATTTAACTAAGTAACCCATGAAGAATATATTTAACTAAGTAACCCATGAAGAATATATTTAACTAAGTAACCCCTGAAGAATATATTTAACTAAGTAACCCCTGAAGAATATATTTAACTAAGTAACCCATGAAGAATATATTTAACTAAGTAACCCATGAAGAATATATTTAACTAAGTAACCCATGAAGAATATATTTAACTTAGCTACTTAACTCAGCTGAGAAGCTAAGGCCATTTAGTTGTGTTGTACTGTAATGTCCTCAAACATGTAATGTTGTTTTGAATCATGAGGATAAAACTTAGTGTCAAGGCTGTAAAATAATATTATGGATAAGGTTCTTAAAATGTTGGTATAAAAAAAATTTGGAATCTTCTCCAGGGTAGTGGGAGGCCTGAAAACCCTGGATGCTATGGAGGCCATAGAGGTCGACAAAAAGGACAAGCCAAAGGTCAGTTTGTTATCTAGCAGTATGGATTTTATGGACAAATGTTTAGTCTTTGTTGTCTAGGAGCAGTCATGATGTGGCTTGTTAAAGATTTAACTATGGATCTAGAACACAGTCATGATGTGGCTTGTTAAAGATTTAACTATGGATCTAGAACACACAGTCGTGATGTGGCTTGTTAAAGATTTAACTATGGATCTAGAACACACAGTCGTGATGTAGCTTGTTAAAGATTTAGCTATGGATCTAGAACACACAGTCGTGATGTGGCTTGTTAAAGATTTAGCTATGGATCTAGAACACACAGTCGTGATGTGGCTTGTTAAAGATTTAGCTATGGATCTAGAACACACAGTCGTGATGTGGCTTGTTAAAGATTTAGCTATGGATCTAGAACACACAGTCGTGATGTGGCTTGTTAAAGATTTAGCTATGGATCTAGAACATACAGTCGTGATGTGGCTTGTTAAAGATTTAGCTATGGATCTAGAACACAAACGCTGGTATATGAGTTGTATACCAAAATGTTGTGTTGAATATATACAAAATCAGTATACGGTTTAATTTTCACATGATTAGCCATATTTGGTGATAAATGATTATTTTTTCAATAAATGTACATGGGGTCCTTCGTTGCTCGTGTCCCATTTATGGGACAAACTGGCTCTATTAAAACCCATCTAAAAAACTAATTTAAATGTTTAGCCCTGCTTAAGGTTAGAGCAAAAACCTCACATCTGAAACTATTTTAAATGTTTAGCTCTACTTGAGCAAAAAGCTCACATCTGCTGTCATGTGTAGAGTGAATGTTCTAATTTTAGCACTTAGAAAACAAAAACCTCACATCTGATGTCATGTGTAGAGTGAATGTTCTAATTTTAGCACTTAGAAAACAAAAAGCTCACATCTGATGTCATGTGTCAATGTTCTAATTTTAGCACTTAGAAAACAAAAAGCTCACATCTGATGTCATGTGTCAATGTTCTAAGTTTAGCACTTAGAAAACAAAAAGCTCACATCTGATGTCATGTGTCAATGTTCTAATTTTAGCACTTAGAAAACAAAAAGCTCACATCTGAAACTATTTTAAATGTTTAGCTCTACTTGAGCAAAAAGCTCACATCTGCTGTCATGTGTAGAGTGAATGTTTTAATTTTAGCACTTAGAAAACAAAAACCTCACATCTGATGTCATGTGTAGAGTGAATGTTCTAATTTTAGCACTTAGAAAACAAAAAGCTCACATCTGATGTCATGTGTCAATGTTCTAAGTTTAGCACTTAGAAAACAAAAAGCTCACATCTGATGTCATGTGTAGAGTCAATGTTCTAAGTTTAGCACTTAGAAAACAAAAAGCTCACATCTGATGTCATGTGTCAATGTTCTAAGTTTAGCACTTAGAAAACAAAAAGCTCACATCTGATGTCATGTGTCAATGTTCTAAGTTTAGCACTTAGAAAACAAAAAGCTCACATCTGATGTCATGTGTCAATGTTCTAAGTTTAGCACTTAGAAAACAAAAAGCTCACATCTGATGTCATGTGTCAATGTTCTAAGTTTAGCACTTAGAAAACAAAAAGCTCACATCTGATGTCATGTGTAGAGTCAATGTTCTAATTTTAGCACTTAGAAAACAAAAAGCTCACATCTGATGTCATGTGTCAATGTTCTAAGTTTAGCACTTAGAAAACAAAAAGCTCACATCTGATGTCATGTGTCAATGTTCTAAGTTTAGCACTTAGAAAACAAAAAGCTCACATCTGATGTCATGTGTAGAGTCAATGTTCTAATTTTAGCACTTAGAAAACAAAAAGCTCACATCTGATGTCATGTGTCAATGTTCTAAGTTTAGCACTTAGAAAACAAAAAGCTCACATCTGATGTCATGTGTCAATGTTCTAAGTTTAGCACTTAGAAAACAAAAAGCTCACATCTGATGTCATGTGTCAATGTTCTAATTTTAGCACTTAGAAAACAAAAAGCTCACATCTGATGTCATGTGTCAATGTTCTAAGTTTAGCACTTAGAAAACAAAAAGCTCACATCTGATGTCATGTGTCAATGTTCTAAGTTTAGCACTTAGAAAACAAAAAGCTCACATCTGATGTCATGTGTCAATGTTCTAAGTTTAGCACTTAGAAAACAAAAAGCTCACATCTGATGTCATGTGTAGAGTGAATGTTCTAATTTTAGCACTTAGAAAACAAAAAGTTCACATCTGATGTCATGTGTAGAGTCAATGTTCTAATTTTAGCACTTAGAAAACAAAAAGCTCACATCTGATGTCATGTGTCAATGTTCTAAGTTTAGCACTTAGAAAACAAAAAGCTCACATCTGATGTCATGTGTCAATGTTCTAAGTTTAGCACTTAGAAAACAAAAAGCTCACATCTGATGTCATGTGTCAATGTTCTAAGTTTAGCACTTAGAAAACAAAAAGCTCACATCTGATGTCATGTGTCAATGTTCTAAGTTTAGCACTTAGAAAACAAAAAGCTCACATCTGATGTCATGTGTCAATGTTCTAAGTTTAGCACTTAGAAAACAAAAAGCTCACATCTGATGTCATGTGTCAATGTTCTAAGTTTAGCACTTAGAAAACAAAAAGCTCACATCTGATGTCATGTGTCAATGTTCTAAGTTTAGCACTTAGAAAACAAAAAGCTCACATCTGATGTCATGTGTCAATGTTCTAAGTTTAGCACTTAGAAAACAAAAAGCTCACATCTGATGTCATGTGTAGAGTCAATGTTCTAATTTTAGCACTTAGAAAACAAAAAGCTCACATCTGATGTCATGTGTCAATGTTCTAAGTTTAGCACTTAGAAAACAAAAAGCTCACATCTGATGTCATGTGTCAATGTTCTAAGTTTAGCACTTAGAAAACAAAAAGCTCACATCTGATGTCATGTGTAGAGTCAATGTTCTAATTTTAGCACTTAGAAAACAAAAAGCTCACATCTGATGTCATGTGTCAATGTTCTAAGTTTAGCACTTAGAAAACAAAAAGCTCACATCTGATGTCATGTGTCAATGTTCTAAGTTTAGCACTTAGAAAACAAAAAGCTCACATCTGATGTCATGTGTCAATGTTCTAATTTTAGCACTTAGAAAACAAAAAGCTCACATCTGATGTCATGTGTCAATGTTCTAAGTTTAGCACTTAGAAAACAAAAAGCTCACATCTGATGTCATGTGTCAATGTTCTAAGTTTAGCACTTAGAAAACAAAAAGCTCACATCTGATGTCATGTGTCAATGTTCTAAGTTTAGCACTTAGAAAACAAAAAGCTCACATCTGATGTCATGTGTCAATGTTCTAAGTTTAGCACTTAGAAAACAAAAAGCTCACATCTGATGTCATGTGTAGAGTCAATGTTCTAATTTTAGCACTTAGAAAACAAAAAGCTCACATCTGATGTCATGTGTCAATGTTCTAAGTTTAGCACTTAGAAAACAAAAAGCTCACATCTGATGTCATGTGTCAATGTTCTAAGTTTAGCACTTAGAAAACAAAAAGCTCACATCTGATGTCATGTGTAGAGTCAATGTTCTAATTTTAGCACTTAGAAAACAAAAAGCTCACATCTGATGTCATGTGTCAATGTTCTAAGTTTAGCACTTAGAAAACAAAAAGCTCACATCTGATGTCATGTGTCAATGTTCTAAGTTTAGCACTTAGAAAACAAAAAGCTCACATCTGATGTCATGTGTCAATGTTCTAATTTTAGCACTTAGAAAACAAAAAGCTCACATCTGATGTCATGTGTCAATGTTCTAAGTTTAGCACTTAGAAAACAAAAAGCTCACATCTGATGTCATGTGTCAATGTTCTAAGTTTAGCACTTAGAAAACAAAAAGCTCACATCTGATGTCATGTGTCAATGTTCTAAGTTTAGCACTTAGAAAACAAAAACCTCACATCTGATGTCATGTGTAGAGTGAATGTTCTAATTTTAGCACTTAGAAAACAAAAAGTTCACATCTGATGTCATGTGTAGAGTGAATGTTCTAAGTTTAGCACTTAGAAAACAAAAAGCTCACATCTGATGTCATGTGTCAATGTTCTAAGTTTAGCACTTAGAAAACAAAAAGCTCACATCTGATGTCATGTGTCAATGTTCTAAGTTTAGCACTTAGAAAACAAAAAGCTCACATCTGATGTCATGTGTCAATGTTCTAAGTTTAGCACTTAGAAAACAAAAAGCTCACATCTGATGTCATGTGTCAATGTTCTAAGTTTAGCACTTAGAAAACAAAAAGCTCACATCTGATGTCATGTGTCAATGTTCTAAGTTTAGCACTTAGAAAACAAAAAGCTCACATCTGATGTCATGTGTCAATGTTCTAAGTTTAGCACTTAGAAAACAAAAAGCTCACATCTGATGTCATGTGTCAATGTTCTAAGTTTAGCACTTAGAAAACAAAAAGCTCACATCTGATGTCATGTGTCAATGTTCTAAGTTTAGCACTTAGAAAACAAAAAGCTCACATCTGATGTCATGTGTCAATGTTCTAAGTTTAGCACTTAGAAAACAAAAACCTCACATCTGATGTCATGTGTCAATGTTCTAATTTTAGCACTTAGAAAACAAAAACCTCACATCTGATGTCATGTGTCAATGTTCTAATTTTAGCACTTAGAAAACAAAAAGCTCACATCTGATGTCATGTGTCAATGTTCTAATTTTAGCACTTAGAAAACAAAAAGCTCACATCTGATGTCATGTGTCAATGTTCTAATTTTAGCACTTAGAAAACAAAAACCTCCTCTTATTACACTGCTGTAGATTTTTTGTAATTGAGAATTTAAACTTTTTAATTAGCTAATTTATATTTAATGACATCAGACGTGTTAATAAAATTGATGCGTTTATCTAACATATCACAAGGCTGTTTTACACCATGACATATTTTACAACATATTGTTTGCACAGAAATAATAGCATACATATATAGCAATGTTTATTATGTTCATATTATTACATGAAAACAGCATGTCAAATATATATATGAATGAAACAAAATGTCAAATATATATATGAATTAAGCAGTATGTGAAATATACATATGAATGATGAGATAATCGAACAAGAAATATGATAAAATAAAAGCTATTGCGTAATAATTTGAAATGGTTGGCCTCTACCAGTGAGAGATTTAATGACTTCCGCAGCAGTTGAAGGGAAGGCTGTGCTAGAGTCAGCAATATTGTCTTTATCATCAATGACATGTGACACGTAATACGTGTTTCCTCCGAGATTCTGCTCCCCGTCCTCATTTCTTTTCTCCAGCAGCTTGAGCTCTAGTTCCAGTTTTTTGTTCTCTAGTTCTAGTTTCCTGGCCTCCAGCTCCAGTTTTTTATTGACCAGCACAAGTTTTCTGCGCTTGAGATCTTGATAAAAGTCCCCGTTCCTCAGCTCCCCGGCTGTCAGGACACGTTTAGTGGCGTTACCTATCAGCCGGGCCACAGGTGTGTCTGGCATTTTGGCCTGACCCCCACACATGTCGGTCTCCTCAGCATCATCAAAATTCTGCTCCCCTGAACTTGCTGAAAAAGAGAATAGAATTTGTTTTATTCCAATCAAATTAAGTGGAAACAAATGAAAATTTATTTAATGAAAAGCTATTCCACATGTCCTGTGAGATATTTAACGGGTGGTCATTAATTTTTTTTAGAAAAAACTATTGGTCAGTAATGAGTCATCCTGTGCTTTACTTATAAAAAAAAGTTATATAGCCAGTTATAAAACTCGTGTCCTACTTTCTATGCTAACCAGCTGCCCTCCTTCCCGCTCCTCTAACTTAGCCAGTGTGTAGCTGGTTGAGTTGACCCGTGCCATGCGAAACAATTGTTTTGGTGCTTTTGTTTCTTCCTTTGGTTCTATATCATGGTTGTGTTGCTCAAATAGCTCATAGACCACCAGATGGTGTAAGTCCTCCGCCAGACGGAGAAGAACCCTCATGGCACAGCCTCTACGTTTAGATCTGAAAGATGGGTTCTTAATCAGACAAGTCAAGTGGATAACAACAATAAGAAACACTCACTATAATGTACTTAAACACAGTTACAACCTATCCTACTATCCTGTATCATAGTTTATTCATAGGTGCTAAATATTATTATCATTTGTTTAAAAGCATATTTTAAAATACAGGTCATGAAAGCTAGTTACATGTCAGACTAATTTAGTTTCTCACATGTGATTGGGTTTTGTTGCCTTTCCTTTTGAACGATATTCTCCATGATATTCACATGCATAAGACAGGCGATAATAGACAATGTCTTTGTTGACAACATCCATCAGTTTGGGCATTGTTTTGGCAATCCTTCCCAGAAGCTTGGAGTCTTTGACTATAAGCTGCACCTTGTTAGCTTTCTGGTAGCGGTCAATGGCATCTTTTAAACTGTCAAAGGATGCAAACTTTTCACCTAGAGCTATTTCTGGCATTTTCTCTGTCAAAGAAATTTTATTATTAAAAATATAGGCAACTAAATATTGATTTTTGAAAAAGCTGACATTTAAAATAAAAGCTGATCAAACTATTACACCTAGCCTATTTAATTTAATTAAATGTTTTTAAAATATATTATTTATTATTTTAAACTTCAGTTGTTTTTTTTTATTAGCTCTAAGTAGATCTATTCATAGGTGCACCTACATTTTGAAAGACTAAATCTTAATAGTTTTACCTTCCTATCAACTATCGTCTTAATTTAAATTTAGATTTTAGTTAGTGGCTTAGAGCAGGTCAGTAGGCTCTTTAGTAATTCTAGTAGTTTAGACTTAGAAACTACATGCTACTTTTATAGTACTTTTGTTTATAACAGCATTACTCTTAGTCATGACCACTTTTCATCATAGGCAATTGTAGACTCCGACATAAACCATGTCAGTTATTATTATTAATTAATTACTAAAATATAAATGATCGTGACTATGTTATATTCTACGGTAACATTCGGCACATTTTCGGTCCTTGTTGGATATTTCGGCGCTGACGGATTCTTGTCTATTTTTAGATCGGTAAACGTAAAATAAGGTTATCTACAGTTAACTATATTTTAAGTTCATTTTACAAGTTTTTAAAAAATATTTAAGCTTTAATAATGATTAATATTCCTTAAAAGTTTAAAAGGTATCATATTACCAGATTCTTTGGCATAAAACGTATGTAACTACACAGAAAACAACCACGGGAAATGTCGGAAGTTTCGTGTAGAAAAGCAAGGGGAGGTTAGTGTTAATAATAATTTAAGAAAGCAAACTTTTTGCATTTCGAATAATTTTATAATCTTCACATTTTTTTATTAGATCTTGATACCTAGAGATAGACTTGACTCTAGATTCTGCTAGATCTAGCTCCAGTTCTAAATTGTCGAAAAAAAATGTTATAGGCTTAAGTAAGTAATGTTTATTGTTTAATTTTTATGTTTTCTAGATATAATTCTTGTTGTTCTCTAAATTCTATAGAAAAAAACAGGGAGTGATCTCCCCTGAACTTTCTCTAAAAATTCTTATATAACACTACTGGGATGGCAACTCGGGATATAGACAATATTTAAAAATTAAATCCATTTTTTTATTACTTAAACTTTTAAAAATAGAATAGAATCTCATAGAAAAAAGAATTGCACATCAAGTGAACGCTAAATAAAATGTGTATAATAGTGTGGAATATTAGTATAATTAGTATATGACTATAAATATGAAGCTACAGTGTTAGGTTATTTAAAGGTTACAGGCTTACATTTAATTTGTTGGTTTGTTTTTTCATATAAGTGATATAAAATCAAAGGTATTTTATACTAAAATTTCCTACCACAACCCCACACCTGAGGAGCAGTGCCTCCTCCCTCAAAGAGAAGCCAGAAAGAAACTCTGACTCCTGCAGTTTACTGCCATTAAATATTTTTAAAAATTTCGTTAGGAGAGCGGCCCCTTGACAGTAAGGCGGTTCAATTTGCCACCCAGAGTTTCCCAGCAGTTTTCTTAGCACCTTGGGTCAGTTAATTGGGTGTCATGCATGGACAGGTGCATCAGCCGATCCCCCGGGCTCCCCACTTGAGCAATATGGCACATACACTTGTTTTAATGAGCGCCATGCCCTAGGGATACAGAGGGGTACTATAATCTATGGCTAAAGAAAATAAAGGGTGTCCTCCAGCCACCTCGGCAGTAGTATACAGTTGGGCACCCCCAAGTCTCTCCATTATAATGATGTTATGAAACAAGTTGTAGAAATGCCCTTTGAGTCAGTAACTTGGCCATTCTAAGTATCAAACCTCCAGAAGCAGCTAAAATGGACTTCAAGGAACATATTAATCACTTTGCAAACTTATAAGAAAGGAAAAACAAAACAAATCTTAATAAATCATGAGCAACTTTTAAAAATTTGTATTTGGTTAGAGGCATCACAAGGTTTGACATCACCCCGTGCGTTTAGTGAGTGTCACCCCCACCCCGTCTAACAATTTTGCATTTCCAGTGGAGTGTTACCCCCCTCTCCTTAATATTTTATTATTTTAACTGAATAAAACATAGTTTGGACTGTAAATTTTACAAGTTTATGTCATGGTGTCACGCCTAAATTGTGAGGCCCCCGCCTTATGAAGCTACTGTGTTAGGTTATTTAAAGGTTACAGGCTTACAGTTAATTTGTTAGTTGTTTTTTTTCATATAAGTAATATAAAATCAAAGGTACTTTATTCTACAGGGGACTTCACAATAATACCATATAAATACACAACCATGGACATATAAAATACACAATTTACAGGGGCCCAATAATAATTTTTGCATAGGGGCCCAAAAATCCTAGCTACTCCACATCCCTGAACTTAAAAATATGATTATTATTGAACTTATATTTAAATGTTCATGGGTGGGGGAAACTACATATCTCTATAAAATGACTATATATATACATAATAAAATGCCCATACATATCGCACTATAATATGCCTATAAATTTATAAATATATTTCTATAACTATAATATATTACAAAATGAGTTTGAGGAGGAAACTGTTTTTATGACTTGAAATTTTGAATCCACATTGACTCATTAGAGGATTTATAACCTTCCCAAGCCACTGCTAGAACTTAAGCATATGGCCTATTCAATTTCAAATTGTATATTGTCAACAGATTTTCTATAGACTTAATTCAAAGAGTCCAGCTCATAAGTCAGAATCATGAAGATCTAATACTACTACTACTGATAATAATAATTCATATCATCATTAAATCCTATTCTGAGTTTTCTCCATCACCCACGGTATTGTAATGCATGCAGGTTTTTTTTTTGGGGTTTTTTTTTTTTGCGAGTTTGTTTGGTTATTAATTTATTGTGATACCTTGGATTTACTTGAGAGTCATCTGAATATATTTTCGCTTTGTTTAAACGGTTTTTGTTTCAAAGATTTCATTGTGTATTGTCCACTTTTTGTATCACTCATTACTTTTGTACAGTGTTTCCTTTCAGACTACTCTCCATTTTAGATTACTTATTTGCTAAATATATCAGTTGACATAAAAAATATGCACCCATTTTAACACATTATTTTGTTAAATGTTTGAGAGAAAAGCTGCTCCTTTTCACACATACCCCCACTCAAGTTTAAATATATTCATGAGAAACAAATACAAAGAGCCTGTAACGTCAACTTTTTTTTGTGTCTCCCTGTATATTTTTCACAGGAATTATTTATCCACAATCTCTTTACTTTAAAAAAGGCATTGCTACTACTACAGGACGGCATAGCCTAAGTGATAGGTTGCTAACCCAAACAACCTAATGGCATACATCATCAAAAAACAGCATGAAGAGGATTTAAAGGCCAGGTGAATTAATACCTGGAAATTTGAACTCTGCTTGTAAAAAGTGATGCCTGGCTGTCCTGCTGTCTTTACTTGTTCTGTACCTTTGTTTACCCTTGGCGTTGAAATATCACTTTCTGTTTATTTTGCTATTTCTGCTCTCTGAGACAGGCAACACATACTCAACATAACTTTATGGCAGGGGTCAGATATTTGTTTGAAGTGTTCTATAAATTATATACTAAAATATATGAGACACTTTTAATGAAATGCTTTTACAATTTTTTTTTTACAAATTCTTATACTTATACTTATACTGATTAAAGATGTGCCAACATGCTAAGACTTTGATCACTTAGTCATCTTTCTGTGAAGACAACCAATCATTGAAAGCCATTGGAAATAAGTTTATGATGCAGCTTCACATTTATTCAACTTGTTTCATGACATTTTTTATTGTTCAATACTGATACTTTGAGTTACATATCTTAACCCTTTAAAACTAGGAATTTAACATTTCAAAATAAATAGAACAACCCTTTTTTTAAATTCAAGAATTAGCCTTTAACTAAGTTAGAAGATATGAATTACATTTATTTGAACCAAGAAGAAAAATTTCCACAGCTTTATGCTTAATCTGAAAATGTTCAAGACACTTATAAACACTGGATATGAAAGTAAATCCATTCCCTATGCTGTTTGCAGATATCCCTATGTTGTCTGCAGATATATTGTTGTATCAGGCAAACAAGATGACATTTCCCTATGTTGTCTGCAGATATCCCTGTTGTCTGCAGATATATTGTTGTATCAGGCAAACGAGATGACATTTCCCTATGTTGTCTGCAGATATATTGTTGTATCAGGCAAATGAGATGACATTTCCCTATGTTGTCTGCAGATATATTGTTGTATCAGGCAAACGAGATGACTTTGACGTTTCTGATGCCACAAGTTTCTCTAGCATCTGTACCTCAAATTCCAACTTTGAATTTGCGAGCTCCAAATGTTTTGTCTCAAGAAGCAGTTTTTGTTTTTCCAAAAGCAGTTTGGATTTTTGTATTTCTATCAACTCTTTAGTGCAAGAGAGCAGCTCAGATGAGCTCTGTATTGCAGAGCCGATAAGTCGAATAGGGAATGGCAAGAGCTGACGATTCTTGCGGAACTCTTCTTCATCTGAGTCTGAACAAGAGGACTCTGAATCTAGTGAGGAATCTGACGGAGTTATCTGATGTTGAGTTTCTATGGCAGCATTTGAGTCCTCACTATCCTCATCTTCATTACTGCTGATGCTCTTCTTGATGGGTGTCGCCCCATAAGTAGGGATTTCATCTGAAATGTTTACAGGGAGAGATATTTGAACAAATAAAATGTTTTCCTTAAATCGTATCCCTTATCTGCTATTCAAGAAACAGTAAAAAACTTTAATTGGATAACAACACTTCTGAGAGTTTGGAGTGAGTTTTGATTATCTTTTTAATTGTATACATGGTGATGAATATCAAAACATACATACCACTTTTATTTTTTTTAGGTGTTGTGCTTTCATCCCAAAGGTTTTCATCTTCTTCATCATCATCTTCTGCTAATCTTTTACGTTTCTTCATCCTGCATAACCTGTAAACCTGTTGTCGTGGCGTCAACTGAAAGGTTGTAGGGTCAGTGCCGTGGTTGTGTGTTTCATCCATGTCAAACAGGACAAGTTTCTTTAGGTCTGCAGACAACTTGAACCTTATATACATTTGACAGTTCAGACGTTTATGGCTGGAAAAATTGTAAAAAAAAAAAAACATTATTCTGAACACAAAAAAATAGTTTAAACAGGAAATTAGCTAGTTTCACTTCTCCAGTAGGAAAATGTTTACCTCAAGTTTTTTATCCTAGTGTTTAGTTTTTCCTTCCGTGTGCCATGACATTTACAGCAGTAGGTGATGGAGTGGTACATTAGACTTTGGTTCACCAAGTGATACACTTTGGGTATTATCTACACATACAATATTAGATTTGGTGACTTTGTTAAATTTTAAACATAGTCTGTCAAATGAATGCTTAGATAAAAAAGATTTGTGGTTTTAAAAAAAAGAGCAAAGCAATAATAATCATGAGTGCCATATGTGTAATGATTTGAGCATAGAAATAATGAAATGAAAAACCAAACCTTGCGTGTAGATTCTGTTTTCAACAGTTTGGAATCTCTAACTATCAGCTGAACAGATTTCTGTTTCTGATATCGCTCAATGGCATTTCTCAATTCCAGGAATGAACCAAATTCAGCATTTAATTCTATTTCAGGCTGTTTCTCATTTTTTTCTTGTCCACTGTCCTGTTTTTCCTTGTCTTCTTGTATCACCTTGTTGATCATTATTGGCTGACTTTCAGTTGCTGGTTTATCTTTTTTATCAGACATGTTGGTTTCCTCTGTTTAAAATATAAAAAAACCCAACAATCTTATGAAGATGAATGATGTGATTATTAAAGAATGTAAACAAAATCAAGCACTATATTAAAACATTGTGTAGCCTTTGAATATAAAATTTACAACAAATTAAAAAAAAAACCTTGCACGTGAATAGTGAATTATTAATTACTGAATTTAGGTTATGCCTAATACTAATACTATACTTAATTTTAAAATGTTGACTACTTAATAATGGTGTGTACTCTGTGCTGCGAAACTTCAATAATAATAGCTGGTCTAAACTATGTTTTGTAACTTAATGCCAGATGGCTACATAGATGTTATGCCCAATGTTATTTTTTGGGAATTGCGATATATTTTGACATGCAATAAGAAAATGGTAAGAATTTTTGGATTTAAAGTTCACATAGGCTTAATAATATAAACGGGAGAATGTTTACACCAGTGTCCGATAATGGAATCTTCTTTAAAAAAGGGGTGTTAGTTTACTGGTAGTTGACTAAATACACACATGGCTGGCTAATGTCAATGCTAACCCTGTCCCTAACCCTAACCCCAACCCTGTCCACCCATACGCCTAACCCTAATTTCTAACCATAAATTAGTTAAGATTGCAATACTACTACTAACAACCTAACACCCCTTTTTTAAAGAAGATTCCATTATCGGACACCGGTATCTATAATCATCCGCTTTAATAGAAGTATATTGTCATATGTTTATGTCAAATATTATAGATAAATCATAAATGAATAATAAACCTAAATCAATGGCTAAATATAATATATCATAATAATAATAATCGATATAGGCCAGAAATTAACTTTAAACAGCAGTGTCTGAGAGCAAGATTTGCTATTTAAACAGCAGCCATTTGTAAAATAGAGTGACTTCCCCCTGAATCTCGCGCTAAAAGCTTATAAAAATAAAACTTAAATAAGTTGGCTGCTATAGTAAATGAGCATGGTTGCATCTGTTGGAAACATCGCTAGTCTTCATTTATTACAGAATAGTTTTAATTCAATTGTTTAAAAACAGGTACATAAATGAAACAAGGAAACATTTTTATATTTTAAAAAAACATAAATCCTAGTAAAATGTGAAATAATTATTAAAATTTAAGGAGTCACCTGGTTTTCACATTACAAGTCGCGGACGTTTTTAGGTACCCAAAACGATAGATTACCGGATTCTTATCTATATATCTACTATCTAGTTTAGTTAAGTTAAGTTAAGTTAGATACATTACTAGATCTAGAGGATCTAGATTCTAGTTTAGATCTAGATCTACTCATGATCTAGAATTCTAGATTCTAGTCTACTCTATCTCATTTCGATCCAGACATCATCCATATCTCTACTCTAACTCTTAGAGTCTAGAAGTAGAAACTAGACGATTACCTAAACCTAAATCCTTGGCTTTGTTTTACTTTTGTTTTTACTTTTAGATAAAATTTTAGAATACTTTTAGATCTAGAATCTAGATCTAGATTACTAAGATTAATGTTAAATTGTTAATGTAGTTATTAACTAGTTATTAGTTAAGTATTAAACTAGAGCTACGGTCTAGTTATGTTAGTAAGAGTCAGTAAACTAAACAGTAAACACAACCATTAATTCAACTAACCGTAATTTAAAAATTATAGGCCTAGATCTAGACTTCTAGAAATCTAGATCTATTTTTTTTATTATTATGCCGGAAGTTCGGTACTTCTTAGCTTCAGAATTTATGTGTTTTATTATTTAGAAGAGTTCGTTCATGTAAGATTGGAAATAGCCAGATAAAAATATCTGAGTATGTAGAATCTACTAGTTAGCATTTTTAAAATTCTTTTATTCCTATTATAATTTACTATCGTTTATACCAGGGGTCTCCAAACTTTTCAGTAATTTCAGTCCGAGGGCCGCATTAACTAATCTATCAAATTTCAGTTCGTGGACCAGGTTCTTCCAGGAGTGTCTGATTTTTCTGGGCAAAGTTCCTCAGCCATCACCAAAAAATGTTTTTTCCCTGGACAAAATGATCTCCGCGGGCCGGATGAGAGGACATCGCGGGCCGCGTCCGACCCGCGGGCCGTAGTTTGGAGACCCCCGGTTTATACAAATGACAGGAAAAGCTACATTTGCATTTTAATGCACACATGTAAATTGCCCCTGATTATAATTAAAGAATTGCAGTAAATTTAAAAGCTTATCTTTAAATTTAATCAATGACAAGACACATTCTGTATTAAAATTTAGCCTAATTAAAAGTATGCATAATAATGTATGCGAGGTGAATGACAGTCTCTGTGTGTACTAGGTAGACAACTCTGAAAGTAGAATAATACAAGCTAAAAAAAAAAAAATTAACACAAAACAGAAGATTTCCAAGCTTGGAAGTTGAACACTCATTTATTTCTAATTTAAAAACACTTTATCATTGCACTTGTTAAAAGCTAATATGGTCATTGTTCTCAACTCCTCTTAATAGTTTGTGTCATTTTTTAATTATAGATTGACATTATAATAGAAGATTGTGTAGTGTTCTCAAATCCTTATGATGAAGCTGATGAACAGGTGAGTTGAATTTTGTTACCTTTCTATTCAGTTGACCTTTCTCCCCCTTGTAGTTGGTAAAAGATGTATTGATGATGATGTATCATCAAATGAACGCTTGAGAAAAATATGTTTTTTTTTACCCTTTAGTTAAAAAAGGAACGTGAAGAGGACCTTGAGAAACAGAAGAGAGAAAAGGATGAAGAAATTAAGAAACAAAAGAAGAAGACAGAAGAACCAACAGTAAAAGTGTATAAACAAGGAGTTGGTAAATACATCAATTCTACGGCAATGTAAGTTTTACCTTTTCTCTAAAATACATTTAAATACTTCCTTTATACTTTTGATAAGCTTGCAAATCATTTTAATTTAAATTAATAGTTGTATTTTAAAAATAAGTTTTTCATTCATTAAAGCTATATTTAGTTTTGTGGATGAAATTCTGACTGAGTGCCCAATTCAAACTATCATGCAGCCCCTAAGTATGTGTATTTTGGTGTCACTGAGTTGACCAACTTTTTTTTGTAGCAAAAGGGCAGCAACCTCAGCAGAGGATGACACAGTTTCTGATCCAAAACAGAAGAAGAAAGCTACATACAATTTTGGCAACTTTAGCTCCTGGTAACTGTTTCTTCATGCAAATGTGTTTTCATGTATTTACTTATCCACAATACTAATAAAAATTATCTCAATGTGTTGCCAAGATTCTTTTATTAAATCCTGTATATTAAAATATATTTAGTAACACAACACTGGTGTTTCCAGGCAAGATCAGAACATGAATAATGAAATAAACAAAACATTGATGAAACATTTTTAATATGTTTAATAATCAATCGATTATTCTGGAGAATCAAATTTGTACAGTAGATGTAAACAAAAATCTTTCTTGCATATTTACAATATTTAGTGTTGGCTTGACCTACCACACATTTATACTTTTCATTAGATGAAGAGCTAAGATAAAGCTCTTTTTCTGTGGGATAAATGTAAGAGTTTGAAAATGTCAATATAGAAGCATGTGGTTATCCCTGCAAGAACAGCTGCACTAGACCAGTCACAGACATCACAACTTACATATATACAAATCAGCTTGGCCAGTACACACAAGATTCAGCTTGAACATTTCAGTTCTACAACAAATACCATTGTCAGGATGGTTCCCACTCCACATGTAGTGTAATATTGTAGATTATAACAGTATACATGGATGCCTGGTATTTGGACCAACTTCTAATATTGGTATGTTTTTACCCTAACAATGTACTAAGGTTTTTAAATAAACAACACTAACAAACATAATGGAGAAACAACTTGCACACAGCATTTGCCATTACATCATTTCAGTATTTCTTTTAAAAAAAATTTGTAGTCAGCTTTTCCATAAAAATAATATATTGATAAGGTAGTTATAACTATAGTGATAGTTAGATGCACAGTCCTGAAAAATATAATTAAAGTTCACATCCAGAGAAATGATCATGAATAGATCAAGTCATTGAAGGTGGTAAACTCTTTAGCTCAAATCAAATCGCTCTATAGGACTAACACCAAAAAAAATTAAACAAGAAACCAATCACGCTTTTAATAATATAAATGCATTAAGAAAATTGCAAGAATTTGCCACCAGCAGCTTTGGCTGCAGACATAATTTGCTTGTATGGAAACTGAAACAAGCACCAGTACTATGTAATATTGCACAGTATTAATTGCAGTACAGATGGTGGCATACTTGAAACTACACATAGCTGTGTGCAGTTTCAGTTTGATACAAGTCCCAACTGGTGTCAAACACAGAATTTGTAATGTCAAGCATACATCAATCTTATGACCATCACCCTACTGAATACTGACTTTATCACTGCTGATATCTGAGAATGATTATAGTTTTCTTTTTGGCCTCATACAAAAAATATTGGTAAATGAGCTAGGTCTGAATATACAATATTCTTAATGGAATTTAGACAATGGATGCATTGATGGGTCAACAACTGTCACAGTGTACCACAGAGCCCTGAACAAAATGACAATAGCACAAGGAACAGTGCACTAGACTGTTAAGAAAGTTATATACATGTCATTATTTAAATTATACAAGTTTTCAACATTTACATTTGGTAATTGTACATGCAGACTCATAAAATTGTTTTCTGTAAAATGTTTGCTGGTAATATTAAAATGTGTAGCTTTGAAGTAAAGTCCAAATGTTAACACTTTTGCCCAGTAAACCACACAGTATCACATTAGAAATCATTGGTTTAACTTAAGAATCATCTTTATACAATCGTTTTCTGAATATAAGTATGTAATATTAATTTTAAAAAAACAAACTTTCCAACTTCCACCCTGATTAAATATTTATCTACACAGCTAAAAACTCAAGGAGACAAAATCAAATAAAGCTTTTGATTAGCTAGTCATTACTTTCTAACAATAACATCCATCAACACAAGATCAAATAATAATGCTGAAAAATCAATCAATAAATAACAGTACTAGCCATAAACACTTATTTCTCACAAATCCTATTCCTTTAAAAAACAGTTCAATTTTGCAGTTACAAAGGAAGACAATGATAAAACAAACTTAATTATATCTGATTACTTTATGCAGAAAGCTGAATTATAAATTTAAAAAATTAATTGAATTCCATTACGTAATTCTATTACAAATAGATCATACCACCGTTTAAGTGAAAATGAGAAGATTAAAATGCCAAAGAAAAATATGTGACCCTAAAAGAGAAACTAAATTTAAAAAAAAATGCTATGCTCCAGATGAAACCTCTAGCAAGTGATAAAAAATGAGTGGACAACATGTTACCATAAGTGGCTAGTAGCCTGATGATAGAACACTTGAGTCAGTGTATTTGATCAAGTGTTAAATACCATTGCTTGAAGCAGTTCAATCGTAAGGCAGAGTTCATACAGTAGTCTTTTATCAAGCATTCTCAACAGTCATCTCACGCTATTAGCAGCCAGAAGATAAATATGATGGCAACCCATAAAAATACTTTACTCAGGAACTGCTCCTCTGCTTGCTGGGGTGAATTGGGTGGCGCTGGAGAAAATGTTAGAGTTTGTTTTTCTATTAAGCTCAAATATTTACTTTAAGGCATTATTGGAATGTGTAATTATTCAATTAGAAAAAAGTAAAATTAGGACTTTATAAATGACATTCAGGTGTAAACAAAAACTTACGAGGTCCAGGTCTGCCATCATTAAAATTAAGGGTGGATGCAAAAATTCCAAATGGAAATGCACCTATTCCAAAAGAAAACTGAAAATTGCCATCACCTCCAAATCCTAGGTTGTGGAAGGGCTTTATTTAAAAAGAAGATAAAATAGTTAGACCTAAAAATTGATATATACTTAGATATCTTTAAAATGTCTATCATTTCCTATCGTTGCCTTTTATAATCTTAACCAGTCTACGGTGGTATATATATAACTATGTTATTGGAAGCTTTTCATCAGAAATTTTTTTGCTAGAGGTTTTTAATGTCAATGATAATCTAATGTAAGTGTGAGTATAACTATTAGAATTGGTCATACATATTGGTATCTCAATGATTGATACTCTAAACTTTATGGCACATTGTCCCTGAAATAACAAGTTGAGTCGGATCTGTTAACTGTCTTATCATAATGCAATACATAAGTATCATAACTTTGACTGTTGTGATGAATATTTTAACTGTTTCTATAAGTTTTATCAATGAATGCAGACAACTTTTTAATGCCCTTGTTTGTTGGCAACCCACCAACAAGAGCTATGTTTCCATGGCTACCAAAACAGAATGGAGGTAAATGTTAAAAAGATGAACTACTCAACAAAAACTACTGGAACCAAGAAACAAATAAGAACAAGTACTCTACTGTTATGTACCTTTGGCACAAGAAACCATAGTACATGATACTCTTATGGGACTGTTTTAATTTAAAGCTTACATTTGAGGACTCTGGTTCAGATCGCTGGCCAGCTGGTCTGGGGGGAAGTTTTTCTCTACAGAAAAAAAAATTTTACTTAGGTAATGTGGTAAAGCAAAACTAAAGCAATGATTGCTGTTTGAATATAACACACATTTTTACCAGGCCTATATTACACATTTAAAAAAAAAACACTTGCATCAAGGAAATATTGTTACTAAGATTACCTAGGATCTTGAGGATTAGGGTTTCCACGTCCATAAATTGGTATCACTTTGTCTTTGCTAATACCTGCCTTGCAGACAGGGCAAGTTTGCCTATTTGGTTTTGTCTCCAGCCACTGGTGTAAACATGGCCAACTGGGAACATAACATTCTTCATTATTGCCTTTATTACTCAAATGATTTTCATTCTAAACAAATGTAAAAAAGAAAAACTAAACAGTAAATAGCAGTCAAGTAGATGCAAAACTAGGTAGAAAATTCACTTCCAATCCAATATTTCCCCAGGAATTACCATTTATTTTTAAATTATTAAATCTCCTTCCATTTCATGCTGTCTGTTGTTAATTTTAATGGACAGAGTGCTTTACAGTGCGAATTTATGCGATCAAACTTTTGTTCCAAATTGGTCCTAGCACTGCCTTCTGATAGATTGACTAGAAACATTTTATAGTATTCTACGCAAGTTTAAATATGCAGATCTTAGTTCAGACTAATAAATACGACATTAATTATTCAGCATTAAATCTAAAATCCAGTAATAAAATAGAAAAGGCCAAGATCGTTCTTAGGCCACCAACCCATACGGAAAGGACTGGTAAATTACTGGATTCCGTTACTACTAAATCTGATACTAGGACAAATTAAATTTTAAATAATGTAAACAAAGCATAACTATTCTAAAAAGGAATCAGAATATTATAAATTATCTGGTCTATCTGTAATTTTTGTATGCCAAATCTAACATTTTCTAAGGTCACCCAAAACTCTCAAAAACTTCCCCACACTACGGAACGGTATACGTCTGAATACAATAATAAAAGCATTTATTGTGACTAGGGAGTGAGGTATAGATTAAGAGAACAATGCTATTTTTATTGTGTTATATTTTCATTAAAAAATTACTATGGTTTAAGTTTATCCTTAAGTTCATACCTGCTACATAGGTCATAGATGATCAATTATGCAGTCTAACTAAATCTATATTAGACTAACAGATCCAGATCTAGTAATCTAAAAATAAATAGCCTAATATTAATTATGCATCAGTTTAGTTAGCAGTTCACATTGCTATTCAACTGTCAAATATTTAAAATCCACACAAAATAATTATGCCTAAATATCAGGTGAAAAAGCATGTCTTTTTTAATCCAGTATTATTCAAAGTTTCTATCACAATTTTCCCAACTTATTTTTTTCTCTTAGCAAAAATCTAAGGGACAGGTTTTTTTAAAAAGATTTGCCAGCAATCATGTCACATATGAAAACAAATTAATAAAAGAACCATTTCATGAATAACGGGGAAAAACACAAATTTTGACAATGACAATTGGGCGTCCTACAATAAAATAAGTGTCAAAGGAAAGTAGGCATCTGTTGATTTAGAACCCGCATCTTCCAGCACAACAGCCACTCAAATGTCCTACCGACAACTCAGTTTCATAGTTGCATGCTTATTCTGTGCTTTTTAAACATTAAGTATAAAAAAAAAAACAACAGTCAGGACTGTGAATAGTATAGTGTAGGGAGGCTCACTAACTTAAAAGCGTCCTTGGTTGCTAACCAGAACATGGCGTAAGGATCGGACCATGACTTCCGGCGAGTTTTTCGACTTAGTTCCAGAGACCTTCTTAGAATTACTTTTAAAAATGTTTATCACGAGTAAAATGGCGGGTTTTCACGTTATAAAAACATGCTATAGGTGGCAAGGTTAAATATGCCAGAAAAACATTTTCAGAAATTGCTTTGGGGAATGTAGGCTAAATTTAAAGTCGGTGTCATTCAAAATAATTTAACTTTTTAAATATAGATCTCCCTCTCACAAAATTTATTTCCATAGTAAAGCATTATTAGTTTTATCATTCTATGAAAAAATAAATCAAATATCTTCAACCGTTTTTTTATAAGATCGACCGAGAAATGACAACCACATTTTTTTTATTTTTTTTTACCACGTGACCGCTATTTGAATGGATACGTTTACCTGGCATGGTTTTTTATTTTGCTCTTTTGTACAATAAAAAATGTCATAAAATTAAAGAAATAAAAGAATTCAAAAATCACTTCTGTCTTGTCTTTTTTTTAATTCTTTTCTGATGACATTCTCTTAAATTTTTTTCCTCTAAAAATATTACCCGACGATAGACGGGCCAATTCTACTTTTAGGAACTCTCTTGTGAAAAAAAATTAGATCTATTTCACGGTCACTTAAAAAGTTAAACCTTTCAACTTTTAACCAGGTTGTCATGGATGATCCGTCATATCATAGCTGTGAGTGACAAATAAATTTAAAATTCAATAATTTAGTCTAAACTCGCTACAACCCCCAAATTTAGTGCCTAGAGGATAAAGTATGGACGTTTTTTATTCAGTTGTCATGTTTAAATTGAGAATTAAGTAGATTTCACAAATAGTAAGAAAAACTAGTATAGTGAATGAATACCCTCAAATAAAAATTAAAATAGTGAAATTGAAACACGGCTATTCACAATCGACTGGGAATAGACTAGTATTTCTCGCTAACTTGAAGGCGTGGTCGGTTGCTAACAACAATATGGCGCCCGGACCGGACGTTTGATTTCCGGCGATTTTTCGGCCAAATTCCAGAGACCTTCAACTAATTACATTTAAAAATGTTTACCACGCGCAAAATGGCGGGATTTCCGTGTCATAACAACAAACCATAGGTGGCAGGGTTAGATATGCCAGAAAAGCATTTTAAAATTTGGTTTGGAGAACGGAGGCTAAATTCAAAAGTTGGTTTCATTAAAATTAATAGAATTTTAAAAATATCAACAGTATAGGTACAGAAATGAGCGAGAACGTAAAGCACTATTAGTTTTATCAGTCTATGAAAAAAGAAATCAAATATTGTGAGCTGTTTTTTTATAAGACCGGCGTCCGTATCACAACCAATTTATTTTTATTTTTTAAAAACCACGTGACCGCTATTTGATGATTACTAGTGAGGAACTCTGGGTGCATGGCCACTTAAAAAGTCTAACCTAGGGACTTGGATGACGTAGATTTTGCCCCTCTAAAAACGAGAGTTTTTTCCCCATACCGTAACCTAGTGAATTTAGCCGTGCGGCAGTGGGTGATAATTTAAAAAAAATAATTTCACTATTAATCACCATTGTTAATAGAAAAGTGTCACTTTATTCTGAAAGACAAATGGATTTCACCGATTGCTGTGTTATTTTTGTTTTTTTCTGCTACCAGTGCGTGATGGTGTGTTTCAGGCAAAAATTGGGTAAGTAAAACTTATTGTTCCATAAAAATTTACTGTCGCTTTAGGCTAGAAATGCGATCTCCGAGCGTAAACACCATTTTTACATATGTGTTTCAAATTTCATTTAGTTATTCATTAGCGACGTATTTTTTTATAAATAACTTTGAAAGCATAGGGCTTACAACAGCTTAAGATTGCCGGAAAAGATCGATGTTAAAACCGGAAGTGGTGTGTTGTTGTTAATGCCGCTATACAATGTAAATCTACTTGATTATCTAAATCCAGCAACATCCACATGAATCTGACTCCAAAAGCTTTTTAAATTATCGAATTACATTTGTTATTTATTAAACTTGTTATTTTTGATGACTTTTCATTTGTATTTTGTTGTTAGATTCATTAATTAGGTAATTTTAGGATTGTAAATAAGATCGTTTTTTTCTCTCAGTTTGCGATGTTTATTTTTTAAACAGTAGATTCTAGATCTAAATTGTTAACTTAAGAATTATATTTAAAAACAAAAGAATGTTAGTTATATTTAGTGTGCTTTTCTATACAAATTTCTTAAATGAACAAGTTAATTTTAAAGCTTAATAGTAGGCCCTATGGCTATTAGAAGTATTTGCATAATAGATGATAGGGCCTAGTATAGACCTATTACAGGCTATTAGACTTAGTTCAGTGAGTTTGTTGGGACTTAAGGTCTAGTAATATTTAAAAAATAAAATGAATATAGATCTATTACAAGTGTTAATATTTAATTCCAAATGAACCATAATATGTATATTTTTATTCGGCCTTGTACTTGATTTTTTAGAGCAAGTTTTTACTTTTTTATTACATAAGTCCTCTTTATTTATGTTAAACTTGTATAGGCCCTTTTCAATTATAACTCTAGGCATTTTCACTACTTACTTTATGTACATTTACACAATTTTCTGTGTAAAGCTACACTATAATACTGTATTTTTGCTATTTTATATTTTTCAGTTGGAGCTTTACTAGTCTTGGCCCTAGATAAAATGTACCAGTTCAGCAAGGGGATAGAGAATCAAAAGATGTGGATCTACTCATAAGCAACTTCAATGAAGGAGAAATAGGTCCACTTAAGAATGGATGTTGCTGGTTTTTTATTACAGTTCTAAAAGCTATCAGCCAGAGGAGACACAGCTTCAGTAGATGTTTAATCAGATTTCATTTTTAAGTCATTGATGGTGTTATTTTTTAAAGTAAAAAAGTGACACAAGCTAATAGACTTAAACATGTTATCCACACAGCATGAGATGTCACTTAAATATATGACACATGTTTCTAAATTATAAAACTTACCTTTAACATTAAATGGTGATCTTTACTCCACCAAATAAAAAATCATTTCAATTATTAAATTATTTGTTCAACAATAATTGTAAATTAAATTATATCAATTCTATGATAACATACACATAACATGGATGAAATATCATGAATATTGACAACATTTAGATACAATTTTAGTAATCTAAAATCAGTTTAGCATTGTACTTCTTTCTTGCAAAAAAGTAGTTGCGCAGAACAAAAATGACTTTTTAAATTTGACCAACATTGTAACAAAACCACATAAGCTAAGTGAAATATTTTTACTTTGTGTGGATGTATACAATGTTGGCACCAATTAGGCCAATTTTCATTAAGATATTCCATATAATAAAAATTTGACAACAGATTATGTGTTGCCTATAGCAGAATTTATTGTTTAAAATTAAGGGGGGTATATGAGTTTAAACCCCTTTTTCATTAAATAAAATATTTTTAAAATCAAATTTGAACAATGGTAATATCAAAGTATATAATAACCTTCATGTTTACAATATTTCTTGCATATAAGTTAAGTAATCTAAAATCAGCTCAACATTGTACTTCTTTCTTGCAAAAAAAGTAGTTGCGCAGAATAAATATGACTTTTTTATTTTGTCCAACATTGTAATAAAACCACATAAGCTAAGTAAAATGTTTTGACTTTCTGTTAATGTATACAGTGTTGGCACTATTCAGGCCAATTTTCAGTAAGATATTCCATATAATAAAAATTTGGCAACAGATTGTGTGTTGCCTATCAAAGACGCTTATTCAAAAATTTTAGGGGGGTGACCCTCTTTGTTAACATTTTTTATGATCATTCTCATCCACTTCAATTATTTTTATCTTACTCTTTTACTGATATCATGAGCTTGATCTTAGTGAATTTTCATTAAAAAATACCTGCTATTTATAAAGTTACAGAGATTTTAGTTCGCATCCAAAAAAGTAGGGAAGCAAAAAATTGAGAAAACCCCATAGTAAAAAAACCCGAAAATTAAATACGTTAAAAATTCATAACTCCGTAACCGTTTGAGCTAAAATTAAAATAAAAGTATCTGTGTTCTTGTCTAAATGAGCTCTATAAACTGGTGCTACTACATTATTTATTTTTTTAAAATTGAAATTTCATCCAAGTCCCTAGTCTAACCTGATGTGTGGTTTTCTTTACCTTCAAGGGTTAGAAGAGTTGTCATGGAGAGATGTGTTGGACATGGCAGTGATTGACAATAAATATTAAATTAAGTAATTTAGTTTAAAACGAACTAAAAACTCCAAAGTTAGTGCCTAATGGATTAAATATGGATGTTTATTATTCAGTGGTCATGTTTAAATTGATAATTGCGTAAATTCTAGATTTAGTGAGAAAAACTAGAATAGACACTTCGTAAATAGAATCTAGGCATTTCTGAAAAAAATAAATGTTTAACAACTTTAATATCATACCAGAATAAATGACCACACATGCTGATAACAGGATCATTTGCTGTTTCAAGACAGATGTTACACTCGTATGTTCCATGTTGATCATCTTCGTTGGGAGATTTTTTATTGTCGTCCTCCGTAGACGGCGAAGATGTTGAAGACGCTTCTGCACTCATGGTAAAGTCGTGCTTATTCTAACTGAAAACGAAAGCTGTGATTTTTCTTACGCGCTGCACATGACAATGAGTTAGTTATTGATTACTCTTAGTAATTACAGATAGATCTCTAGCCTAGATTTCTAGGCCATCTTGTTTACTTCCAGACTTTTCTGATCAACGTATCATTGCGCATGCGCCTTGAGTCAGGGGAAGCTACTTTATTTCCTGTATATTGATCTTTCTTGTTACAAGGTAAAATGTGTAGACCTATCCATATCGTGTAGGAGTACAACATAACAACAACAAAAAATGAGTTAACCTTCGTTTTCAGAATTATTACTAATATTACCCCCAAAGGATATTTAAGTGCCCCCCCTCCCCGAAATCTCAACCTCGTAGAAGTTATAGCTGGACTAGTTCTAAAAAGTTGTGTTTTACGTTTAACGGTGTTTCTTCCAAAAAAAATTCTCCTGGGGGGGGGGGGGGGGGGAGGCCCTTTAATTTACTGTCGGGGGGGGGGGGGGGGACAGGCGGACACTGTTAAAAGTATATATTTTCGATATGAAATCCATTTCGTTCGGGAGGTGGGGCGGTAAACTTTCCTCGGGGAAAGATACGCCTGGAAGAAACTGACGTTTATATAGATGTACCTAAATAAAATAAAAATGTGACTAATAGTTGATTGATGATTGTGAACGGTAACACCTTTCGACCCCTCATGACTCCAACTTTCCATTTGTTGTTTAATACTGACCCTTTGTAAGTTACGGACATGGTCAGATGAAGTAGAGTCCATCCGTTTCTGTGACCTCGGTAGATGCCTTTACTCACCCTAAGGTATGTCAGGTACCCATCAAAGATGGGACGTCATACAGACTCGAATCCGGGATCCGAACTTAGAGACTTTCGGGTTCGAGGTAATTTGAGTTATATTTCTCGGATTCAATAAATGTGGGAGTATTTGTCTGTAGTGAAAGGGGGGGGGGGGGGAGAGGGGATGTTGTTAGTACTTGGTACCCTGTTCCGTTCGTCTGTCCAATCGTGCTGTGACTTTTGACAGTCCGGTTTATACCTGTTTTGTGTACGGTTAAGGTGTGTGAAACCGTATGTGATGGCATCAGTTTCGTCCAAATCCCCAAGGTTAGTGAAGGTTAGATCTAGATCTATATTAGACTGTGTTAGTTGTGTATATAGTGTAGATATTATTACATTCTTTTAGTTTTAACGAGCCTTTGTTTTCATTCAGTCTTGTTTCGTAAACCGTGTGTGGTTGTTCGTCTTATAATTCTATGTTGCGCTACGCACTGGATCACCCGTAAGGCGTGTCCGTGTGTTCACGACATTGACTAACATGAAAGTGATGTTGATTTTGTCATGAAGTGTTTACTGTATGGTGTCGATGACGCCTGTCCCACGTTATTCCCTGTTGTATGATGACTATGTCAGCAGTTGTCATGTGTCCACATGTTCAGATTATGATCTATACGTTGTTCAATACATCATCTGCTCCACTCAGATAACACATCGTCAGCTCCACTCAGATAACACACCATCTGCTCCACATTCATCCACTCGTATGACACGTCAGCTCCACTCAGATAACACACCATCTGCTCCACTCAGATAACACCATCTGCTCCACTCAGATAACACACCATCTGCTCCACTCAGATAACACACCATCTGCTCCACTCAGATAACACACCATCTGCTCCACATTCACCCACTCGTATGACACGTCAGCTCCACTCAGATAACACACCGTCTGCTCCACTCAGATAACACACCATCTGCTCCACATTCACCCACTAGTATGTTCAAACTTTGGATAACATACTTCTAGAAACCTCCTCAACCAATAGTTATGCACCGCGGTCCACACACCAACACGCGCTATTTTCACACCTTCGTGCGCAACCCCCCACCAGAATTACGTGCCGATCTTGTCAATAAACGCACCAACTGTATCATTAGACCAAATCACAGCCTCACCACTAAACTTGACGGAGACAAATTGACGGCTAATCACAGTGCTGGGAAAGTCAAACCAACGCAGCTATACTTTTAAACGACAGCCGTTGAAGCCAGAAGCTTCTAGAATTATTTCTGACAGATTATCTTTTTAAAAAAAATCCTGCATCGTTTAGTGTTGACAATAATATTTTAAGAATGTTAAATTTTAAAATGGCATTTAAAATGTTGAAATTGTTGGCCGACAGCTTTCTATTTGGAGTTTTACTAGGCAGGGGGACGGAACCCTACACCACCGATTAATAGACCTCCTACATATTTTAACCTAGGTAAAGGAGACCACAAGAAAAGGATAAATATGTTATGGAAAATTCTGCCCATGTTTTAAAACGTTACTTCCCACATTCGTGATTTTACTATTTCCTACCTGACTCTAATGATTAATAAGGGAGATAATTTCTTGTATAGCATCTCGTATTGCCTCCCCTTAAAACGTTCGTAGTAATGCTATCAATAAATTATATATATATATTAAATTTCTCAAATCTTGTCAAGCTGAGAATGTGACCCATGCCGTCTCTAGCACGCGTGTGGCTTCGTAACAATGTGCCTGTAGGTACCAATACCTGCAGGCAAAGGTCCCCCATAGTGGTACTAATAACTTTTTAAAAAGGGGATAGTATGTGGTAAATAGGTGTTTTAATAACATGAAGTGAAGAGTTCGATCCACATTCGAGAATTTCTCCAATTATTCATCGCTATATTAAAAAAATGCCACGTCATCATTAGAAAACGTGAGCGCTTTGTCTTTTTAAAACACCATCCTACCTAATGTAGACGTGCAGTGTGGTGCCACTATCTTAATTACTATCTACTCAACATTTTTTTTCTGAACATTTTTCCAGCTACATCTTTATTGTGAGAAATGTTTTCACAAACTTTCGTTATCTCAATCTCATTATAAAAAACGAATGCCACGTCACCATGTTGTGCAATAAAAGTTATAACTTTTGAAATTGTCTTCATTAATTCTAACCAGTTTTGTCATTACGTGTTACTACGCCGAGATAGCTAGTTCCCGCGCCGAGAAATCTCGATTAGAAAAAGAAATCTCCGAATAAACGACAAATTAAATTGTACGAGCTATCGACCGACGCGAGGGGCGGGGAAGTGGCGGCGGGTTTTAATCGCTGCTCTAATGACGTGAGCACGTCGTGTGGAGGTAGAATTTTAAAATGCGATAATTATAATCTAGGCTGGTGGGTGGGATGCATCAAGTTGCTTGTTTTCTGACACGATTTTAAAACTGCTGGCCTATTTGTCCAACAAAGTCTTTAAAACCTTGCTATTGTTTTAACACGGTTGACTGACTTGTCCCACCCCCACCACAGTACACGCCAAAAAAAAACAAAAAAACAACAACAACAAAAGATACGATGTAGTATATCACTTGTATTTTTATAAATAAAAACTCCTTTCTTTTTTCAACAGTATTTACAGGTGTGTATATAATATATATTACACATGTATACATACATACAAATCTATGAGACAATGATATTTCCTTGTTTTGTAAGTGTAAAAGGAAGAATAGTTAGCCAAGTTGTGATGTCTTAAATGGAATGTGATGGTAAGGGAGATCAGCAATGTCACAACCATCTGATTAACTAAGTCTCTGGTATAACATACAGCAAGTGATAAATAGATCAACACACACACACTTGGATGTCAACACACAGGTAGACATTATATAGCACCAGGTTATATACAGGGGAGGTAATGTACAGCTAGTTTACATCCAGATCTCTTCATCACATTTTGTACAGGCTACAGTGTGGACTTCTGTAGGTCCTTCTACATTATCACAGCTGTGGGACGTACATCACCACAGCTGTGGGACGTACACTGGGCTTTTAGTAAGTACATACATATATTTACTGAGTCAATTACACACAGAATAGTGGCAAAAGGCAAGGTGAAAAAGTGCCTTGCATAGAGAAACTTTTAAGTTTGTATATTATGTCACTGTAAAATCACAACATTTTTACCAGGGCTAAACCACCCAATGCATATTTCATTAAGTAAATGAGACAAGTCCAGTAGAATTGTCATTAGTATAAGCTGGTCAAATGTTTGGTTGAGGGACAGGGCTGCTCCATTAAAAAAATGTAAATGTAATGTGGTATCACTAATGGGCAGTTAGGTCCAGTGGTACTTTAGGGTATGTGGTACAGGGACAGTTGTGGTATCACTAATGGGCAGTTAGGTCCAGTGGTACTTTAGGGTATGTGGTACAGGGGCAGTCCAGCCCTGTGAGATCTGTGAAAACATCAGGCAGGCCATGAGGGAGCTGGTAGTGGTGGGCGTAGTGGCCATACTGGAGCACACTTCTACGGGTGATGAATTTGAATCCAGGCTGTAAAAGTTGAAATAAGTTCAGTAAAAAGGTGATGGTGGGTTGGGGGAGGAGAGACTTAATGACTGAACTGTAAACAGTCATCTAAAACAATGGCTGTGACTTAATGACTGAACTGTAAACGTTCATCTAAAACAATGGCTGTGACTTAATGACTGAACTGTAAACGTTCATCTAAAACGATGGCTGTGACTTAATGACTGAACTGTAAACAGTCATCTAAAACTTACTCTGGTTAGCTGACGACACGTGATGATTCCGTCCCCCATCCTAAGGTCAGCCCTAAGCTGGACTCTCAACTTCTTAGATGGGACTTCAACAAGAGGGTCACCAGACAGGGACTGGAAGTCATCTTTGATGACCCCTGAGTCATCCGAACAGATGCTCTCATCATCCTGCACCTCTTCGTCAGACAGCACCTGCCTCCTGTTGTCTGTCATGTCCCCACTCTCAGGCAGCACATCCTCATGCTGACAGAGGAAAATAAACTCTTTCTAGAACTACAGAAATATGGCACACAAACTCCAGTCACAGATACAAGACAAACTCCAGTCACAGAAACAAGACAAACTCCAGCCACAGATACAAGACAAACTCCAGTCACAGATACAAGACAAGCTCCAGTCACAGATACAAGACAAACTCCAGTCACAGATAAAAAACTCTAGCCACAGATACAAGACAAACTCCAGTCACAGATACAAGACAAACTCCAGCCACAGAAACAAGACAAACTCCAGTCACAGATACAAGACAAACTCCAGCCACAGAAACAAGACAAACTCCAGCCACAGATACAAGACAAACTCCAGTCACAGATACAAGACAAGCTCCAGTCACAGATACAAGACAAACTCCAGCCACAGATACAAGACAAACTCCAGCCACAGATACAAGACAAGCTCCAGTCACAGATACAAGACAAACTCCAGCCACAGATAAAAAACACTAGCCACAGAAAGAAACATGAGAGTGGAAGAAATATTATCAGACATATCAGTCCAGTAGTGTTGTGATGTCTCCAGCCCTACTCCCTTATTGTCCTGAACTCACATCAAGGTTACCAGCATTATTTCACACATGAGTACAATGTTTCTTTCAGACAGTGCACCCCCACCCATGTAGAACATATATACTTTAACCATTGACTGCCCCCCACAGATAAATGATTGATTTACCTACAGAGACAGTCCTAACTGGACCATAGACATCCCTTAGAGAAGACTTACTTGACCATTGAAGTCCAGCCCAGGTGTCCATGAGAGATTCTCAGAGGTTACCTCCATCTTCACCAGGTCAGACAACTCATGGCCCTGTTGTGTCTTTATCAACCTTCTCTTATTCACCCACTTCCTTAAAGCTATAGGAGAACAAATCTTGTCTTACTTATATAATCACTGTTTCTAAACTATCATATAATCACTATGTTTCTAAGCTATCATATAATCACTATGTTTCTAAACTATCATATAATCACTATGTTTCTAAACTATCCTATAATCACTATGTTTCTAAACTATCCTATAATCACTATGTTTCTAAACTATCCTATAATCAGTGTTTCTAAACTATCATATAATCACTATGTTTCTAAACAATGTATGGCCATTCTCTTAGGTCTCGACATGGAACAAAATATTGTTAAACACACTGGACTAGGCTGTCTGAGAACAAGGTAACACACTAACAGGGCTGCCTACCATCAAAAGAAATGTTTTTAATAACAAAAGCCTTCATTTTCTATAATGATGCCCTTGGGTCCCAAACTTTTTCCCACTGGAATTTTATTAAAACAAATGTATAAACTGTTTCAACACAAAGAAAACACCATATGATGGGTGTTAAGGGGTCAGCATGGTCAGGCCAGTAAATTTCATTGTTGCTAAACTGGAAGATCGCAAGTTCAAACTTTATGGACACAACTGAGAATAGTCTCAAAATTATTTGAACTTCTATAATATTAATTCTAAATATAATAAATTTCTGAATTATTTTGAGGCTTAAGTATTTTTTTATTTTTACCGTCGCTTTGATTGCAAAATATAAAAAACATGTTTTTGATCCATATCAACAATAATGATGGAAGGATTCTCATCAACTCTGTCATGTCCTGTGTGCTTGAAGAAATCCCTTCTAAATTTACAATTAAGAACAAAGAAGAAATCATTCAGGCAGGCAGCCCAGCACTAGATAGTCAAGAAAAACCAATGACTTACATCTTTTGATGATGCAGGATGAATTAGCCACTGATCTCACAGCCTTGTGTAATCTGTACACTCTCCAAGCTTTTTCAATCGTCCTTACACTTTGCTTTAGCACGCGGAACCTCTTCACCTGCATGTGTGTCCTCCACACAGTTTGAATCTTGACCACTGCACTTTTTACCTGTCGCAATTTATTTACTTCCCTGTGTGTCCTCCACACACTCTGAATCTTGACCACTGCACTTATTACCTGTCGCAATTTATTTACTTCCCTGTGTGTCCTCCACACAGTCTGAATCTTGACCACTGCACTTTTGACCAGCTTTAACCGAATCACTTCCAGGTGTGTTCTCCATATGGCCTGAATCTTGACTGTGGCAAACCTTAGTTGCAGATACATTTTTCTCTGCAGGTAACATCGCCATAAAGCTTGAGCTTTAGCCATCAAGAAACTAAGAGCACTTGCCCTTGTGTGCTCAAGATGGTCCATCTAAAAGCAGAAATTTACATTCATTAACATTTTTTCATTGGCTACTTGAACATTGAGACTGTCAAAATACCCAAAATACTAGTTCATCAGATTTCAATGGTGCGCCCACTTTAAGTAACATTGGTGCAGTAGTAAATATTGCAGCAAACTCAATTTATTCTTGAGGTGATTTAAAGCTATACCACAGGTATTTATACATGTAGAAAATACCAACCTGTTTGTTAGTGAGGAAAATTTTGTTCTTTCCAAATTGTAAGTGGCAATCTCTCAAGTCTTGCTTTGGGTAGACAGACATTAAGACAAGTGCACACATTCTGTGGGGATGCTCTGTGTATGTGCCTGTGACAAGATACACAACTTGTTACTTAAGTCTTTCAATAGCATGCACAATCTACCATCCTAAGAGTTATTTCAGCAACAGGGTAACTACCAGATCTTCTTAGTCTCTTGCGTGGTGTGTGGTGCAGGTGTTCCACATGGACAAACTTTGCATCCACCTTGTCTGATAAGGTGTCTATGTTTTCCTTGTCCTCCCCCTCAGCTTGGTTGGAGAAATTCCTGTCACAGTGTTGTCTGTACAGGCCAGGCACAGAGCCAGCCAACTTGACCAGGAACCCATAGCGCTGGACAAAGTCCTGGTACGTCATCCTGTACACAGGTCAATGTTTATACAATCAGTTCAAATGTTTGTATGTCATCCTGTACACAGGTCAATGTTTATACAATCAGTTCAAATGTTTGTATGTCATCCTGTACACACATCAATGTTTATACAATCAGTTCAAATGTTTGTATGTCATCCTGTACACACGTCAATGTTTATACAATCAGTTCAAATGTTTGTATGTCATCCTGTACACACGTCAATGTTTATACAATCAGTTCAAATGTTTGTATGTCATCCTGTACACACGTCAATGTTTATACAATCAGTTCAAATGTTTGTATGTCATCCTGTACACACGTCAATGTTTATACAATCAGTTCAAATGTTTGTATGTCATCCTGTACACACGTCAATGTTTATACAATCAGTTCAAATGTTTGTATGTCATCCTGTACACACGTCAATGTTTATACAATCTGTTCAAATGTTTGGTTTTAACAAGATAAAAACAAAACATGAAAGCAAGTTTAAAATCAAAGTTGTTTGAATTAAGTTCCATCAGACTTGAGCAATACACTAAGTTATCAGCCCTGTGTCCCAAGCACATTGTTCAATTATAGACCAACCCCATAGCACTGTCACCACCCAAACAAAGCTGTGCTGTTACCAAGGTAACCAATAAATTGACAAAATGGGGGAGTGACCTTGCAGGGTAACCGAGGTGACAAATGTCCACAGTCTCCAGAGTCCCACAAGCTCGCAGCTGCTGCAGGGCATACGGCCGGTCAAAATGGTCAGCCTTGTTGCTTGTGTTGGGCTTGATGCAGCGGATAAAGTGAGCGTTCGAACTGTTGAGACTGGTCATCAGACTGTCCAGGGAACTCTGGGGGTGCAGATAGAGATCAAGTGGAGGGTGGGGGACAATGATGGGTTGGGACAAAAAAAAAAGGTAATTATAACACTAACTGGTCTAAGCCTTACAGAATAAGGATGTCAATGCTGAACTTTCATTAACTACATTTTTATTAAGACCAAGATTTAATCATGCTAAAACTTAAAAATACTTTAATTGTCAGATAAAATGAAACCTTGAATTTGGTGAGGACAGAAATCTTCTTCTTTGTTTTGGTTGGTGTAAGAGATTGCTCTGTATGAGAGAACTGGTCCTCAGAGAAAAGATTTAATATGAAACTGTTGCTGCTTGTTTCCATCAGTAAAATCAATTCAGCTGGGATGTTGTCCTGCACAATAGTTCAATAACAGGGGAAAGCACTTCAATCATTACATAATTTACTAGTGGATTAGTTTAAGTGGTACAAATTTAAAGTGATACATTGAGTGACATAACATGAAGAAAAAATAAACTACCTTGAAAGTTATAAAATAAAGTAAAAAGATATGAGAACATTTTATTCTTGATAAGCTCAATGCTTCTGAGAGTAATTTCTTATCCTACCTTATTTTTTTTCACAGCATCTTGCACAGTGTAAAGAACGTCCCCTGCATAGTGGCGCACCAAAAACTTTGTCTCATAAGTTCCCGCACCAGGTTTCCAGACAACACCATGAGAACTGCCAGCTTTGATGATCCTCCCACACAGTGAGCAGTCATCAGACGGCCGGTTTAACACAACCTCCTAGAGGAGAGTTTTGACATGAATCACCTGTTATTTCACCTGACTACCTTCTACTCTACCAACAAACATTTAGAGCTAGAGTAGTTGAGCAACTGTTTAGTCACCTCATTGAGTACACCAAAGACTCCTGTAGGACCATCCAGTGTCTCCACACAAACCTTGTTGTCTTTGTAGGCCACACTTGTCCAGGGAATGTTCTCAGCCTCATACTCAGCCTGGGATAAAAGGAGAGTGTCATAGTATAGATATATGGAATTAGACTAGACTAGTAGAGGTTACTGAGGACAGTGCCAACTTGACGGTATTGTGTGCGTGTTCAATAAAATATTTGTGGCGTGAGTGTGCCGTGCGCGTGACGCGACAATGTACTGATGACGTAAGACGCAGTAGTGAAGTTAGTTGGGGGCTAGATATAGTAAAAGACGGACGTATTCTTTGATATTGTGTAAATGATCTATAAGTGTGTGTCGGTTCTACAGCAACTTTGTCTACTAAATACCAAGATGTGAAATGTTATAATTATTTGCTGTGTAATGAATGTAGATTAACAAGCATTAGAGACTAATATTTTAAAGTGAACAACATTCTATTTACTTATATTGTCTATAGTGTGAGCTGTGTGTGTGTGTGTGTGATGACAGTGCCTGCAGATCATGCAGGAAGTGGACAATGTGATGCTGTGTGTGTGTGATGTGTGGTGTCTTTGTGTGGTGTGTGTGATGACAGTACCTGCAGATAACACAGAAAGTGGACAATGTGATGCTGTGTGTGATGTGCGTGTCTGTGTGTGATGACAGTACCTGCAGATCACGTAGAAAATGGACAATGTAATGCTGTTGTAGCCTCTCATTAGCATAGTTGATACACAGCTGTTCCAGGCTGTTGAGTTCAAATGTCTCAAACCCATAGATGTCCAACAGATCTGATAAGCAAAGCCATGTGTTAGAAGACTAAATAACGACACATTACACCCATGGATGGGGGTGTCTACATGAGCACACAGACCGCTAGAGTGACAACACGGTAACTTATTGACAGTATGGTGAGCATACAGACAGCTAGAGTGACAACATTGTAATTTACTGATAACATGGTGAGCATACAGACAGTGACAACATTGTAACTTACTGATAACATGGTGAGCATACAGAGAGTGACAACATTGTAACTTACTGATAACATGGTGAGCACACAGACAGTGACAACATTGTAACTTACTGATAACATGGTGAGCATACAGAGTGTGACAACACTGTAACTTACTGATAACATGGTGAGCATACAGACAGCTAGAGTGACAACACTGTAACTTACTGATAACATGGTGAGCATACAGAGTGTGACAACACTGTAACTTACTGATAACATGGTGAGCACACAGACAGCTAGAGTGACAACATTGTAACTTACTGATAACATGGTGAAAACTTGAAGACTTGATCTGATGGTTTATAAAACATACAAGCCAGTCAAACAATCTGAAACAAACAACATGACCATAAAGTTGTTGACTAATGCTTTTTAAAACCTGTCTATTTAATATCTCTGGCCAGTGGTATTGAGGTGAGATTGTCCAGGGCATCAGTAAGTTATAAAAAAAAATGTGTGTTTTGGACTGGCAAATACAACAAACATGATTCTTTTTGTAATGAAATCTGAACACATCATCACTGATTCAGCCTAAACACATACCTGGCATACAACAGCATAGACAAACTGTCTCTACGACTCTGGGCCTCAGACACTGTGACTGGCTTGACCACGACAGAGAGACGAGATCTTGGTCCACTGGAGATGTTGCGGTTCAGCAGAGCCTGGTGCAGGTCTAAGGAGGAGATGCCAAGCAGGCGAGCACATTCATCTTTACAAGTCTGGCTCACTGGGGACACAAGAACAGCTTCAGTACTGTGGGGACACAAGAACAGCTTCAGTACTGTGGGGACACAAGAACAGCTTCAGTACTGTGGGGACACAAGAACAGCTTCAGTACTGTGGGGACACAAGAACAGCTTCAGTACTGTGGGGAACAGCTTCAGTACTGTGGGGACACAAGAACAGCTTCAGTACTGTGGGGGCACAAGAACAGCTTCAATACTGTGGGGACACAAGAACAGCTTCAGTACTGTGGGGACACAAGAACAGCTTCAGTACTGTGGGGACACAAGAACAGCTTCAGTACTGTGGGGACACAAGAACAGCTTCAGTACTGTGGGGATACAAGAACAGCTTCAGTACTGTGGGGACACAAGAACAGCTTCAGTACTGTGGGGACACAAGAACAGCTTCAGTAGTGTGGGGACACAAGAACAGCTTCAGTACTTTGGGGACACAAGAACAGCTTCAGTACTGTGGGGACACAAGAACAGCTTTAGTACTGTGGGGAACAGCTTCAGTACTGTGGGGAACAGCTTCAGTACTGTGGGGACACAAGAACAGCTTCAGTACTGTGGGGACACAAGAACAGCTTTAGTACTGTGGGGACACAAGAACAGCTTCAGTACTGTGGGGACACAAGAACAGCTTCAGTACTGTGGGGAACAGCTTCAGTACTGTGGGGACACAAGAACAGCTTCAGTACTGTGGGGACACAAGAACAGCTTTAGTACTGTGGGGACACAAGAACAGCTTCAGTACTGTGGGGACACAAGAACAGCTTCAGTACTGTGGGGAACAGCTTCAGTACTGTGGGGACACAAGAACAGCTTCAGTACTGTGGGGACACAAGAACAGCTTCAGTACTGTGGGGACACAAGAACAGCTTTAGTACTGTGGGGACACAAGAACAGCTTCAGTACTGTGGGGACACAAGAACAGCTTTAGTACTGTGGGGACACAAGAACAGCTTCAGTACTGTGGGGAAACAAGAACAGCTTCAGTACTGTGGGGATACAAGAACAGCTTCAGTACTGTGGGGACACAAGAACAGCTTCAGTACTGTGGGGACACAAGAACAGCTTCAGTACTGTGGGGAACAGCTTCAGTACTGTGGGGAACAGCTTCAGTACTGTGGGGACACAAGAACAGCTTCAGTACTGTGGGGAACAGCTTCAGTACTGTGGGGACACAAGAACAGCTTCAGTACTGTGGGGACACAAGAACAGCTTCAGTACTGTGGGGAACAGCTTCAGTACTGTGGGGACACAAGAACAGCTTCAGTACTGTGGGGACACAAGAACAGCTTCAGTACTGTGGGGGCACAAGAACAGCTTCAGTACTGTGGGGGCACAAGAACAGCTTCAGTACTGTGGGGACACAAGAACAGCTTCAGTACTGTGGGGACACAAGAACAGCTTCAGTACTGTGGGGACACAAGAACAGCTTCAGTACTGTGGGGACACAAGAACAGCTTCAGTACTGTTGAGACTGACAGTCATTAGCAGTTTTCTAAAGAAAAATATACCACCCTTTTGTTAAGATTGTTTAAATACATTTCCAGGTCTTTAAACAGAAAATGTGTACAATTATTTAAGAACACACTTTGTGGGCCAATATTTGGATATTTGGTTTACTGGTTAAGATGTTTGAATGCTGATTCAAAGAAACTTCAAAGATTATTTCAATTCAAACACTTTAAAAGCTCAATAAAAAAAAATAATTTGGAAATCATAGAGACAACAGGAACTTGTGAAACAAATAAAATTGGAAATAAATAGACAACAAAACATGTGAAAATAAATATGTAAGATACCAATATATGCTTTGTTGAATGCTGTTGTGAAATAAAATACAAGTTTATTTTACTACAACAAAATAATTTAATTGTACTTGACTATAATAAGCAACTGAGCACTTAAAACTGGTGTAAACTTGCTATGTATATGTGACCATACTATAAAAATGTGATGGGACTGTACCTTCATCATCAGACAAGGAGCTGGCCTCTCCATCTCTGGCAGATTTAAACCTCAGGTTAGACAAGTGTAGTATGGCTAAAAGAATCTGGACATGGGTAGACAACATCAGGTTAGACAAGTGGAGTATGGCTAAAAGAATCTGGACATGGGTAGACAACATTAGGTTAGACAAGTGGAGTATGGCTAAAAGAATCTGGACATGGGTAGACAACATCAGGTTAGACAAGTGTAGCATGGCTAAAAGAATCTGGACATGGGTAGACAACATTAGGTTAGACAAGTGTAGTATGGCTAAAAGAATCTGGACATGGGTAGACAACATCAGGTTAGACACGTGTAGCATGGCTTAAAGAATCTGGACATGGGTAGACAACATCAGGTTAGACAAGTGTAGTATGGCTAAAAGAATCTGGACATGGGTAGACAACATTAGGTTAGACAAGTGTAGTATGGCTAAAAGAATCTGGACATGGGTAGACCTTGTCTGCAGGAACTATTTAAAAACACAAGACTATCTAAAATCTATAATATAATGCAAAATATTGCAGTGTTTTATCATGGCTTTAGAGGAATGACATTTAAAAAAGTTAAAGGCAGATAGAGACATGCAAGAGCAGGTAGTTCTACAAGTCAAGTGAGAGAATAGACTAACATGTACCTTAAACATTGAGACTTGATTGTTAGGTAACACACCTATGTTTGTCATTGCATCCACTGTTTGTAATATTGTCAGCGAATCAGCTAGAGACAAAAGAAACCATTGACATAAAGTTTCAATCTTTCAGCTATGGACAAATAATTATTCTTTAGTAATATATGTATAAAATTAAGTACAACTTTAATGTGATTTTAAGCATAATAGAAAAACAAAGGCAAATTGTGATGGGGAAATACCTTGTTGTGCTATGATACAATTCAATCCAGAGTTCATGACCTCTGACCTGACCTCTTCCAACCATTGGGGTATTGCCTGAAGGTTTTTTAGACTCAACAGCTGTAAATATGAAACCAGGTTTAAACATACATTATCAAAGTATATATATACCCCATGACATTATGAAATCAAGTTTAAACATACATTATCAAAGTATATATATCCCTTGACATTATGAAATCAAATTTAAATATACATTATCAAAGTATATGTCTCTCAACATTTCAACGTTCACACTAGACAACTGATTATGTCAAGACGGCAACTGATACATTGTTTTTTTTAAATGAATAAAACACAAGAAGATATAAACAATGACCCAGTATATGAGTACCAAAGGTATATACCTGATAAAATATGTGAAAATTGTTCTCAGCTGACCCTTGATGCACCACACGAGTCTTCTCCAGGAGGTAAGTCTGTATAAGTCCTCCCACAATATGGCCATTCCTAGATTAATGTATCCAGATACTTTATTAAGGCAAAAGTTGTCAGAAAATACATCAAAATACCAGGAACTTAACATTATTAAGGAAATAGTGCCTTGATACTTTGCTAACATAAACTTAAAGCAAAATTAAAAAAATAGAAATTGAAACTGACCGGTGGAACTGCAGCTGTATAAACTTTCCAAATCTTGAACTATTTCCATTTCTTGGTGTTGCTGCATTGCCTGAAATCACAAAGTAATTTTATGATAAGTGACCACTGTTGTAGTGACCACATCCCTAACACACACAATCATTGACCACTGCAGTAGTGACCACATCCCTAACACACAATCATTGACCACTGCAGTAGTGACCACATCCCTAACACACACAATCATTGACCACTGCAGTAGTGACCACATCCCTAACACACAATCATTGACCACTGCAGTAGTGACCACATCCCTAACACACAATCATTGACCACTGCAGTAGTGACCACATCCCTAACACACACACAATCATTGACCACTGCAGTAGTGACCACATCCCTAACACACAATCATTGACCACTACAGTAGTGACCACATCCCTAACACACACACAATCATTGACCACTGCAGTAGTGACCACTGCAGTAGTGACCATACCTCTAACATGGTAACCGGAATGATGTGCAATGGAAAACTGTACATGCAATTTTGTTTTCTTAAATCAAGCTTTTATAATCATTAACAAAGAGTGACTACATGCACACTGCAGCTTATATAAAACACTTTTCCATGAAATATGAGAAAATTAAAGTGTATTAGCGTCATTAGTTTCTGTTTGCACAGTTTTCTGCTGCACAGTTTTTCTGGAAACCCACTAACACACACAGATAACACCAAAGTTAGAACATAATTACCAAAAGCCTCTAGGATGGGGTTTGAGTCTAGGACTTGCTGTTCAATCACACTGCCAGGTATAGAGCGCTCTAAGCTGTAGAGACAAGGATTAGTCAGGTCTATATTCATGTCTCTTATATCTCTTCTTTACACTAATGTGTTTTTATAAAAAAAAAGGGCTGGTGCAGAGAAATAGAAAACTTTAAGGACTTACTTTATTTCATTTTCAGGGCTTGAGATTATTGTTAGGTACCGCAGCAAATGTTTGGCAGATACAGTCTGTTAAATAGAAATATTTTTTTCCAGTCATATAGCCCCAGACAACAGACATTGAGTGAGTGTACAAATGTGACTAGCCCCAGACAACAGACATTGAGTGAGTGTACAAATGTGACTAGCCCCAGACAACAGACATTGAGTGAGTGTACAAATGTGACTAGCCCCAGACAACAGACATTGAGTGAGTGTACAAATGTGACTAGCCCCAGACAACAGACATTGAGTGTACAAATGTGGCTAGCCCCAGACAACAGACATTGAGTGAGTGTACAAATGTGACTAGCCCCAGACAACAGACATTGAGTGAGTGTACAAATGTGGCTAGCCTCAGACAACAGACATTGAGTGAGTGTACAAATGTGACTAGCCCCAGACAACAGACATTGAGTGAGTGTACAAATGTGACTAGCCCCAGACAACAGACATTGAGTGAGTGTACAAATGTGACTAGCCCCAGACAACAGACATTGAGTGAGTGTACAAATGTGACTAGCCCCAGACAACAGACATTGAGTGAGTGTACAAATGTGACTAGCCCCAGACAACAGACATTGAGTGAGTGTACAAATGTGACTAGCCCCAGACAACAGACATTGAGTGAGTGTACAAATGTGACTAGCCCCAGACAACAGACATTGAGTGAGTGTACAAATGTGGCTAGCCCCAGACAACAGACTCACCTTCCCAGGCCCCCAGACAACAGACTCACCTTCCCAGCCCCACTCTCTCCACTGACAATGATACTCTGGTTGACTTTGCCCTGCTCTCTGACCATTTGTGTGTAAGCTTTCTCTGCTATGATGTAGATATGTGGATCTTTGGTCTGAAAGTTTACATTTCAACACATTCAGTTCATGCTCAAACTTAAATCCCTTATATTTAAATATTCTCCAGCTTGCCGTGTTTCTCCCTTGTCTGACCACAAGTTTTTAAATGTAGTTTGATATTTTATTAACAGATTACTTACCTCCCTTGTCTGACCACAAGTTTTTAAATGTAGTTTGATATTTTATGAACCATTTACCCAAATATGTAGTGCAATTAGAGAAATATACCTTTGAGAACAAGTAAACAAAGAAGTAAAATACCTGATGAGAGTTGTGATAATCATATATTGTATGTATGTGGTAGAGCTGTGGGACGTCTTTGAAAGGGTTGACAGCAACAATGGTGGTGCCAGCTGATGTGTAGTAGATATCATGGGTGTAGCGTTCTTCAAGGCAGTCTAACACTGTGGAGGGACAGTCAGGTTTGTTATGTGGAGGGACAGTCAGGTTTATTATGTGGAGGGACAGTCAGGTTTGTTATGTGGAGGGACAGTCAGGTTTGTGTTATGTGGAGGGACAGTCAGGTTTATTATGTTGAGGGACAGTCAGGTTTGTTATGTGGAGGGACAGTCAGGTTGGTTATGTGGAGGGACAGTCAGGTTTGTTATGTGGAGGGACAGTCAGGTTTGTGTTATTTAGAGGGACAGTCAGGTTTGTGTTATGTGGAGGGACAGTCAGGTTTGTGTTATGTGGAGGGACAGTCAGGTTTGTGTTTGACACTGATTTCCAATAGTCCAAGGACAAGCAACAGTTGACCCAGTCAGACTCTGACAACAGAGACAGCCATGGTCAACAGCACAGACCACACATACCTGTAGCTTCATTGATGGGGTTAAGGTCAGTCAAACTCAAACAGGTGAGGAAATCCATTTCTTCAGATCTAAGGACAACATCTTGTGTCTTTTTGGTCTCAACCTGGTGGTCAATATCAAGCTTGTTAGAGGTGAGTTGTTTAGGTTTGTGGATGTGGCAGTGGGTTGTTTAGGTTTGTGGGTGTGGCAGTGGGTTGTTGAGGTATGTGGGTGTGGCAGTGGGTTGTTTAGGTTTGTGGGTGTGGCAGTGGGTTGTTGAGGTATGTGGGTGTGGCAGTGGGTTGTTGAGGTTTGTGGGTGTGGCAGTGGGTTGTTTAGGTTTGTTGGTGTGGCAGTGGGTTGTTGAGGTTTGTTGGTGTGGCAGTGGGTTGTTTAGGTTTGTGGGTGTGGCAGTGGGTTGTTTAGGTTTGTGGGTGTGGCAGTGGGTTGTTGAGGTATGTGGGTGTGGCAGTGGGTTGTTGAGGTTTGTGGGTGTGGCAGTGGGTTGTTTAGGTTTGTTGGTGTGGCAGTGGGTTGTTGAGGTTTGTTGGTGTGGCAGTGGGTTGTTTAGGTTTGTGGGTGTGGCAGTGGGTTGTTTAGGTTTGTGGGTGTGGCAGTGGGTTGTTGAGGTATGTGGGTGTGGCAGTGGGTTGTTGAGGTATGTGGGTGTGGCAGTGGGTTGTTGAGGTATGTGGGTGTGGCAGTGGGTTGTTTAAGTTTGTGGGTGTGGCAGTGGGTTGTTGAGGTTTGTGGATGTGGCAGTGGGTTGTTTAGGTTTGTGGGTGTGGCAGAGAGTTGTTGAGGTTTGTGGGTGTGGCAGTGGGTTGTTGAGGTATGTGGGTGTGGCAGTGGGTTGTTTAGGTTTGTGGGTGTGGCAGTGGGTTGTTGAGGTATGTGGGTGTGGCAGTGGGTTGTTGAGGTTTGTGGGTGTGGCAGTGGGTTGTTTAGGTTTGTGGGTGTGGCAGTGGGTTGTTTAGGTTTGTGGCAGTGGGTTGTTTAGGTTTGTGGGTGTGGCAGTGGGTTGTTTAGGTTTGTGGGTGTGGCAGTGGGTTGTTGAGGTATGTGGGTGTGGCAGTGGGTTGTTGAGGTATGTGGGTGTGGCAGTGGGTTGTTGAGGTTTGTGGGTGTGGCAGTGGGTTGTTTAGGTTTGTGGGTGTGGCAGTGGGTTGTTGAGGTATGTGGGTGTGGCAGTGGGTTGTTGAGGTTTGTGGGTGTGGCAGTGGGTTGTTTTAAACTTTCTACAACTCTTACAGTGTAGTCATCGTACTGGACTGTGACAGTCAAGTTTTTCTCAGTGTGGTCTACAACAACAGCAGGAATCCAGGCTTGCTTCACACTTCTCACATACACTGGCTGGCCCTGCAGCACATTGGAGGATAGACACAGTGTTTACATCAACACTTAATGTCTTAGAGAACAGTCACAATGTTTATATCAGCACTTAATGTCTTAGAGAACAGTCACAATGTTTATATCAGCACTTAATGTCTTAGAGAACAGTCACAATGTTTATATCAGCACTTAATGTCTTAGAGAACAGTCACAATGTTTATATCAGCACTTAATGTCTTAGAGAACTGTCACAATGTTTATATCAGCACTTAATGTCTTAGAGAACAGTCACAATGTTTATATCAGCACTTAATGTCTTAGAGAACAGTCACAATGTTTATATCAGCACTTAATGTCTTAGAGAACTGTCACAATGTTTATATCAACACTTAATGTCTTAGAGAACAGTCACAATGTTTATATCAGCACTTAATGTCTTAGAGAACAGTCACAATGTTTATATCAGCACTTAATGTCTTAGAGAACAGTCACAATGTTTATATCAGCACTTAATGTCTTAGAGAACAGTCACAATGTTTACATCAGCACTTAATGTCTTAGAGAACAGTCACAATGTTTACATCAACACTTAATGTCTTAGAGAACAGTCACAATGTTTACATCAACACTTAATGTCTTAGAGAACAGTCACAATGTTTACATCAGCACTTAATGTCTTAGAGAACAGTCACAATGTTTACATCAGCACTTAATGTCTTAGAGAACTGTCACAATGTTTACATCAGCACTTAATGTCTTAGAGAGCAGTCAAAATGTTTACATCATTTAATGTCTTAGAGAACAGTCACAATGTTTATATCAGCACTTAATGTCTTAGAGAACAGTCACAATGTTTACATCAGCACTTAATGTCTTAGACAACAGTCACAATGTTTACATCAACACTTAATGTCTTAGAGAACAGTCACAATGTTTATATCAGCACTTAATGTCTTAGAGAACAGTCACAATGTTCATATCATTTAATGTCTTAGAGAACAGTCACAATGTTTACATCAGCATTAAATATCTGTAACATATTAAATTCAAACCTGTGTTAGCTTTCTTTCTGTCTTCAGGTCAATGACCCCAGCAGGCAGCGCTGCCATAGCTTTCCTCTCAGTCACACAGTCACCCCCACCTCTCCTGGTGTTATAGTTTATCTAAACAAACAATGTTATAACATCACATTATAACAGTCACCCCCACCTCTCCTGGTGTTATAGTTTATCTAAACAATGTTATAACATCACAATATAACAGTCACCCCCACCTCTCCTGGTGTTATAGTTTATCTAAACAAACAATGTTATAACATCACATTATAACAGTCACCCCCACCTCTCCTGTTATAGTTTATCTAAACAAACAATGTTATAACATCACATTATAACACAGTCACCCCCACCTCTCCTGATGTTATAGTTTATCTAAACAAACAATGTTATAAACATCACATTATAACACAGTCACCCCCACCTCTCCTGGTGTTATAGTTTATCTAAACAAACAATGTTATAACATCACATTATAACACAGTCACCCCCACCTCTCCTGTTATAGTTTATCTAAACAAACAATGTTATAACATCACATTATAACACAGTCACCCCCACCTCTCCTGGTGTTATAGTTTATCTAAACAAACAATGTTATAACATCACGACATAATATACTTGAAAAATAACAAAGAAAAAGTGTACTACACTAGCTTAAAAAGGAACTAAATTACCTTTAAAAACGAAATTGTAATACCCCTGCAGAATCATACATCCAGTCAAATTAGGAGGGGTTTTACAGTATGAAGAATGTAAACAGACATAAGACTAGAGAAAACACAATCCTGGTAATTCTCACAAAATACACAACGAAGTGTAACTATTAGATGAAAAACCCGTCATTCGAACCCCCTTCACCTTAAACTTTAATGTGCGGCAGTTGATACAAGACATTACACACCAATAAGATCTATAAATAGCGGCTGTAATCACATTGAAATTTCCCATTAAAAAACAATGTATTTTTACTTTCAGTGTAATTATCTAAGCAATGGGTGACGTAACTCGGCCAGCGAGAGAAACACTGCTACGTGAAACACATAAACAAACGCGAGTGTCAAGCGTGTGTACATTACCGGTAGGACGAAATAGCCAGCACAATAGACCGTCAAGAAAAACACTTGGTCACACTAGGCTTGTGACAAAGTTGTTCTCTAGAAACACAGGGCAGGTAGACCAGATGAGAGATGACAACAAACTGTTGGTACTGGTACCCAAACAGACGTGACAAGCGGCACATAGCCACATTACCCCCCTTTCACGCGTCTGGTTACCTCCCCTCTGTCACGCCCAACGTAATGTTATCTTTAACCTCTTGCAAGGGCACGCAGTCCTCATATGTATACACACAAATTATGGGAAGGTACTCTATGGACCGCTTGTTCAACAATTGCGGACAGAAAGAGGAACAATCCAAGATCGATGGTGGCGAGAAATCAAGTCGGTATTGGAATTGAAAGAATGTAACACAAACAGTTACTAGAGCGGAACGCTTGCCACCGGTGGTTGTAGGCTGCCCTTCATAATAGTTGGCAAACTGGTTAGGAAAAATAAAATACTAGATCTATTACTACAACTTACTAACAGAATTACTAGTTGACAAAAAAAAAGTGGTACTGAATTTGTGTAGGTAATCTCTGTGTATGAACACAGCGGCGTATAGAGCTTGCTGATTACATGCCCCTATAATGCCGTGTGAAATAGGGCTACTGTAAAATGTATGGGTGTTAGGACCAAATATATCAAGACAAAAGATCTCAGGGCGAAATACCTATTGTATTTTTTGATAAGTAAAAAAAAAGAACTTTAAGGAATATGCATAGTTTAGACATATAACATGAATTTCCTCTTGTGTGTAGTAAGTTCTTTGGTTGGTTCTCACCCCCCCCCCCCACTTTATCTTCTCACCAGCCAACAATACCCGCCACAAGCAAGTGGCCCTCAGAACTTGGATACAGATGAATAGACACGTGGAATCTCACGCCTCAGTACATGAAGAGTAGGTAAGAAAAATTATTCGACCCCCCCCCCGTACACTCATTGCAGGTACCCAAACATTTGACTCTACGCGCCCTCCTTTAACAGCTGGTACACACAAAAACCAGTTATTCTCCACCCCTCCCCAGTCGATGTACATAAAACCGTTATTCTCCTCCCCTCCCCCAGATGGATATAAATAATACCCGTTATTCTCCACCCCTCCCCCAGTCGATGTACATAAAACCGTTATTCTCCTCCCCTCCCCCAGTCGATGTACATAAAACCGTTATTCTCCACCCCTCCCCCAGTCGATGTACATAAAACCGTTATTCTCCACCCCTCCCCCAGTCGATGTACATAAAACCGTTATTCTCCTCCCCTCCCCCAGATGGATATAAATAATACCCGTTATTCTCCACCCCTCCCCCAGTCGATGTACATAAAACCGTTATTCTCCTCCCCTCCCCCAGTCGATGTACATAAAACCGTTATTCTCCTCCCCTCCCCCAGTCGATGTACATAAAACCGTTATTCTCCACCCCTCCCCCAGTCGATGTACATAAAACCGTTATTCTCCACCCCTCCCCCAGTCGATGTACATAAAACCGTTATTCTCCACCCCTCCCCCAGTCGATGTACATAAAACCGTTATTCTCCTCCCCTCCCCCAGTCGATGTACATAAAACCGTTATTCTCCACCCCTCCCCCAGTCGATGTACATAAAACCGTTATTCTCCTCCCCTCCCCCAGTCGATGTACATAAAACCGTTATTCTCCACCCCTCCCCCAGTCGATGTACATAAAACCGTTATTCTCCACCCCTCCCCCAGTCGATGTACATAAAACCGTTATTCTCAGAGTTTCTTCCAGGCATCTCTTCGGGGGGGCTAAGCCCCCCCGAAAATTTTTTACCGCCCCCCCGAACGAAATTTATATAATTTATATAGAAAATATATATTTTTAACAGTGTCCGCCCCCCCGAAGAAAGTCTACCGCCCCCCCCCCCCCCGAAAATTTCAAGTGCCCCCCCCCCGGAGAAAAAAGTCTGGAAGAAACACTGGTTATTCTCCACCCCTCCCCAGTAGATGTATATAAAAACCCATGTCCCCCCATCTCCCAGCGTGTTGTAGACTTATGTCTGGATGATTCAACTCCCGACCAACAGGATAATTTCACCCTGTCTTGACACCTCTCCTTTTAAGAAGTTGCTATATTTAAATCTATGGGGTGCCGTTATGTCCTCTTGGCTAACACATCAACTAGTACCAAAAGCTCGATGTCTCGGATCTCGAGTTCACACGTACACGAGTGTATGGCCAATTCAACCTTGGAGAGAGGACTTTGTGTCAGACAGAACGTGCGCTACACGTAAGTCAATAACTTGGTATACAAACAGTTGTCATATGCACACACGTACACGGCAAGTGTCTGATACATAAAGGCCCTTAAACAGGAAATACAAATCAGCATCACGTGAAACTCGTATAGCACCACAGGATCTAAGACACGAGGAAGAGTCTATTATTGCTGTAAGGGGGGGGGGGAGGTTAGTGCTGCACCACATGCCATGAGTAATCCATGTTGGCTGGCCTCTTGATACAGACGTCCAAAAATGGAAAATATACAGAAATTAACTTCCGAAATCCTAACAAATTAACATGTATTTTGTATAGGCTGGAACACACGGCAGCACTGAATTAATAACACACACGACGGTACTACGTCACAAACACACCTGACGTACAACGTCACAAACACACACACGAACACACATGACTTACAACTATTTCACAAACACATGTTGGTACTTCGTCATATTATGGTTCTATGTCACAAACAAATAGTACTACGTCACAAGCACACACATCATGGTTCTATGTCACAAACACAGATGAGGTACAACGTCACAAGCAGACAACACATCACATGAAATTGAGCACTAATGGGTACAAACATATCTGCACTAAAGATCAGACCAAAAAGCATAATTAACTACAAACAAGGCCATAGGTTCAAGAGTACTTGAGACACACGTTAAAGTAGATAACACAGATGGGTACACGTGTTCACAAGTTACACTTACATCAAACAAAATACACCATTTTCTATAGCCAGTGACTAGCTATTTGCTGCAGCTAACAGATTTTATAAAGTAGAAGGGGTTGTCAGAACACTTCCTGCTATATAGGGTGTGGAAAATGGTTCAATCACCCAGTAACGCTAGGGTGTCTATTTTAACAACTTCCAATATCTATAAATTGTCATTCAACCAAGATAGAGTGACAGCGAAACTATTATTATAGATTCATTCACAGTGTTTTTACTTTAAAATAATTTGTGTATATAACGTACTTTGAGGAGAATTAAACCAAATTTTATAATGGCACATAGTTTGGGATTTTTTAAAACTTAAAAATAAAACAGCAAATAATTTCACTTAGCATAAAGTTAGGATTTGACTTAAGAAGTATTTTCACCTGCATAGATGATGCTGTGTGACTACAATACATTAGATTATGATTACAATTTAGGAGGTTGTCCAAATCAGACATCATACTTATAAAAAAATTATTTTACCTCCCACCTTTTAAGTGACTACTATACAATATAAGTGTTAGAGTTGTATACATTTATAACCTACCAGACTATAGAAATCTTAATTCTAGCCCCAATAAGGCTATTCCTTGGTGGCTATCATTTCATAGTAAAATACAACTGGAAATAGTATCTTACCAAAAGCATTTATCGTGAACTGATGGGGAATGAGGTAGCCTATAGAATCATAGTTTAGTTTAAGAGAGCACTGATATTTTTATTGTGTTATGTTTTTTATCCAAAATAAAATGTTGAGCTTATGTTCCAATCTGCAATGTAAATAATCAATAACTTATGCACTCTAATTTAAAGTAATTAATCTGGGCTTAGGTTATTAGTAATTTTTTAATAAGTAATTATGCATATATTTTGAAGTTAACAATGCTATTCAACTGTCAATTACTATTTTAAAATTCACAAAGAATAAAAATGAGGTGAATCTGAAATAGCATGTCTGTTTTAATAATTTTTTAACAGTATCATTTGTTTCAACCGCAATTTTCACAATCCCCCCCCCCCCCCCCCCGAAAATCAAGAAGACGCATCTTTGTCTTGCTGCAAATATGCCCGCAATCATATCACAAATGATAAAATATTTAGGAAAGTAAAAAGTAGACCCTAAACATTTTATAACAGCAATATAAATAAAAGTTGTGAATTTAAAATGAATGCCTGACACATTACTAAGTTAATGCACTTGATGGACCCACGACATACAGCACAGCCACCCACTGCTTCACTCAACCACACAACTTATCCCTTAGGCCTACATATCTATCATAGCATTCATTAGGCCTAAATGTATTGAAAGCAGTTACCACTGGGAATAGACTATACTCTAAACTTTGTTTTTCAAATTTTTGTTAACAAAAATTTCATTCTATCTAATTTAATATTTAAAAAAAAAATGTTTTAGATCTAGATTTCTGGACCTAGATTAGCTAATATTTATTAGGGCCTAAACAGTTAGCCTAGTTAATAAAGTAGTTAAATCTATGAAGTAGAACTAGAATTATGAATGATTCTAATTTCTAGATCTTGACTAAATCTAAATATTATGAATTAAGTCGAGTGTAGTAATTAATGTTTTTTTAAGAAACACAGAAAAAAGCTTGCAGATTTGCAACAACTAGTAAAATAAGACAATTAGATTTACTAAAGTTAAACGTTGTAAGAAGAACTAGAACAATGTTAAATAGCAGCAATAATTAGCACATACACAAAATAATTAGCAGAAAACTATTTAAAATGCAACTAAAACCAATCTATGCACATTTGGAACATTTTGTATTAAATTAAAAATAATCTGGTGGCAAATAAATGATGGTTTACAGTATTTTCTGTGGTTTCCGGAATGGCTTGACAGACTACGCCATGGTTTCACTGGTTTTTTTTACTGCTGTGCAATTCCGGAATAATATCCGATGCTAGAGTCTATATCATGATTTCACCAAAGAATCTATAGTCTTCTTCTTCGTTCTTCATTTTAGTGTTGGAAGGGATCTAGATCTACCTAGCGGCGAGATCTAATTCTAAACTATAGATCTACCTGACCTGTCAACTGGTTAGGCGCCATTGACTCCAATTTCAGCCTGCTTTTCTTTTTGGATTTGCTTCCATAGCCTTTGCCTAACCAACAACAAACTAGATCTACATGGCAGCAGTTGTTTGATTTTGCCTGAGGCCTGAGGGTAACTAACAGCCTGAGGGTTCGAACTGGAGACTTTAAGTCTTTAAGTTAAACTTTTTAGTTTTTAGTCTTTACTCTTTTTGGTTTAGCAACCATGAGCATTACCGGCATTACCGATGCGACCACGCCGACCCTACCCTGGACTAATAAAAAAAGGAGAAAAAAAGTTGATAAGTCAGCCCTTTTACTTTTTTCTCTTATTTTATATATTTTCACTTCTACTCTGACTACTCATGTGTGCACTACTGTTTGGCACTGCGCCTATACGGCACTGTAGTGTACGCACGGCCAGTAGGAGTACGGGTAATCTATCGTTTTGGGTACGTAAAATCGCCCGCGGCTATTAATGTACGAAAACGTTACCTCATTGTCAAGGCTGTAATAGAAGTATATTGTGATATGTTTGTGTCAAATATTATAGATAAATGAATAATAAACCTAAATCAATGGCTAAATATATCAATATAGGCCAGAAATTAACTTTAAACAGCTGTGTCTGCAAGCAAGATTTGCTATATAAACAGCAGCCATTTGTAAAATAGAGTGACTTCCGCCTGAATCTCGCGCTATATGTCTATAAAAATAAAACTTAAACAAGATGGCTGCTATAGTAAATGAGCGTGGTTGCATCTGTTGGAAACATCGCTGGTGTTCATTTATTACTGAAAAGTTTTAATTCAATTGTTTAAAAACAGGTACATAAATGAAACAAGGAAACATTTTTGTATTTTTCAAAACATAAATCCTCATCAAAATGTGAAATAATTATTAAAATGTAAGGAGTCACCTGTTTTTCACATTACTAGTTGCGGCCGATTTTACGTACCTAAAACGATAGATTACCGGAGTACGAACTGCCGGAATGTTATTTTTGAAAAAATAAATAGGCCTACAGTAGGTACAGATTATGTGCTTACCCCATGCATTGTAATTTGGATATTGTTTACTATTTAAAGAGTTAACAATACGTTTGAAATGTCATTTGGTGTTCAGTCTACTTTAAAAACTTGAAAGTCAAACATTCATAAAATTCATACCAGCCGCCATTGGCAGACGGCTTGTTGTTGTTTTTAATTTTTTGATAGGCCGGGGTCTAACCAATCAAATAAATCGGAGGAAATTAAAAATTAAGTGTGCCTTGGTCATACTCATAACATAGGGCCTAAGTCAAAGAGGTAATCGACCGAGCCTATTTAAATTAAATTATTTAAATTTTATTGACTTAGATAAACTTAGATACTAAATCTACAAACAACAAAACATCAGTCAGCTCGTTATCAAGCCCGATTTTTAAAATGTTAAAACACAAATGAAAATCTATTGTTTTAAAAAGTGGTGTCATATTAGGTCATGTCGGGTGTCACCTGGTGACAGGGGCGGAACTACAGTGCCGCCAGACCCCGCATTGCGGGGTGGCCCACGCCATTTAGGGGCCCGTAGCCGACCATAATAAATTTTTTATAGTTAAAAAAATAAATTTCTTGCATTTTTGACCTGACGGTAAAACCTTTTGTAAATAACAAACAGATCTGCTACAGTAGTGATGTTATACAGTAGCTAACACATGCTGTTGCGTAAAAAAATATAGGGCCTATATGTCTGAGCTGTAGTGTGAAAGATAGGCAAACGTTCAAAACACTTCCATGACTTATTTCCCTTTTTTAAATAGTTAAATATGGATGCTCATTAGCTCCTTTTAATATATTGGTACTAAATAAATTAAAAAGCAATTACTTCTCTTAATTATTATTTTTTTTAAATACATACTAAAGATTGACATAGCACAAAAAGGAAATACGTTTAAAACTAATAATATAAATACAAAAAAAAAATAAATAAACATAACACGAGAAACCATTACACATACAAAGCTTTCACGCTTTATATTCTTTTGACGGGCTAATACTAGAGAGTAGCTAGCATTACAGCAAACATATTGAGTAAGCTAGCTCTAAATATTAAAAAAAAAAAAAAAAAAAAAACTAGCTCTTAATATAAAGTTTCATTAACAAAAAAGTTACACCCAAGCCTTTGACTTTCCTATGTATATATTTTTCATGACATTATAGTTAAATATATATATATATATATATATATATATATATATATAGGGGGGGCCCAGAAATTTGTTTTGCGGGGTGGCCCGTTTTTTCTAGTTCCGCCACTGCCTGGTGAGGTAATGGTGTCTCCCCCCCCCTCAACAATTGTGCATTTTCCGATTGTTGTCTACACCCTCCCCCTACTTTTTATTATTCTTCAGTTCTTTCATATAGATAAAACGTTGTTTTCACAGTAAATCTTACGATTTTTTCGTCGTGGTGTCAGACTTTTAAATTGGTGTCACCGCCGAACCTCACCCCTCCCCCGCCTTGTGACGCCACTGGTTTTTAAGTTTTAAACAAAGGAATCGATCTATTGGCCTAGGCTATTTATCGCCTGGCTATATTCCATAACTTAGTCCTCCTCCTCCCCTCCCCATCCCCCAACCGAAAAGATGCCTGAAAGAAATTTTGTTTGAAAGGAGAACAAGTTAATAAACAAAACAAACATGTATCTTACACATTGCTACAACCACTATTACAAATTTGTAATACACCGGCTGTAGAACTTATGACTGTGACGGAATTTCAAACACTACACACCTACATGATAATCTTTGATTAGGATTTTGTCAAAAAGGGAAGTAACTTATATGATATTAGATAGTAGAGTGTTTTATTAGATTATCTACCCCAAAAATATTATTTTAAAAAAGTTGCCTAGTTATGATTATTGAAAAAGTTTATCATATTTGCATGCTTAGGCTTCAGTGTTGTTGAAATGTTTGTAAGCCTGTTGGCGTGTGTTGGAGACGACCTAGTTGGGTAGATGATTTAATTAATGAGGTAGTAGACTATCAATTGGGTAGATGATTTAATTAATGAGGTAGTAGATTATCAATTGGGTAGATGATTTAATTAATGATGTGGTAGATTATCAATTGGGTAGATGATTTAATTAATGATGTGGTAGATTATCAATTGGGTAGATGATTTAATTAATAAGGTGGTAGATGACCTAGTTGGGTAGATGGTTTAATTAATGAGTTGGGAGATTAGCGATTGGGTAGATGATTTAATTAATGAGTTGGGAGATTAGCGATTGGGTAGATGATTTAATTAATGAGTTGGGAGATTAGCGATTGGGTAGATGATTTAATTAATGAGTTGGTAGATGACCTAGTTGGGTAGATGATTTAATTACTGAGGTGGTAGATTATCAATTGGGTAGATGATTTAATTAATGAAGTAGTAGATTATCAATTGGGTAGATGATTTAATTAATGAGGTGGTAGATGACCTAGTTGGGTAGATGATTTAATTAATGGGTGAGTTAGATGACCTAGTTGGGTAAATGATTTAATTAATGAGGTAGTAGATTATCAATTGGGTAGATGATTTAATTAATGAGGTTGTAGATTATCAATTGGGTAGATAATTTAATTAATGAGTTGGTAGATGACCTAGTTGGGGTAGATGATTTAATTAATGAGGTGGTAGATGACCATATTGGGATGTCAACCAATAAAACAACCGCCATGAGGGGGAACGGAAACCCTCTCTTGTCGTGATGGACTTGTGAAAGTTTTGAAATGGTGACACACGACGATTTGAAATGGTGACACACAACGATGAAGTGACAGGGCAACAGTCGTACCTACATAAGTGGCGTGGGGTTCACACGTTGAAGTGGTGTGCTCAGTTGTGGGTGTGTTCCTGTGTGAGTAGATTTTGTCAAATACATTCTGGTTTACAGCATAGTTGGACTCCACATACATTGCGTGTGTGTGTGTATCAAAGATCCAGAGAGTGTCAAGGATTATCTGCTTGCATGTTACGGGATACTTCTTGTTAGGATATCATGTAGATCTAGTAGGCTATATGTTCTCTTAGAAAGTATTGTTATAAATCAATAGCCGTGTATATGGTCACTTTAATAGCACATGGCTAATATCAACTTTAATAGCACATGGCTAACATCAATTTTAATAGCACATGTCTAACATCAACTTTAATAGTACATGTCTATCATCAAGTTAATAGCACATGTCTAACATCAACTTTAATAGCACATGTCTAACATCAAGTTAAATAGCACATGGCTAACATCAATTTTAATAGCACATGTCTAACATTAATTTAATAACACATGGCTAACATAGACTTTAATAGCATATGGCTAACATCAATTTTAATAGCACATGTCTAACATCAACTTTAATAGCACATGGCTAACATCAACTTTAGCACATGGACAAAATCAACTTGTATAGTACATGTCTAACATCAACTTTAGCAACAGTCGTACCTACATAAGTGGCGTGGGGTTCACACGTTGAAGTGGTGTGCTCAGTTGTGGGTGTGTTCCTGTGTGAGTAGATTTTGTCAAATACATTCTGGTTTACAGCATAGTTGGACTCCACATACATTGCGTGTGTGTGTGTATCAAAGATCCAGAGAGTGTCAAGGATTATCTGCTTGCATGTTACGGGATACTTCTTGTTAGGATATCATGTAGATCTAGTAGGCTATATGTTCTCTTAGAAAGTATTGTTATAAATCAATAGCCGTGTATATGGTCACTTTAATAGCACATGGCTAATATCAACTTTAATAGCACATGGCTAACATCAATTTTAATAGCACATGTCTAACATCAACTTTAATAGTACATGTCTATCATCAAGTTAATAGCACATGTCTAACATCAACTTTAATAGCACATGTCTAACATCAAGTTAAATAGCACATGGCTAACATCAATTTTAATAGCACATGTCTAACATTAATTTAATAACACATGGCTAACATAGACTTTAATAGCATATGGCTAACATCAATTTTAATAGCACATGTCTAACATCAACTTTAATAGCACATGGCTAACATCAACTTTAGCACATGGACAAAATCAACTTGTATAGTACATGTCTAACATCAACTTTAGCACATGGATAACATCAACTTTAATAGCACATATTTAACATCAACTTTAGCACATGTCTAACATCAACTTTAATAGCACCTGCCTAACATCAACTTTAATAGCACATGGCTAACATCAATTTTAATAGCACATGCCTAACATCAACTTTAATAGCATATGGCTAACATCAATTTCAATAGCACATGCCTAACATCAACTTTAATAGCACATGGCTAACATCAACTTTAATAGCACATGGCTAACATCAACTTTAGCACATGTCTAACATCAACTTTAATAGCACCTGCCTAACATCAACTTTAATAGCACATGGCTAACATCAATTTTAATAGCACATGCCTAACATCAACTTTAATAGCACATGGCTAACATCAATTTCAATAGCACATGTCTAACATCAACTTTAATAGCACATGTCTAACATCATTTTTAATAGCACATGGCTAACATCAACTTTAGCACATGGATAACATCAACTTTAATAGCACATGTCTAACATCAACTTTAGCACATGGATAACATCAACTTTAATAGCACATGTCTAACATCAACTTTAGCACATGGATAACATCAATTTTAGCACATGGCTAACATCAACTTTAATAGCACATGTCTAACATCAAGTTTAATAGCACATGTCTAACATCAACTTTAGCACATGGATAACATCAATTTTAGCACATGTCTAACATCAACTTTAATAGTACATGTCTATCATCAAGTTAATAGCACATGTCTAACATCAACTTTAATAGCACATGTCTAACATCAAGTTAAATAGCACATGGCTAACATCAATTTTAATAGCACATGTCTAACATTAATTTAATAACACATGGCTAACATAGACTTTAATAGCATATGGCTAACATCAATTTTAATAGCACATGTCTAACATCAACTTTAATAGCACATGTCTAACATCAACTTTAGCACATGGATAACATCAACTTTAATAGCACATGTCTAACATCAACTTTAATAGCACATGTCTAACATCAAATTTAGCACATGTCTAACATCAACTTTATATCAAACATCAATTTCAGCAGGAGCCTAATGGATGAAATCTGAAATGGATAAAACTTTACGCGTGTGCATCGTTATCGTTCTCTGCGCCTTCATCAATACAGGTGAGACAAGATAACACGGTTTAGTAATTAATTGAATTAATGAGATCAGCCGTAAACAAAGAACATCTGGTATGTTGCTTTGACCTGCTCCACCCATATCTTGTGTCATACGGATTCTTCTCTCCATGCGCTCACTCCTTCAATTCATGTTTGATTCGTAGTTTGTAGCAGGACAGAGAAACGTTCGTACAACGAATCAGATGCCATCGAATCAGACAACTACCCGGGTCCCTACCCACCAGCCTTGAACTTGACCTGGGAGTGGACTGTTGGAGCCGGCATTTGGGCTGTGATCTTCGTAGAGTTTTCTCTGGACGATGGCGATTGGCTGACCATATGGGATGGGTAAGGGTCACGTGTCCTCTGTCTTTAGTAATAACATTGCTTTTATGATGAAATAGGGCCTATGCATGTCTGTATTATTACAATATAAATCAATCAGCATGTGAGAGTGCGTACTTGTTAGATAAACATACAGCTACCTCTCCAGACAGAAAGCGATCAACTACGATGGTTTGAATCGACCTATCCAACCCTACATCACTGTGACCCATCAACTTAGGATCAGTTTTGTCAGTGTCAACAAGACTAAGGGTTCAGAGGTCAAAGGGTTTCAAGATGGGTCAGAGGTTAAGAGATTCCGCCTTCAGATCCTCCATGCTCTCGATAAAGGTAAGGGGATTTGATTTAAATTTTTAAACACTTTTTTTTCTGTTGGTGACTCTACAGCCAACGTGGGTGGCTTCAAGCAGTATAAAATTCAAGCAGTATGTATGTGCGATGAGCTGGTTGAAGGAATTATTTTTTTCTGTAGCCAAATTCAGCGCCGGATCAGAGAATGGGTGGAGTAGGCAGATTCCTTGAGGCCCTTGGCTGGAAATGAAATGAGTACGACGGTGCTTTAAATAAAATACGTTGTAAGCAGTTCCACATGTTAACATTCGAGCAATTCACAAACAACAAAAAAAATTATAAAATTAAAATTCAAATAAATTCAAATAAAATAAGTTATTTTATCAATTTAGAACAAAACAGCCAACTGATGATCTTTACGTCTTTCTTGGTCGTCTTCTTTTGCGCTTTCATTGGGGGCATCATGGTGATACTAGCTAGGGGGTGAGTAGGGTGTGCCCTATCCAGACACATCTCCCCTGAAAGTGGGTGTGCCATATACAGACACATCTCCCCTGAAAGTGGGTGTGCCCTATACAGACACATCTCCCCTGAAAGTGGGTGTGCCCTATCCAGACACATCTCCCCTGAAAGTGGGTGTGCCCTATCCAGACACATGTCCCCTGAAAGTGGGTGTGCCCTATCCAGACACATCTCCCCTGAAAGTGGGTGTGCCCTATCCAGACACATCTCCCCTGAAAGTGGGTGTGCCCTATCCAGACACATCTCCCCTGAAAGTGGGTGTGCCCTATACAGACACATCTCCCCTGAAAGTGGGTGTGCCCTATACAGACACATCTCCCCTGAGAGTGGGTGTGCCCTATACAGACACATCTCCCCTGAAAGTGAGTGTGCCCTATACAGACACATCTCCCCTGAAAGTGAGTGTGCCCTATACAGACACATCTCCCCTGAAAGTGGGTGTGCCCTATACAGACACATCTCCCCTGAAAGTGGTCCAGTTGTGCCGGGCCAGCGGATCTTGAGTATCTGAGTCAGCTGATCAGGACTTTATCAATGGTGCTGTTTGTCTTGTCTCAGCAATCTTTCTAAGGTCGGTGGAATAAAATTCGTGTTTTTGTTTCGTGGCTCATTATAAAGTTTACTACAGCCTGACCCAGTAAGCAGACATTAAATGTTTTTGTCTCCAGTACAAGCTGAAATAAAGATCCACGAGTTCCGGGAATCTTTAGAGAAACAAGCCACAAGCTCGCCAAACAGCCTCGTTGTCATCCTCTCGGTAACCCTGGTAACGCTAGTCGCGCTGGCCGCCATTGTGGTGTTCATTCGCTACAGGATGGGGCGGAAGGGAAACTCCCGGCTAGACGCAGCGTTCAGCGCGCAGATGAACGGGGGCGCGCGGCACTCGAGAGGGGAAGAACATCTAACGGCAGACACGGCGCTAGGCGAGCCACGCCGGACGAGGCAGCCGCGAGCCCTGCAGCAGTCTACCAGCCAGCTGACGTGGATAGCGAGGGCGCAGTTAAACACATCCTCGCAAGTAAGTTTGGCTCGCGACCGGGGGGGGGGGGGCTGCCACGGGTACCACCCCACCTAGTGACGCCGCTAGCTATATTTATTAAGTATTTTTTCCTAAACGGTTTTGATAAAGATGGCAGCCCAGAATAAGCCCATGATTTCATAACCTGCAATTATTTTTTTTTTTCTTAAAATTTTTTTTTCCTGAATTTGAAAAGTTTTTTCACACTTAAAAGTAAATATAATAAACAAGGATAAGTAATGTTGAACCCAAATCAGCTATTTGAGAAAGAAATCAATTGCGAAACAAAACAACTAAAATCGACCAAATAAATTGTTTTCTTTTGTATTTTGGTGGAGCAGAGAGTAAGCGGAAGTACGACGTCACATTTTAATGGGTCTGATTTTTTGGCGTTGAAGAGTGTGTGTGTGGAGGGGGAGGGGGTAATAAAAAATTCGCGACGTCATTTATAGATGATCCATCTATTATCTCACAACTTTTTCTAACCAGCAACCCGCCTCGCCAACCCACAGACCCAACCCGTACAACTACATCGGGTCAACCTCGCCCTCCGACGTTCGGGTGCTCGGCATTGCTCTTGTCGAAGACCCCTACGCTGAGCAGCCGCCCTACGGCCCAGGATCGAATCCTGGCCGGCCCGACGTCGTACCGGAGGACGACAGCTACCTGACTGACCTTCAGAAGGTTTTCAAGTGCGTCACCGTCAACAGCGGCTCCCAGAGGAGGAGCCAAAACAGATCACGATTCTCTTACAACCGGCCCGGTGAGCCGTACGCCAACCAGCCCGGTGAGCCGTACGCCAACCAGCTGGTAGACAACCTGCTGACTTACGAGTCAGGCGTCGATGACTCCACGGACACTAAAGACTTCCTGGTGGAGCTGCAAGACGAATCTCCCAGAGAGCACAACGAATCTAACGAGCCACCCTCGTACGAATCCTTGATGTGCGGCACGGGTTCGATCCCCAGCCAGAGCTATGATAACATCGTCCCTGGGGTGTCGCACGCTGGTCGACATTGCGTCGACACACCTTCAGACAGTGTCCTTGACCCGACCTTTAGCTGTGACCTTGACCCACTGGCCAGAACGACGTCCATCAGTGACAACGAGCCACTGGCTAGAGTGACAGACACCTCACCCAACTGTATTTACCTCAACACGCTGTAAGACACCTCATCCAACTGTATTTACCTCAACACGACAGACACCTCACCCAACTGTATTTACCTCAACACGCTGTAAGACACCTCATCCAACTGTATTTACCTCAACACGACAGACACCTCATCCAACTGTATTTACCTCAACACGACAGACACCTCATCCAACTGTATTTACCTCAACACGACAGACACCTCATCCAACTGTATTTACCTCAACACGACAGACACCTCACCCAACTGTATTTACCTCAACACGCTGTAAGACACCTCATCCAACTGTATTTACCTCAACACGACAGACACCTCACCCAACTGTATTTACCTCAACACGACAGACACCTCACCCAACTGTATTTACCTCAACACGCTGTAAGACACCTCACCCAACTGTATTTACCTCAACACGCTGTAAGACACCTCATCCAACTGTATTTACCTCAACACGCTGTAAGACACCTCACCCAACTGTATTTACCTCAACACGCTGTAAGACACCTCACCCAACTGTATTTACCTCAACACGCTGTAAGACACCTCATCCAACTGTATTTACCTCAACACGACAGACACCTCATCCAACTGTATTTACCTCAACACGCTGTAAGACACCTCACCCAACTGTATTTACCTCAACACGACAGACACCTCACCCAACTGTATTTACCTCAACACGCTGTAAGACACCTCACCCAACTGTATTTACCTCAACACGCTGTAAGACACCTCACCCAACTGTATTTACCTCAACACGCTGTAAGACACCTCACCCAACTGTATTTACCTCAACACGCTGTAAGACACCTCATCCAACTGTATTTACCTCAACACGACAGACACCTCACCCACCTGTATTTACCTCAACACGCTGTAAGACACCTCACCCAACTGTATTTACCTCAACACGACAGACACCTCACCCACCTGTATTTACCTCAACACGACAGACACCTCACCCAACTGTATTTACCTCAACACGCTGTAAGACACCTCACCCAACTGTATTTACCTCAACACGCTGTAAGACACCTCATCCAACTGTATTTACCTCAACACGACAGACACCTCACCCAACTGTATTTACCTCAACACGCTGTAAGACACCTCATCCAACTGTATTTACCTCAACACGCTGTAAGACACCTCACCCAACTGTATTTACCTCAACACGCTGTAAGACACCTCACCCAACTGTATTTACCTCAACACGCTGTAAGACACCTCACCCAACTGTATTTACCTCAACACGCTGTAAGACACCTCATCCAACTGTATTTACCTCAACACGCTGTAAGACACCTCACCCAACTGTATTTACCTCAACACGACAGACACCTCACCCAACTGTATTTACCTCAACACGCTGTAAGACACCTCACCCAACTGTATTTACCTCAACACGACAGACACCTCACCCAACTGTATTTACCTCAACACGCTGTAAGACACCTCACCCAACTGTATTTACCTCAACACGCTGTAAGACACCTCATCCAACTGTATTTACCTCAACACGACAGACACCTCACCCAACTGTATTTACCTCAACACGACAGACACCTCACCCAACTGTATTTACCTCAACACGACAGACACCTCACCCAACTGTATTTACCTCAACACGACAGACACCTCATCCAACTGTATTTACCTCAACACGCTGTAAGACACCTCATCCAACTGTATTTACCTCAACACGCTGTAAGACACCTCACCCAACTGTATTTACCTCAACACGACAGACACCTCACCCAACTGTATTTACCTCAACACGACAGACACCTCACCCAACTGTATTTACCTCAACACGCTGTAAGACACCTCATCCAACTGTATTTACCTCAACACGACAGACACCTCACCCAACTGTATTTACCTCAACACGCTGTAAGACACCTCACCCAACTGTATTTACCTCAACACGCTGTAAGACACCTCACCCAACTGTATTTACCTCAACACGCTGTAAGACACCTCACCCAACTGTATTTACCTCAACACGCTGTAAGACACCTCATCCAACTGTATTTACCTCAACACGACAGACACCTCATCCAACTGTATTTACCTCAACACGCTGTAAGACACCTCACCCAACTGTATTTACCTCAACACGCTGTAAGACACCTCATCCAACTGTATTTACCTCAACACGACAGACACCTCACCCAACTGTATTTACCTCAACACGCTGTAAGACACCTCATCCAACTGTATTTACCTCAACACGCTGTAAGACACCTCACCCAACTGTATTTACCTCAACACGCTGTAAGACACCTCACCCAACTGTATTTACCTCAACACGCGGTAAGACACCTCATCCAACTGTATTTACCTCAACACGCTGTAAGACACCTCACCCAACTGTATTTACCTCAACACGCTGTAAGACACCTCACCCAACTGTATTTACCTCAACACGCTGTAAGACACCTCACCCAACTGTATTTACCTCAACACGCTGTAAGACACCTCACCCAACTGTATTTACCTCAACACGCTGTAAGACACCTCACCCAACTGTATTTACCTCAACACGACAGACACCTCATCCAACTGTATTTACCTCAACACGCTGTAAGACACCTCATCCAACTGTATTTACCTCAACACGCTGTAAGACACCTCACCCAACTGTATTTACCTCAACACGCTGTAAGACACCTCACCCAACTGTATTTACCTCAACACGACAGACACCTCATCCAACTGTATTTACCTCAACACGACAGACACCTCACCCAACTGTATTTACCTCAACACGACAGACACCTCACCCAACTGTATTTACCTCAACACGCTGTAAGACACCTCATCCAACTGTATTTACCTCAACACGACAGACACCTCATCCAACTGTATTTACCTCAACACGCTGTAAGACACCTCACCCAACTGTATTTACCTCAACACGACAGACACCTCACCCAACTGTATTTACCTCAACACGACAGACACCTCACCCAACTGTATTTACCTCAACACGCTGTAAGACACCTCATCCAACTGTATTTACCTCAACACGCTGTAAGACACCTCATCCAACTGTATTTACCTCAACACGCTGTAAGACACCTCATCCAACTGTATTTACCTCAACACGACAGACACCTCACCCAACTGTATTTACCTCAACACGCTGTAAGACACCTCATCCAACTGTATTTACCTCAACACGACAGACACCTCACCCAACTGTATTTACCTCAACACGCTGTAAGACACCTCACCCAACTGTATTTACCTCAACACGCTGTAAGACACCTCATCCAACTGTATTTACCTCAACACGCTGTAAGACACCTCACCCAACTGTATTTACCTCAACACGCTGTAAGACACCTCACCCAACTGTATTTACCTCAACACGACAGACACCTCACCCAACTGTATTTACCTCAACACGCTGTAAGACACCTCACCCAACTGTATTTACCTCAACACGCTGTAAGACACCTCACCCAACTGTATTTACCTCAACACGCTGTAAGACACCTCACCCAACTGTATTTACCTCAACACGCTGTAAGACACCTCACCCAACTGTATTTACCTCAACACGCTGTAAGACACCTCACCCAACTGTATTTACCTCAACACGACAGACACCTCACCCAACTGTATTTACCTCAACACGCTGTAAGACACCTCACCCAACTGTATTTACCTCAACACGACAGACACCTCACCCAACTGTATTTACCTCAACACGCTGTAAGACACCTCATCCAACTGTATTTACCTCAACACGCTGTAAGACACCTCACCCAACTGTATTTACCTCAACACGCTGTAAGACACCTCATCCAACTGTATTTACCTCAACACGCTGTAAGACACCTCATCCAACTGTATTTACCTCAACACGACAGACACCTCACCCAACTGTATTTACCTCAACACGCTGTAAGACACCTCACCCAACTGTATTTACCTCAACACGCTGTAAGACACCTCACCTAACTGTATTTACCTCAACACGCTGTAAGACACCTCACCTAACTGTATTTACCTCAACACGACAGACACCTCACCCAACTGTATTTACCTCAACACGCTGTAAGACACCTCACCCAACTGTATTTACCTCAACACGCTGTAAGACACCTCACCCAACTGTATTTACCTCAACACGCTGTAAGACACCTCACCCAACTGTATTTACCTCAACACGCTGTAAGACACCTCACCCAACTGTATTTACCTCAACACGCTGTAAGACACCTCACCCAACTGTATTTACCTCAACACGCTGTAAGACACCTCACCCAACTGTATTTACCTCAACACGCTGTAAGACACCTCACCCAACTGTATTTACCTCAACACGACAGACACCTCACCCAACTGTATTTACCTCAACACGCTGTAAGACACCTCACCCAACTGTATTTACCTCAACACGCTGTAAGACACCTCATCCAACTGTATTTACCTCAACACGACAGACACCTCACCCAACTGTATTTACCTCAACACGCTGTAAGACACCTCACCCAACTGTATTTACCTCAACACGACAGACACCTCATCCAACTGTATTTACCTCAACACGCTGTAAGACACCTCATCCAACTGTATTTACCTCAACACGCTGTAAGACACCTCACCCAACTGTATTTACCTCAACACGCTGTAAGACACCTCATCCAACTGTATTTACCTCAACACGACAGACACCTCACCCAACTGTATTTACCTCAACACGCTGTAAGACACCTCACCCAACTGTATTTACCTCAACACGACAGACACCTCACCCAACTGTATTTACCTCAACACGCTGTAAGACACCTCACCCAACTGTATTTACCTCAACACGCTGTAAGACACCTCACCCAACTGTATTTACCTCAACACGCTGTAAGACACCTCATCCAACTGTATTTACCTCAACACGACAGACACCTCACCCACCTGTATTTACCTCAACACGCTGTAAGACACCTCATCCAACTGTATTTACCTCAACACGCTGTAAGACACCTCACCCAACTGTATTTACCTCAACACGCTGTAAGACACCTCACCCAACTGTATTTACCTCAACACGCTGTAAGACACCTCACCCAACTGTATTTACCTCAACACGCTGTAAGACACCTCACCCAACTGTATTTACCTCAACACGCTGTAAGACACCTCATCCAACTGTATTTACCTCAACACGACAGACACCTCACCCACCTGTATTTACCTCAACACGCTGTAAGACACCTCACCCAACTGTATTTACCTCAACACGCTGTAAGACACCTCACCCAACTGTATTTACCTCAACACGCTGTAAGACACCTCACCCAACTGTATTTACCTCAACACGCTGTAAGACACCTCACCCAACTGTATTTACCTCAACACGCTGTAAGACACCTCACCCAACTGTATTTACCTCAACACGCTGTAAGACACCTCACCCAACTGTATTTACCTCAACACGCTGTAAGACACCTCACCCAACTGTATTTACCTCAACACGACAGACACCTCACCCAACTGTATTTACCTCAACACGCTGTAAGACACCTCACCCAACTGTATTTACCTCAACACGCTGTAAGACACCTCACCCAACTGTATTTACCTCAACACGCTGTAAGACACCTCATCCAACTGTATTTACCTCAACACGCTGTAAGCTGCGACCACCAGCACACAATGGAGGATGTCGTAAAGACAACAAGAGACAATGTCTGCTTGAAGCTCCCACTAGACTAACAACCAACCCCAGACACGCCAACACTAGACACGCCAACCCCAGACACCAAGACACTCCAACCCCAGACACCAACCCCAAACACATCCACCCAAAACACGCCAACCATAGACACGCCAACCCCAGACACCAACCCCAAACACGCCAACCCCAAACACGCCAACCCCAAACACATCCACCCAAAACACGCCAACCCCAGACACCAACCCCAAACACGCCAACCCCAAACACGCCAACCCCAAACACATCCACCCAAAACACGCCAACCCCAGACACCAACCCCAAACACACCAACCCCAAACACATCCACCCAAAACACGCCAACCATAGACACGCCAATCCCAGACACCAACCCCAAACACACCAACCCCAAACACATCCACCCAAAACACGCCAACCATAGACACGCCAATCCCAGACACCAACCCCAAACACGCCAACCCCAAACACGCCAACCCCAAACACGCCAACCCCAAACACATCCACCCAAAACACGCCAACCCCAGACACCAACCCCAAACACGCCAACCCCAAACACGCCAACCCCAAACACATCCACCCAAAACACGCCAACCCCAGACACCAACCCCAAACACACCAACCCCAAACACATCCACCCAAAACACGCCAACCATAGACACGCCAATCCCAGACACCAACCCCAAACACGCCAACCCCAAACACGCCAACCCCAAACACATCCACCCAAAACACGCCAACCCCAGACACCAACCCCAAACACGCCAACCCCAAACACGCCAACCCCAAACACATCCACCCAAAACACGCCAACCCCAGACACCAACCCCAAACACACCAACCCCAAACACATCCACCCAAAACACGCCAACCATAGACACGCCAATCCCAGACACCAACCCCAAACACGCCAACCCCAAACACGCCAACCCCAAACACGCCAACCCCAAACACACCAACCCCAGACACCAAACCCAAACACGCCAACCCCAAACACGCCAACCCCAAACACGCCAACCCCAAACACGCCAACCCCAAACACACCAACACCCGACACCAACCCCAAACACGCCAACCCCAAACACGCCAACCCCAAACACGCCAACCCCAAACACGCCAACCCCAGACAACTCATAAACACCATTATCGATACTATTAACGAAAATGTGACACAAACGTGTTGATTGGAAACAATTTAATTAGTCACCCCACGAACGCAACATTACGACTAAGCTGCTTGAAGGCATTCTCGCACTCTCGCCTAACTTCTGTGGGAGCAAATTCGCTGAGTTGGCGCGGAATTGTACAAATATTACAACTCTCGGTCAATTCAGTAAAAATAGTATCTTGAACATTTTAATGGTGATTATAGAACAGACACAATAGGAAAACATGGATAAGAATTGTTTGAAAGTTGTTTTGATAATTTAAAAAACCTGTTTACAAAATAAAATGAAAAAAAAAATGATCGTTCTACACTTCGCACAATTTTTTTTAACCAAAGTCACATTTCACACAATTTGTTTCACCAAAATCACATTTCACACAATTTGTTTAACTAAAAACTCATTTCACACAATTTGTTTCACCAAAATCACATTTCACATAATTTGTTTCACTAAAATCACATTTCACACAATTTGTTTAACTAAAAACTCATTTCACACAATTTGTTTCACCAAAATCACATTTCACATAATTTGTTTCACTAAAATCACATTTCACACAATTTGTTTAACTAAAAACTCATTTCACACAATTTGTTTCACCAAAATCACATTTCACACAATTTGTTTCACCAAAATCACATTTCACACAATTTGTTTCACCAAAATCACATTTCACACAATTTGTTTCACTAAAATCTCATTTCACACAATTTGTTTCACCAAAATCACATTTCACACAATTAGTTTCACTAAAATCTCATTTCACACAATTTGTTTCACCAAAATCACATTTCACACAATTAGTTTCACTAAAATCTCATTTCACACAATTTGTTTCACCAAAATCACATTTCACACAATTTGTTTCACTAAAATCACATTTCACACAATTTGTTTCACTAAAATCTCATTTCACACAATTAGTTTCATCAAAATCACATTTCACACAATTTGTTTAACTAAAATCTCATTTCGCACAATTTGTTTCATCAAAATCACATTTTACATGTTTTTTTCACCAAACAAATCACCAACATTGTTGCTGAGAAGGAACCAGAACCTCAGCAGAACCTCAGAAGAACCTTTGCAAAGCCTCACCATGACCAACCCGCCTATCACAGAATTATGTTCACAACATCCGGGGTACATCACACAGCCGCTAGACGTAACACAGGGCCTAGACAAACTAACCTAGGCGCAAATACATTTAGACAAACTAGAGCAGCTAAATTAAGCTTAGACCAGCTAGTCAGCTAGAGAAATCTGGACAGAGACCAGCTACCAGACCAGCTACCATCGGCGGTGTCCTCATTCTACCGACCAATCGACCGACATCGTGGAATGGTCAAGGTTGAGGTTGTCCTGACGGTAAATCTTGCGGTCGATGTACTTGTTGAGGTCCGTCAGACTCTTCCAGATGGGCTCTGCTTTCATTTTAGCATCGCTACACAGGGTCAGACCCTCGCGGACCCGGATCTTGCCCTCCTGGGGAGGGGGGGGGGTGCAGAGGTGAGACATGGGTGGTTGGGAGGTGAGACAAGATGGTGAGACAAGATGAGGTGGGTGAGACACGGTGTAATAAGAGGTGAGACAGGATGCGTGGTAGGTGAGAGACTGATGTCCGCTGCCCAACAAGATGAGCGCACCTACCGTATACCTCTCGTTGATGTACATCATGCACCCGATGGCGTAGATGGCCCGCACCATGTCCAGTAGTGGCACCTTCATCGTCTTGATTTCCTTCAGGTGGGTGTAACATTTCCTGGAGAGAAAACATTTAGTCAGCTCACTCAACATTGAATTGATTGATTACAGGATATTTGTACAGGTAGTGCGGTAAAAACGTTCTATACCCGCAAAGGTTGAAACCTACATCAACAGCTTAAGGCCCTCTAGCTTGTCACACTCGTACATCCACTCTATACCCGCAAAGGTTGAAACCTACATCAACAGCTTGAGGCCCTCTAGCTTGTCACACTCGTACATCCACTCTATACCCGCAAAGGTTGAAACCTACATCAACAGCTTGAGGCCCTCTAGATTGTCACACTCGTACATCCACTCTATACCCGCAAAGGTTGAAACCTACATCAACAGCTTGAGGCCCTCTAGCTTGTCACACTCGTACATCCACTCTATACCCGCAAAGGTTGAAACCTACATCAACAGCTTGAGGCCCTCTAGCTTGTCACACTCGTACATCCACTCTATACCCGCAAAGGTTGAAACCTACATCAACAGCTTGAGGCCCTCTAGCTTGTCACACTCGTACATCCACTCTATACCCGCAAAGGTTGAAACCTACATCAACAGCTTGAGGCCCTCTAGCTTGTCACACTCGTACATCCACTCTATACCCGCAAAGGTTGAAACCTACATCAACAGCTTGAGGCCCTCTAGCTTGTCACACTCGTACATCCACTGTTTCTCGGCCTGCGTCTTGATGGCCCCGATGATGGGCACATCCGGCTGTGACGTCATTTCCTCTAGGATGGGAACAATGGTGCTAATCCAGATGTCCACTGTTTGTCTCTCAAAAAAATAAAAAGTTGAACTGATAGAACAATGTTAACCAGTTTCTGGGGTTGTTTTTTTCACGGGACCCCCTTACCCTCCACCCCCCCCCCCTCCCCCGCTAATAAATGTGGAAGAACCAAGGCAGCAAGTGTTAACATGTTTTTGTTTGTAGTCACGTGCTATGTTGGCCTAAGTGTAAGACCAGGTGGAAATGTTCAGGCCACAAACTCTACTTCATCTATCGCAGTCAAAGTTTCCTGGTTCTGTCAGGTGTGCCTGTAAACCTGTACCTGTAGAATACCTGGCTTAAGACACCTGTGTATCACCCGTGTACCACCTGTGTACCACCTGTGTAGCACCTGTGTACCACCTGTGTACCACCTGTGTAGCACCTGTGTAGCACCTGTGTACCACCTGTGTAGCACCTGTGTACCACCTGTGTACCACCTGTACCACCTGTACCACCCGTGTACGACCTGTGTACCACTTTGTACCACCTGTGTACCACCTGTGTAGCACCTGTGTACCACCTGTACCACCTGTACCACCCGTGTACGACCTGTGTACCACTTTGTACCACCCGTGTACCACCTGTGTACCACCTGTGTACCACTTTGTACCACCTGTGTACCACCCGTATACCACCCGTGTACCACCTGTGTACCACTTTGTACCACCTGTACCACCTGTACCACCCGTGTACCACCTGTGTACCACTTTGTACCACCTGTACCACCTGTACCACCTGTGTACCACCTGTGTACCACTTTGTACCACCCGTGTACCACCTGTGTACCACCTGTGTACCACCTGTTTACCACCTGTACCACCCGTGTACCACCTGTGCACCACCTGTGTACCACCTGTATACCACCTGTGTACCACCTGTGTACCACCTGTGTACCACCTGTGTACCACCTGTACCACCCGTGTACCACCTGTGCACCACCTGTGTACCACCTGTATACCACCTGTATACCACCTGTGTACCACCCGTGTACCACCTGTATACCACTTTGTACCACCTGTGTACCACGTGTGTACCAGGTGTGTACCAGGTGTGTACCACCTGTGTACCACCTGTGTACCACCTGTGTACCACCTGTGTACCACCTGTACCACCCGTGTACCACCTGTGTACCACCTGTATACCACCTGTTTACCACCTGTGTACCACCCGTGTACCACCTGTACCACCTGTACCACCCGTGTACCACCTGTGTACTACTTTGTACCACCTGTGTAGCACCTGTGTACCACCTGTGTATCACCCGTGTACCACCTGTGTACAACCTGTACAACCTGTACCACCCGTGTACGACCTGTGTACCACTTTGTACCACCTGTACCACCTGTGTACCACCTGTGTATCACCTGTGTAGCACCCGTGTACCACCTGTTTACCACCCGTGTACGACCTGTGTACCACTTTGTACCACCTGTGTAGCACCTGTGTAGCACCTGTGTATCACCTGTGTAGCACCCGTGTACCACCTGTTTACCACCCGTGTACGACCTGTGTACCACTTTGTACCACCTGTACCACCTGTGTACCACCTGTGTATCACCTGTGTAGCACCCGTGTACCACCTGTTTACCACCCGTGTACGACCTGTGTACCACCCGTGTACCACCCGTGTACCACCCGTGTACGACCTGTGTACCACCCGTGTACCACCCGTGTATCACCCGTGTACCACCTGTGTACCACCTGTGTACCACCTGTGTATCACCTGTATACCACCTGTACCACCCGTGTACGACCTGTGTACCACCTGTGTATCACCTGTATACCACCTGTGTACCACCCGTGTACCACCCGTGTACCACCCGTGTACCACCTGTGTACCACCTGTGTACCACCTGTGTATCACCTGTGTACCACCTGTGTACCTGTACAATGACAGCGCTGGCAGCTCGTCCTCCTTGAGCTGGAACATGTGACCCAGATAGCAGTAGCCACCGGAAGTGCGAATGTGCAGGGGACCGAACTCCTCCGTGTTTTGGTAAATCTCTTCAGCAAAACACTCGAGCGCCTCCTGCAACAGTCACTGGTCATACATCTAACCCTAACTCTACTGCAACAGTCACATCATACATCTAACCTTAACTCTACTGCAACAGTCACAGGTCATACATCTAACCCTAACTCTACTGCAACAGTCACAGGTCATACATCTAACCCTAACTCTACTGCAACAGTCACAGGTCATAATCTAACCCTAACTCTACTGCAAGAGTCACAGGTGATGTCATACATCTAACCCTAACTCTACTGCAACAGTCACAGGTGATGTCATACATCTAACCCTAACTCTACTGCAACAGTCACAGGTGATGTCATACATCTAACCCTAACTCTACTGCAACAGTCACGTCATACATCTTACCCTAACTCTACTGCAACAGTCACAGATGATGTCATAAATCTAACCCTAACTCTACTGCAACAGTCACGCCATACATCTAACCCTAACTCTACTGCAACAGTCACGTCATAATCTAACCCTAACTCTACTGCAACAGTCACTTCATACATCTAACCCTAACTCTACTGCAACAGTCACAGGTCATACATCTAACCCTAACTCTACTGCAACAGTCACGTCATACATCTAACCCTAACTCTACTGCAACAGTCACAGGTCATACATCTAACCCTAACCCTACTGCAACAGTAACAGGTCATACATCTAACCCTAACTCTACTGCAACAGTCACGTCATAAATCTAACTCTAACTCTACTTCAACAGTCACGGCATACATCTAACCCTAACTCTACTGCAACAGTCACGTCATAAATCTAACCCTAACTCTACTGCAACAGTCACGTCATAAATCTAACCCTAACTCTACTGCAACAGTCACGGCATCCATCTAACTCTAAGCTAAGAACCCCTCCTCTCACCTGGTAGTTGACCTTGGCCTGGTGCCCCCTCCCCCTTTCATCTGGTAGTTGACCTTGGCCTGGTGTATCAGACCCTCACCTGGTAGTTGACCTTGGCCTGGTGCCCCCTCCCCCTCTCACCTGGTAGTTGACCTTGGCCTGGTGTATCAGACCCTCACCTGGTAGTTGACCTTGGCCCCCCTCACCTGGTAGTTGACCTTGGCCTGGTGTATCAGACCCTCACCTTGTAGTTGACCTTGGCCCCCCTCACCTGGTAGTTGACCTTGGCCTGGTGTATCAGACCCTCACCTTGTAGTTGACCTTGGCCCCCCTCACCTGGTAGTTGACCTTGGCCTGGTGTATCAGACCCTCACCTGGTAGTTGACCTTGGCCTGGTGTATCAGACCCTCACCTTGTAGTTGACCTTGGCCCCCCTCACCTGGTAGTTGACCTTGGCCTGGTGTATCAGACCCTCACCTGGTAGTTGACCTTGGCCTGGTGTATCCCCCCCCCTCACCTGGTAGTTGACCTTGGCCTGGTGTATCAGACCCTCACCTTGTAGTTGACCTTGGCCTGGTGTATCAGACCCTCACCTTGTAGTTGACCTTGGCCCCCCTCACCTGGTAGTTGACCTTGGCCTGGTGTATCAGACCCTCACCTGGTAGTTGACCTTGGCCTGGTGTATTCCCCCCCCCCCCCCCCCCCTCACCTGGTAGTTGACCTTGGCCTGGTGTATCAGACCCTCACCTTGTAGTTGACCTTGGCCTGGTGTATCAGACCCTCACCTTGTAGTTGACCTTGGCCCCCCTCACCTGGTAGTTGACCTTGGCATGGTGTATCAGACCCTCACCTGGTAGTTGACCTTGGCCTGGTGCCCCCTCCCCCTCTCACCTGGTAGTTGACCTTGGCCTGGTGTATCAGACCCTCACCTGGTAGTTGACCTTGGCCCCCTCACCTTGTAGTTGACCTTGGCCCCCCTCACCTGGTAGTTGACCTTGGCCTGGTGTATCAGACCCTCACCTGGTAGTTGACCTTGGCCTGGTGTATTCCCCCCCCCCCCCTCACCTGGTAGTTGACCTTGGCCTGGTGTATCAGACCCTCACCTGGTAGTTGACCTTGGCCTGGTGTATCAGACCCTCACCTGGTAGTTGACCTTGGCCCCCCTCACCTGGTAGTTGACCTTGGCCCCCCTCACCTGGTAGTTGACCTTGGCCTGGTGTATCAGACCCTCGTTCCTCTTGATCCTGGCTTTGATTGACGGCTTGATGTTGGGAGCCTCTAGCTCGATACACAAAACTCGCGCCAAAAACGCGTCAGCCTGGAGCAGACGACATCAACGTCAGCCGTTAAGGTCAAGGCGAGGTCAGCTTAAGATCAGGTCAATACACAGATATTTGGTAACGAACGTGGTAGCTAGCTGCAGCAATTCTTAGCTGTGTCAATTTATCAACATCTTGACTTAAAGACAACATCTTGACCTAAAGACAACATCTTGAGCTAAAGACACCATCTTGACCTAAAGACAACATCTTGACCTAAAGACAACATCTTGACCTAAAGACAACATCTTTACTCGAGTTAACATTTTGACCTAAAGACAACATCTTGACCTAAAGACAACATCTTGACCTAAAGACACCATCTTGACCTAAAGACACCATCTTGACCTAAAGACAACATCTTGACCTAAAGACAACATCTTGACCTAAAGACAACATCGTGACCTAAAGACAACATCGTGACCTAAAGACAACATCGTGACCTAAAGACAACATCTTGACATAAAGACAACATATTGAATAGAGTCAACATCTTTACCTAAAGACAACATCTTGACCTAAAACAACATCTTTACTCGAGTTAACATCTTGACCTAAAGACAACATCTTGTCTTGACCTACCGTCCCCAGCTTGCCTTTATTGACGTAACATTCCGCGGCGACCAGCAGGGGCGGGATGACCTCAGCAGACGTGCCCCAGATCTCTTGGGCGTACTTGGCGCTGACCACAGCGGCTGGGATAGCCTTCTCGTAGAACCCCTGGGTGATGGTGGTCACATGGTTAGCGCTCTCATTCACTCACTCATTACAGCTGCACCATTTCACAATCATAACTCACTCACTCATTACAGCTGCACCATTTCACAATCATAACTCACTCAATCATTACAGCTGCACCATTACACAATCATAATTCACTCAATCATTACAGCTGCACCATTTCACAATCATAACTCACTCAATCATTACAGCTGCACCATTACACAATCATAATTCACTCAATCATTACAGCTGCACCATTACACAATCATAACTCACTCAATCATTACAGCTGCACCATTACACAATCATAACTCACTCACTCATTGCAGCTGCACCATTACACCTCTATAATTATATCTACCCTAACTGAACACACCAAACAAAACTTTCGCGTCAAACATTTCAAGTTTTCCCCACGAAATTCAAAACAAAAAGTGCCCCCAAAAAACTGAGAAATCGCATCTCCTAACCAAAGTTTACGCACTGATTGAATCTATAAATAGACGAGCGAGGAAGTTGCGTCGCTTCCTGTGGACATGATGGTTCCTGCTCAGTCCTGGATGACATGGGTAGATAAAGGTAGGTATGTTAGGATACTTTACGTGGCTGTTGGGTGGTGGTCACGTGATACCAATAGACATGTTCGTTAAACGTACTTAAGTAATCTAGAAGTAGTATCAGTATTAGCTCCCACCCCCCACCCCCAGCATAGCCTACACTTCTCGAACACACTGCTCTATTTTCAGATCTAGTTCCTGCAAGAATACTCTATTTTCAGATCTAGATCTAGTTCCTGTAAGAATACTCTATTTTCAGATCTAGATCTAGTTCCTGTAAGAATACTCTATTTTCAGATCTAGTTCCTGTAAGAATACTCTATTTTCAGATCTAGTTCTTGTAAGAATACTCTATTTTCAGATCTAGATCTAGTTCCTGTAAGAATACTCTATTTTCAGATCTAGATCTAGTTCCTGTAAGAATACTCTATTTTCAGATCTAGTTCCTGTAAGAATACTCTATTTTCAGATCTAGTTCTTGTAAGAATACTCTATTTTCAGATCTAGTTCTTGTAATCCAAAAAGAAAAACAGTAAATTGTGCTGGTGAAAATCCTTTCCAACATTAAAATTAAGAAGAAGAAGATGAAAATTGTATTGACTGTAACAATTCTCTGTTTTCATATGTAGTTAATGAAACCATTATTTGTTTTCAGATGTAGATCTATTTTCTGTAACAATTCTGTTTTCAGATGTAGATCTATTTTCTGTAACAATTCTGTTTTCAGATGTAGAACTATTTTCTGTAACAATTCTGTTTTCAGATGTAGATCTATTTTCTTTTGACCATTCTGTTTTCAGATGTAGAACTATTTTCTATAACAATTCTGTTTTCAGATGTAGAACTATTTTCTGTAACAATTCTGTTTTCAGATGTATAACTATTTTCTGTAACAATTCTGTTTTCAGATGTAGTAACTTCACAGACAGATGGACAACTCGTCAGTTCCGGCTTTTAGGTTGTCTACAAGCTGATTGGCTGCTGCACACGAGAGTTCACAAACTAAGATCCTGATTGGCTGACCTCGTGCGGCGCGTGCTATGTTTCATCCCTCTGACGTCGACTTACCGGAGCAGTGGGTAGCCGGCGAGCAAGACGCGTCAATGAACAATTACCCCGAGGTCATCCTCGCCCACAACATCTTTGTTATCGTCGCCGCCCTCTTCATCCCCATGGCCTTGATCTCCAACACCTTCATCTTCTTCAGCATCCTGCTGTACCCGGGGTTCTCCACCAGCCACCACGTCATCATGCTCTCCATCGCATGCTACGACTTCATCATCGGCGCCGTCGTCCTACCCGCCTTCATGTTATGCTACGCCTCTAAAACCACCAGCGCCTTGATCGGTGGGAGCAAACACGCCTGCCTGTTTAAACTCTCCACGCCCATGATCTCAGCCGACGGCTCACTCTACTGCCTCATGTTCCTGTCCATCGACCGCTACCTGGCTGTCAGATTCTCCCTGCGCTACCCCACCTGGATCACCCCCCGGCGGGCCGCCTACCTGACCATCGGGATAGCCGTGTGTGTCTATCTCCGGGCGTACCTCCCCATGATGGGGTGGAACAGGTACGACTACAGCATCCCCGACCTGACATCCCGCTGCAGCAGCTACCGGACCCTGTACCCCAGCTACGTCACGTGGGTCATGGACGCCCCAAACTACTTCGCCATCTGCGTGTCAATCGCCGTCAGCCTGCAGCTCGGCTTCATCTTTCTGCACCAGGTCGGCTCCTTCAGACGTCAGAGCACCGGCTGGACGAATGAGCAGAGGCGGAGCTTCAAGCTGCGGGTGGGCAGCGTCAAGATGATCATGGTGCTGATGGTGCTCTACATCCTGCTCACCTTCCCCTACCTGCTGGTGCCGCCTTTCATCAACTACTCCGTCTTCCCCAAACACACCACCGAGGTCTTCAAGACCTGCGCCATCCTCATGACCTTCTCCAACGCCGTGGTCAAAGCTCCCGTCTACGCCATCATGCGGGGTGAGTACTGGGCCGTCTACAAGAGCATGCTGACCAACGCCCCCTGCCGGTGGAAGCAATGTCTGCAGGCCCTCCACCGCCAGAAAAAACCCTTCCAGGCGCGCCCCGAGGGCGCCAAACTCGCGGATAAAAAGGAAAACCAGACCGAGGACGAGAGCCTACGATCCCAGTCAATCTTCGAGCACGCCGAGAAGGCACCGTCTGGGAGCAGCGTCAACCCGCCCTCCTTCCTGTATGATAATGACTTCCTGGAGGGCAAGTTCTCCTCCCCAGTAGATGTCAAGGTCAAGTGGAGGCCGATGGAGAAAATCATCAAGGCCGTCAAGCGGGGGAGTAAGGAGAACAAGGCCTCAGAGGTCAGCTGGGGTCACAGTGTGTAGCCAGAGGTCAGCTGGGGTCAAAGTGTGTAGCCAGAGGTCAGCTGGGGTCACAGTGTGTAGCCAGAGGTCAGCTGGGGTCACAGTGTGTAGCCCGACGGACAGCACGGCCAGTCAATTGCTGTCGGCTGTCACACCATTTATGTTTGCTGTCATACATGTATGTCTCTTACAATCAATAAAGTTAATCATTGACTTGGATGCTGTCATGGTTTCTTTGTCAGCTCAAGTCAGTGGCGTAGCTACCGTAAAGCTAGCGTAAGCAAGGCATAGAGGCCCAAGGCAAATAGGGGCCCTTTTTCGAAAGTCTGAGTGGGGGTGGGTGCAAATCGAAAGTCTGAGGGGAGGGGGGGGTGCAAATCGGAAGTTTGTCCCCGGTCGCCGGGAAGGGTAGCTACGCCTCTGAGGGGCCCACTAATACTTTTTGCATAGGGGCCCAAAAATCCTAGCTACGCCACTGATTTAAGTCTCATTATATTGACATCATTTTTGTTGACATCATTTTTGTTGACTTCATTTTTGTTGACTTCATTTTTGTTGACTTCATTTTGGTTGATTTAAATATGTTGCTCCTGCCTGTGTCTGCCCCTGCCCGTGTCTGCCCCTGCCCGTGGCTACCCCTGCCCGTGTCTACCCCTGCCCGTGTCTGCCCCTGCCCTTGTCTGCCCCTGCCCGTGTCTGCCCCTGCCCGTGTCTGCCCCTGCCCGTGTCTACCCCTGCCCGTGTCTGCCCCTGCCAGTGCCTGCCCCTGCCAGTGCCTGCCCCTGGCCGTGTGTACTCACCGCCTCCATGGCTGTCTGCCCCTGCCCTTGTCTGCCCCTGCCCCTGCCTGCCCCTGCCCATGTCTGCCCCTGCCCATGTGTACTCACCGCCTCCATGGCTGTCTGCCCCTGCCCGTGTCTGCCCCTGCCCGTGTCTGCCCCTGCCCGTCTCTGCCCCTGCCCGTGTCTGCCCCTGCCCTTGTCTGCCCCTGCCCGTGTCTGCCCCTGCCCGTGTCTGCCCCTGCCCGTGTCTGCCCCTGCCCGTGTCTACCCCTGCCCGTGTCTGCCCCTGCCAGTGCCTGCCCCTGCCAGTGCCTGCCCCTGGCCGTGTGTACTCACCGCCTCCATGGCTGTCTGCCCCTGCCCTTGTCTGCCCCTGCCCCTGCCTGCCCCTGCCCATGTCTGCCCCTGCCCATGTGTACTCACCGCCTCCATGGCTGTCTGCCCCTGCCCGTGTCTGCCCCTGCCCGTGTCTGCCCCTGCCCGTCTCTGCCCCTGCCCGTGTCTGCCCCTGCCCTTGTCTGCCCCTGCCCGTGTCTGCCCCTGCCCGTGTCTGCCCCTGCCCGTGTCTGCCCCTGCCCGTCTCTGCCCCTGCCAGTGCCTGCCCCTGCCAGTGCCTGCCCTTGCCCGTGTGTACTCACCGCCTCCATGGCTGTCTGCCCCTGCTTGTACGTGTACGTGTACATCTCCTCCAGCAGGACACGCCTCTGTTTTTTCATCCTCTCGCGCGTGTCCTGACACGGGCTGAATTCGATTGGCTGACGCAGGAGCTCGATGCGCGGACAGATGTCCTCGTGCAGGGTCTGCAAGGTCAAGGTTGGATACAATGCCGTTAAGGGGAGGTTTGTACCTGCATATGTTTAACTAAAGGTCAAGGACATGACAGGGGGTTATCTGGTACCAGATCGGCATCAACAGCCATGTCCATGACCTTTACTGACCCCAAGTGGAACTGTGACCTTGTGACAAGTGACTGTAATTAAAAACCCTGTGACTAATGATCATGTGCCTAGTGGTCCTATAGTGACCCTGTATCTTGTGAACTTGTACCTAGTGACCCTGTAGTGACCCTGTACCTAGTGACCCTGTACCTAGTGACCCTGTAGTGACCCAGCTCCCACTGACCCTACAGTGACCCTGTAGTGACCCAGCTCCCACTGACCCTAGAGTGACCCTGTAGTGACCCAGCTCCCACTGACCCTGTAATGACCCAGCTCCCACTGACCCTGTAATGACCCAGCTCCCACTGACCCTGTAGTGACCCTACAGTGACCCTGTAATGACCCAGCTCCCACTGACCCTGTAGTGACCCAGCTCCCACTGACCCTGTAGTGACCCAGCTCCCACTGACCCTGTAGTGACCCTACAGTGACCCTGTAGTGACCCAGCTCCCACTGACCCTGTAGTGACCCAGCTCCCACTGACCCTGTAGTGACCCAGCTCCCACTGACCCTGTAGTGACCCTACAGTGACCCTGTAGTGACCCAGCTCCCACTGACCCTGTAGTGACCCTACAGTGACCCTGTAGTGACCCAGCTCCCACTGACCCTGTAGTGACCCAGCTCCCACTGACCCTACAGTGACCTTGTACCTAGTGACCCTACAGTGACCCTACAGTGACCCTGAAGTGACCCAGCTCCCACTGACCCTTTAGTGACCCTACAGTGACCCTGTAGTGACCCAGCTCCCACTGACCCTGTAGTGACCCAGCTCCCACTGACCCTGTCCATCTCCATGTGATCCTCGCAGCAGTAGTAGGTGACCCGACACTTGGCGCACTGCAGACTGCCCCATTGGTTGCAGATCTCACACTTGACCTTGGAGGCCGAGGTCATGGCCAGTAGGTTCAGCTTGTTGGGCGGCAGTCGCTTCTCCTGGGGGACGGACTGAGCCGGCTGGTAGAGTTTGGCTGTCATGGCGGAAATGCTTTGTACGATGCTGGGGGCGATCTGCTCGGATTCCGGGGGGTGGGGGGGGGGAGGGAAGAATTGTTAATTGCCACAAATATTTTTGGTTTTGTAAAAACTCGACTTGACTGCACGCCATCGTTTCAAGTTTTAGTGGGGCGGACATACATTGTTCTTGTGTTGCTGATATACAGTCAATGACGTAGGTGGGAATTCATTCATGGGGGGGGGGGGGGGGGTGGGGGTGGGGGGGCACAGGGTTGAAAAACCCAAATATCTCACATATCCACATTTCTATAGCCAATATCTTTTTTTATTTAAACGAAGACATAAAAGTATGGCTCTAGATCTATGATATTCTCCATTTTACAACTAAATCAACATGATACCACACAGGGTTTCATTTAAGATTTCAAGGACCAGGGAGGTTTTATACCCTCAGCACCCCCTAGCTACGCCATGAAATACAGGACAACTACAATTGATATAAAAAAAAATTAAAGAAGTAGAAGAAAACAACACACTTATAACAGCTTAATCTACTGGCAGACATTCTGGTACCTACCGCCATTGCTGAACCTTGTTACAGTTTCCTATAGCTTATTTTGTTGCTTGTTTACATTTTTCTGCACTATGAGCTTATAAGGACGCGCGCCATGAAGCACGGCGCGCAACGGGTGTCCCCGGTAAATCAGTCTAAAACTAACCAAAACAAAAAGTACAAAAGAACCTAAAAACTCTGATTCTTTGTCCAATGACGCCGCAAAAAGGCGTCACGGGGCCTAGTTTTGGGTCCTTGACTCCACAAAGGGCGTCACAATTGGGCCAGTTCCTGGGCCCTACATCACCCAGATCCCGGGCACACGGTGTGGGCACCCGATAACAACGTCTAGAGCTTCAGTGGGCTGATTGCGATAAGGTCGGCACTTTGGTCCATTGAAAGACAGTTGATAGAGTCGCTTGAAGATGTTAAATAACGGTCTGATGTTTCGCCTTTACTGGGTCGTTTCGGTGGTATTTTCATCTGTGTGGGGCAAAGGTGTTGTTCTGATTATAGGTAAGTTCTGCAGCCCGTACGATAGACGCTAGTTTATATTGATGAGCTTTTGTTTACATTAGTGACCTGCTGACCTGATGTTTCACACACTGTCCTGTCCTGTCCTGTAGGGGGTGACGCCGGTCTACAGATAGGCGCCTACAACAACACTGACGCAAGGACGCCAAACTTAGACTCGCTAGCTAACAATGGCGTCATCTTCACCAAGGCGTATACAAGCTCTGTTAGTGGAGGGTCACCTAGCAGGTCAGTAGAAGGTCACCTAGCAGGTCAGTAGAGGGTCATCTAGTAGGTCAGTAGAGGGTCATCTAGTAGGTCAGTAGAGGGTCATCTAGTAGGTCAGTAGAAGGTCACCTAGCAGGTCAGTAGAGGGTCATCTAGTAGGTCAGTAGAGGGTCATCTAGTAGGTCAGTAGAGGGTCATCTAGTAGGTCAGTGGATAGTCATCAGGTAGGTCAGTGGAGGGTCATCTAGTAGGTCAGTAGAGGGTCATCTAGTAGGTCAGTAGAGGGTCATCTAGTAGGTCAGTAGAGGGTCATCTAGTAGGTCAGTAGAGGGTCATCTATTAGGTCAGTAGAGGATCATCTATTAGGTCAGTAGAGGGTCATCTAGTAGGTCAGTAGAGGGTCATCTATTAGGTCAGTAGAGGGTCATCTAGTAGGTCAGTAGAGGGTCATCTAGTAGGTCAGTAGAGGGTCATCTAGTAGGTCAGTAGAGGGTCATCTAGTAGGTCAGTAGAGGGTCATCTAGTAGGTCAGTAGAGGGTCATCTAGTAGGTCCGTAGAGGGTCATCTAGTAGGTCAGTAGAGGGTCATCTAGTAGGTCAGTAGAGGGTCATCTAGCAGGTCAGTAGAGGGTCATCCATTAGGTCAGTAGAGGGTCATCTAGTAGGTCAGTGGTCATCCATTAGGTCATTAGAGGGTCATCTAGTAGGTCAGTGGATGGTCATCTAGTAGGTCAGTCGAGGGTCATTTAGTAGGTCAGTAGAGGGTCATCCATTAGGTCAGTAGATGGTCATCTAGCAGGTCAGTAGAGAGTCATCTAGTAGGTCAGTAGAGGGTCACCTAGCAGGTCAGTAGAAGGTCACCTAGCAGGTCAGTAGAGGGTCATCCATTAGGTCAGTAGATGGTCATCTAGCAGGTCAGTAGAGAGTCATCCATTAGGTCATTAGACGGTCACCTACCGTTGTAGCTACTGACACAAAGAACAGAAACGAGTATACCCCAGTAACCGGTCTGTGTCCACCCCAACAGAGCCTCACTGCTAACCGGTCTGCCGGCTCATCAAAATGGGATGTTCGGCTCTCACGGCAGCCCTTCCTCCTTCCGGTCCTACGATGACGTCATCAGTGTGTCCGCACACCTGTCAGCAGAGGGCGTTAAAACAGGTGAGTTGTGTAGCCGTCATACGATTCCTTGACATCAAACTCTAGGGGTCATGCCTTGAAATCCGTACAGCCGAATATTTGATTGGTTAACTTTGGACAGATGATTCAAATGTTGTCCCGGGTGTCCAGAGCACCCCAACCCTAAACTTAATCCTAACCTTAAGCCTAATCCTAATCCTAACCTTAATCCTAACCCTAATCCTAACCCTAATCCTAACCCTAATCCTAACCCTAATCCCCCAGGTATTATCGGGATCAGTGGTGTCGGTCCCAGCAATGTTTACAAGTTTGACGTGAGCGAGACCGAGGCCAACAACGACGAGGTTTTGATTGGTCGAAACATCACGAGGATCAACGAGCTAGTCCAATCGTTTCTTGCCCAGTATCGTACCGAGTGAGTCCTGCTGGGATATTACATGTTGTTGTAGTTCGTGGTAGTTGTTACTGTAGTTTGTGGTAGTTGTTGTACAGTTTGTGGTAGGTGTTGAAGCTGTTTGTGGTAGATGTTGTTGTGGTTTGTGGTAGTTATTACTGTAATTTGTTGTAGATGTTGTTGTAGTTTGTGGTAGATGTTGTAGCATTTTGTGGTAGATGTTGTTGTGGTTTGTGGTAGTTTGTGTAGCAATTTTTGTGATAGATGTTGTAGTAGTTTGTGGTAGATTTTGTAGTTGTTTGTGGTAGATGTTGTAGCAGTTTGTGGTAGTAGATGTTATTGTGGTTTGTGGTAGTTGTTGTATCAGCCTGTGGTAGTTGTTGATGTGGTTTGTGGTACTTACTGTAGTTTGTGTACATCCTTTGGTCGATGTTGACCACGGTACGTTGAGTGTTCTGATAAGACGAATCCGTCTAACACAAGCTGTCTCTTCCAGAAACTTCTTCTTGGTCATCTCCCTGGCCGACGTCCAGCGATGCAGCAACCTCAGCTACGGCCAGTTCTGCGAGAAGTGGGGGGACGGCAAGTCTGGGTTCGGATCCATCCCCGACTGGAGGCCGCAGACGTTCAACTCGACCAACCGGAAGTTGCCGTACTTCATCCCTGGCCTGGACGATGCCGAGCAGGACTTGGCCGATATGTACCGTGGCCTTGACCGACTTGACCAAGGTCAGGCTGACATGATACTTTATGGGTGTATTGGCTGGACGGGGTATTACAAGGCTAACCCGACCTGTTGACAGTTCACCCCACCCCCTCGTTTAGGGAAAGATGAAGTAGTTTACCTCTTTCTGAGACCTCGTCATTTTAAATAACTGTGTCGTCTGTCAAGGCGCCTTTATTGTCCCTAACGTGAGTCAGGTACCATGGGAGCTGGGTGGACTACACAGTCTGGCACTAACAGAACCCGAGGTTGTCTTCGAGTTAGTAATCGTGCGCTCTACCGCACGGCACTCCATACCAATTTATCTACGGTTATTGTAATCAGAATGCGAATGCTCATGTGTTTATTAGAAAGTGAATTTTCAATTGTTAATTAGAATGACAATACTCATGTTTTAATTAGAATGTGAAAGCTCATTAGTTAATTAGAAAGTGAATACTCATGTTTTAATTAGAATGTGAATGCTCATGTGTTGATTCCATATCCCCAGGGGTCGGGCTTTACGTCAACTCATTGGTCAGTGCCGGTCTGCTAGCCAGGACACTGGTCATCTACACCTCCACGGGGGGCGTGGCATTTCCTGGCGCCAAGTACAACGCCTTTGAAAGTGGCGCGGCAATACCGCTTATAGTCAGCTCCGGCGGGTACAGCTTTGGTAAGGTCAGTACCCGGGGGGGGGGGGGAGGGGGTACAGCTTTGGTAAGGTCAGTACCCTGGGGGGGGTACAGCTTTGGTAAGGTCAGTACCCGGGGGGGTACAGCTTTGGTAAGGTCAGTACCCAGGGGGGGGGGGTACAGCTTTGGTAAGGTCAGTACCCGGGGGGGTACAGCTTTGGTAAGGTCAGTACCCAGGGGGGGGTACAGCTTTGGTAAGGTCAGTACCCGGGGGGGGGGTACAGCTTTGGTAAGGTCAGTACCCGGATGGGGGGGGTACAGCTTTGGTAAGGTCAGTACCCGGGGGGGGGGGGTACAGCTTTGGTAAGGTCAGTACCCGGATGGGGGGGGGTACAGCTTTGGTAAGGTTAGTACCGGGGGGGTACAGGTTTGGTAAGGTTAGTACCCGGGGGGTACATCTTTGGTAAGGTCAGTACCGGGGGGGGGGGGGTACAGCTTTGGTAAGGTCAGTACCCGGGGGGTACAGCTTTGGTAAGGTCAGTACCCTGGGGGGGGGGGGGGTACAGCTTTGGTAAGGTCAGTACCCGGGGGGGTACAGCTTTGGTAAGGTTAGTACCCGGGGGGGGGGGTACAGCTTTGGTAAGGTTAGTACCGGGGGGGTACAGGTTTGGTAAGGTCAGTACCTGGGGGGGTACAGCTTTGGTAAGGTCAGTACCCGGGGGGGGGGTACAGCTTTGGTAAGGTCAGTACCTTGGGGGGGGGGGGGGGGTACAGCTTTGGTAAGGTCAGTACCCGGGGGGGTACAGCTTTGGTAAGGTCAGTACCCGGGGGGGCGTACAGCTTTGGTAAGGTTAGTACCGGGGGGGGGGTACAGCTTTGGTAAGGTCAGTACCCGGGGGGGGTACAGCTTTGGTAAGGTCAGTACCTGGGGGGGGGGGGGGGGGACAGCTTTGGTAAGGTCAGTACCCGGGGGGGGTACAGCTTTGGTAAGGTCAGTACCCGGGGGGGGTACAGCTTTGGTAAGGTCAGTACCAGGGGGGTACAGCTTTGGTAAGGTTAGTACCGGGGGGGGGGGGTACAGCTTTGGTAAGGTCAGTACCTGGGAGGGGGGAAGGTGTTTGGTGGGAGGGATAGTCGATGACCAGTATGATATTGCGGCGTCAATCTTTTTGTCCAGTCCAACTTTTTGTGTCCATGTTCAGTCCTGTAACAACAGCATCATTGCAGGTCTCTGACGCCCTTGTGACGTCACTGGACATCTTCCCCACGGTCCTGGACTACTTCGGCCTCCCCCTCCCCCAGTACTCGATAGCCGGACAACCTGTCACCTTCACCGGGCGGTCCCTGGTTCCAATCCTGGTCAACCCGACCACGGCGGGGCACAGTGACGTGTTTGCCACACAGGAGTTCGTTCAGGTCAGTGTCAAGGTCAGGTGTGGGAGCATTCGTCAAGGTCAGGTGTGGGCAGATTCGTCAAGGTCAGGTGTGGGTAGATTCGTCAAGGTCAGGTGTGGGTAGATTCGTCAAGGTCAGGTGTGGGTAGATTCGTCAAGGTCAGGTGTGGGTAGATTCGTCAAGGTCAGGTGTGGGTAGATTCGTCAAGGTCAGGTGTGACTGCTTATAGGTGGTTGACTAGACTGTCATCAAAGTTTGACAAACCACTAGACTGTCATGCCAGGGTGACGTGTCACTCTACTTCTGCCACTTCTGTCTGCAGGTCCACGAAGACTTGACGCTGAGGTCAGTAAGGAACAACAGCTTCAAGCTAGTCTGGAACAAATGGGACTCGTTCCCCATCGTCTCGGAGATCTACAGCTCGCCAACCTTCACGGTAAGACAAACTTCACGGTAAGACTTTTATGTGACTATTTCACACTTGGTGTGAGTACTATTTCACCATGCATGAAGTAGACCCACTTTGTGTGAGTACTATTTCACCATGCCTGAAGTAGACCCACTTTGTGTGAGTACTATTTCACCATGCCTGAAGTAGACCCACTTTGTGTGAGTACTATTTCACCATGCATGAAGTAGACCCACTTTGTGTGAGTACTATTTCACCATGCCTGAAGTAGACCCACTTTGTGTGAGTACTATTTCACCATGCCTGAAGTAGACCCACTTTGTGTGAGTACTATTTCACCATGCATGAAGTAGACCCACTTTGTGTGAGTACTATTTCACCATGCCTGAAGTAGACCCACTTTGTGTGAGTACTATTTCACCATGCCTGAAGTAGACCCACTTTGTGTGAGTACTATTTCACCATGCATGAAGTAGACCCACTTTGTGTGAGTACTATTTCACCATGCCTGAAGTAGACCCACTTTGTGTGAGTACTATTTCACCATGCCTGAAGTAGACCCACTTTGTGTGAGTACTATTTCACCATGCATGAAGTAGACCCACTTTGTGTGAGTACTATTTCACCATGCCTGAAGTAGACCCACTTTGTGTGAGTACTATTTCACCATGCATGAAGTAGACCCACTTTGTGTGAGTACTATTTCACCATGCATGAAGTAGACCCAGTTTGTGTGAGTACTAATGCCCCCATGCATCAAGTAGACCCAGTTTGTGTGAGTGCTAATGCCCCCATGCATCAAGTAGACCCAGTTTGTGTGAGTGCTAATGCCCCCATGCATCAAGTAGACCCAGTTTGTGTGAGTGCTAATGCCCCCATGCATGAAGTGACCCAGTTTGTGTGAGTGCTAATGCCCCCATGCATGACGTGAGCGAGTGATCTGCTTACACCCCCAGCGCCTGGTGAACAAGACGAAAGATGGCGACAACACCCACTGGTGGATCAGCCTGGACTCGTACCTGACACGGAAGGAATACGAGCTCTACGATTTCTCCTACGATCCTTATGAGGTAACGTGCCCTGTGTTTCTTCGATTAATTAGGTCAAATTCACGATCAGGTTTCTGTATTGTTGATCTCTTTTCCAATTAGCATCGGTCACACAACATCAATATTTGTCTCCACCAGGTCCTGAATGTAGCGCATGAGGCTCGGTACGCAGATGTGCTGAGTGAGTTGAAAAACAAGCTAGAGGCGTGGCAGCGGCTGACCTTTGACCCCTGGATCTGCCCCCGGGGTTTTGTCAACATCGAGGGCAACTGTACAGCATACATGTAGACTATATATATATATATATATATATATATATATATATATATATATATCGGTTTAGCCAACAATTAATAATAACATCTTTGCATTACCGATCAATCCATCTTATACACTGTATGTTTTTTATATACTGATCTAAAGCACAATCTGTTTCATATGTTGGTGCTACTGTATTTACAAAATATCGTTACTGCCGATGTAGAATCTATATTACGTAGATCTAGATCTACTTTTTTGGGGCAAAATTTTCAAAGTACCATGTTGTACGAGCATCTCTATTTTAGTTTAAAATAAAATTTTCTTTATTTGTATACAATGATTAGACTCACACCCCTCCTCCCCCCCCCCCCCACCACACCCATAAATCCCACGACTGACATTCCCCTCCACTATTGCACCCAACTTGTAGAATTTCCTTAGAGATAAATCCACTTTTATTTAATGTATCAAATATTGCACAATAGCGGTCATACTATCTACCGAAACTGTACCAATGAAATAAAATATGAAAATAAAATGTAATTTCTGACCAAATTGTGTTTGATCTCTGGTGGGTTATCAGACAGAAGGCAATGATTCAGCAGAACTGTCGTCGTCAGACAGGTAAACAGAGCGGCGTTATCTCGTCTGCTGGCGGCCCAAAGACCGCGCTAATGTACCCGTGTTTTAGTGGGCGGACGGTATCATGTCGGACACGGCAGAGCTTATCATGGAGTTAACACTTGGAACCTGTATGAAGAACTTGACCTGGTTATATGTATCGTGGATA